TCCGATACTATATTCTCTGGCAACCCATGCTGGGCCACCACATAGTCCAATATCAACTCTGATAGGCCGGCTGCGGTTAACTTCGTCGTAGTCGGGATAAAAATGGCCCATTTGGTCAACCGATCCACCACTACCAGGATGGAATTATATCCATGGGAATTTGGCAGCTCCTCGATAAAATCCATCGAGATGCTAGACCAAGGTTTCGTAGCTACCTCCAGTGGTTTAAGCTCTCCATGGGGTTTCTGCCTGTTAGTCTTTGCCCTCTGACATACCGCGCATCCAGCGATGTAGTCCTCAACATCCTTCCTTACTCCAATCCAGACATAGTCCCTTAGAACTAGCTCAAGGGTCTTCGCTGAACCTGGGTGACCAGCTAAGGCCGAGTCATGTCGCATTTTCATGATCTTCAGCCGAGCATCGGCGTAGTTCGGCACATAAATGCGATCGTCGAATGTGAGGAAACCTCTTGAGTTCCACCCCCCACGAAGGATTAGAGGAGACCGCGAACTACGGCGTAGTTCGGTGATTGATCCTGGTTCCTGCACGTTATCGTTACACGTAGGATGAGAACACTCAGCGCAAACGACTCCTAATAATTCTTCTCTGACCCCTTCTATGTCTTCGTCCTCCTGAACTCCAAGTACTAGATCCATAGGGTCCACAAGATCATTTTCCTTTACCTCCCTTGTCCCTTGCAATGCTCGAAGGAGGTGACGCAACTCCGACGTGGTGGCGTCAACTTCGTCGAACTTCGGCAGACCTTGGATAAGGTTGCTCTCTTGTACCATGGTACTTCCTTTCCCGGAATGATAGTCCGCCCGTCTAGATAATCCATCTGGAAGACTTGCCTGGGTTCCTGGCCGATAAACCATTTTAAACCTGAAGTTAGCTAGCTCCTCTACCCACCTACCTTGCCGAGGACTGAGTTGTTTCGGCTCCATCCAGTAGGTAAGGTTTAGATGGTCGGTAAGTACTGTGGTTTCTACCTGCAATAATAAGTGTCTCCTTCTTCTGAAACCCTCCACTACAGCGAGGAACTCCTTTTCTCCTACCGTATAATTCAGTTGAGCTGTGTTGAAAGCACCAGACTCAATAGCTACCGGGTGTTCTTGACCAGCCGTGTTGATCTGCGAAATTATGAACCCCCAGCCGAAGAACGACGCATCTGTCTGTAATATCGTCTTCAATGTAGGGTCAAAATGGGCTAATACCGGCGCAGTACACATCCTAGCCTTCAACTCTTTGAAGGCTGACTCCTGTTCGACTCCCCATACAAATGGTACCTCCTTCCTTGTCAAGTCATTGATAGGTCTAGCAATCTTCGAGAAGTTGGGGACAAAGCGCCTGTAATAGCTTACTACTCCAATGAATCCCCTTGACTCTCGTAGATTCTTAGGACGTGGGAAGGAAGTGATGGCATCAATGTATTCTGGGTTCACCGATACACCTTTAGAGGATACCACGAAACCCAGAAACACCACCGAATCTCTTTCGAACTCGCACTTACTAGCTTTAACGTACAGGCTCGCCTTCCGCAGTACTTCAAAGACCTTCGCCGTAGTTCCTCGTAATTCCTCCAACGTATTCCCATAAATGAGGATATCGTCAATGTAGACCACGACTCCATTCCCTAGTAGCTCTCTAAACACCTCATTTAGGAAGTGTTGGAAGACCGCGGGGGCGTTTCGCAGCCCATCACGAACAACCAGAGATTCAAACATACCATACTGTGTCCTGAACGCCGTCAGGTGTTCATGTCCCTCTGTCACCCTCAACAATTGGTATGCTCCAATTAGATCTAGTTTGCTGAAGTACCTTGCTTTTCCAAGTTCTTCGGTAATTTGACCTATTAGAGGGAGAGGGTAGGCATCTGGTATGGTCGCTTCGTTCAGTTTTCGATAGTCGATGACCATTCGCCATTGTCCTTCGGCTTTCTTCGGTATCATAAACATTGGTGAGCCGTATGGCGAGTTACTTGCCCGAATTCGGCCAGCGGCGATTTCGCGATCTAGTATGTCTCTCAGCGCGCGTCTCTGATCTTCTCCTTGAGCATAGAGGGAGGCGACCTTAAGGTTCGCCCCCTCCTTAAGCTCAAACTTCAAATCGTAGGACCTTGAAGGGGGAAGGGTCTCTCCTCCCTTCTTCGGATTAAAAACGTCAATGTACTGGTGGTATTGTTCAGGAACTACCTGGAACAACTCGTCTTGTTCCTCCGGGCTCAGCTCTTCAAGCTCATCTTCGCCGCGGAGGTCTATCGCGTCCGTCAGAGTCGGCAGCCCTATGGCCGCTAACTTCGCCGCACTTGGTGGGGTTGGGATGGGAAATTTCACCGAGTTGTCTCTTCCATCAAGGACAACCCCTTCCTTCCTCATCCAATCCCACCCTATCACAACATCTGCGTCGCAGAGCGTTGTTACATCGAGACAAACAGATCGCACTTCGGCGTCCTTCGTCAAACTAAATCCGACTTCGACAAACTCGGTGATGGGCCCAGCGACACTCACCGAGCCGTCGAACATGTGAACGGGTACGCTCACCTGATATCGCCTCTTTTCTACACCTATCTTCGCTGCTGCCTTAGGGCTTATATATGAACAAGTAGCTCCAGTGTCCCAGAGCGTAGTTAGCTTTATTCCATTAATGAAAATGTCCGATTTAGGTTGATCTCTGGAAACGGAAGGGATGAGGAGATGATTATCGACATTGCATGAACAAGGGGTACTGAGTGGTGTATTTTTGTATTCACAATCCTCTGGCTCCATCAGCTGTGTTTCTTTTATGGGTTTGGGAATGGTGGCCGAGAGAATATGGCGGACCCGCCGAGCCTCGCCTACTGCGACAGGTCCTCTTCTTTTCCCTGGTCCTCTTCCAAATCTACTTCTCCTCCAACCGCATTCAAGTTCCTCCTCTGTCCGAGAGGTACTGCGTTCCCTCCCGATCCTCCACCACGTTCTCCGAACTTCTCCCCCCATGGAGGCAACAGTCCAACCTTAACCTTAGCCTCCCTTACAGGGCATTCCTTCAGCCAATGTCCTGCTCCACCACACTCGGTACACTTCCCCTCCTTCCTCCTTGTCTCCCTCAGATCGGAGCTCGGCCTAGGCCATCTTCGGCGAACTTCGTCGATGTTTGACGGTGTACTCTTTACCACCGTCGACATCATAGCCGCCTGGACACCACCCTGCGCCGAAGGTTGCCCCTTTTCCCATTTCTTCTCTTCTTTCTTCTCCGTCCTCTGACTTTCCACCACTGTCGTTGTCCTTATCCCTCCTTCCCTTTTCCTCTCTGCCTCCTTCTCCACTTGTCTCCTCCACAGGCGGTTGTCCAAGGGAATCACAAACTCCAATAGCTCTTTCACAGTCCCAAACGATCTACCGTGTCTTGCAATTTCATCTAGAAGGTGCGATTTTAGTCCTTTCTTGGCTCGGTCAACTAGGTTTCCATCATCAGACCACTTAAGAATCGCAACATGTCGCTGGAAGGCGGAGAAGTAGTCCGAAGCAGACCCGGTTTGCTTGAGGTCGTTAAGTTGTCGGGCCGCAGTTCCTTCTTCGTCTGGATCACCAAAGTTAGTCTTGAGGTACTTAACGAACTGATCGTGTGTCGTGAGGTACTCAGGAAGAGGTCTTTTGGATAGATCGGGCTGCACTGCAAGAAGAGGTGTTTCGCGTAGATGAGAGATCATGAAAAAGACTTTCTTAGTGTCGTCGGGAAAAGATGAGAGTTCAATTCGAAGTGTACGTCGCACTCAGACAGAAAGGCGGTTAACTTGTTCCGATCTCCTCTCCATAGGTCTGGGTTAGGTAGCTTTATCCCTTCCGTTGTTCGCCCACTACGCTTGGGGTCGCCGAAGTTTGCCGTCCCATGGCGTACCTCACCCCTTCTGATATCCCTTCTGCAATCCCGCCCACTGTATCCCTTTCTCTTCTCTGTTCCCATTCCTCCCTACGTCTTCTCTCCTCCATCATGTCTTTGTTCATATTCGCCACCATCTGCATCAAGGCCAACACCACCCCTTGTGTTCCTTCTTCTCCCAAGTTCGCCGTACTTCCAGTGTTTTCTCTTGGGCGTGGGGTTTGGTCTGATCCAAGTGGGGATCCCACAGGTGGGAGAGCATTAGACGGAGGAGAAGGAGGGTTAGAAAGCACCGGTGGAACGAACTCATCTCCTTGAATTGACCCCCCCACACTATCCTCAACTCCAAGGTCCTGCCCCATTGCTCTGCTAAGCTCCTCCAATGCTCTCCTCTCGTTCTCCTCCATCCTGTCTCCATCCCTACTCATGCCTCGTGTAATTCTTCTTTCTGGTTCCATATTATCTTCGTACTTCTCCGAGGTTCGCACGGGTCGTCGGTAAGAGCGATCCTTGATACTGTCACGGCCGTCGAACAACTACTTCTTAATAGACCGACGGTCGACGAACCTCGGCTAACTTCACGCTCTGAGTCGATGTCTCACCCAACCAGGAGGGCGCAGATGCCGATGTATCCTCGAATTCGGAGTACTTCGGCGTAGTTACTCTACCTGGGGTTTTGTTCTACTGATGGCGATGTATCTCGAATTGTATATAGCTATGTCTATGTCTATTATCTACTCCTCCTAGACGTTCATCCAACCCTCTCGCGCTTTGACGTACTTCAACGCACTTCGTCCAACTTCCCCGAGCCCTCGGCCATCCTCTTCCTCCTTCGACTAACTCCGCCTAACATCGCCGCACTTCTGCTCCCATTGTCCCTACTTAGCCTAACTCCGTCTAACTTCGCCGTACTTCTGCTCCCATTGTCCCTACTTAGACTAACTCCGCCTAACATCGCCGCACTTCTGCTCCCATTGTCCCTACCTAGCCTAACTCCGTCTAACTTCGCCGTACTTCTGCTCCCATTGTCCCTACCTAGCCTAACTCCGTCTAACTTCGCCGTACTTGGTCTCAGAAGTCCTGAGTTACGTGTAGAGTAAAGAGGTTAAGGCGTGATGGGGGTTTTGATGGTCAAAGGAGGGTCATTGTTGGTGGAATAATCGAGGTGTCACGACGTAGTTCGTGACATCAGGACTTCCGCTAAGAAGCGTGGCAAATGCTATGTGACAGATACTGCCGACCTGAAATGTCTTTCTTACTGGGGGTCCGAGACGGTAGACGCCTCTGGTGCTGGTGGTGTCGGGAATGGCGGCAACTTCGCCTTGTGTATTCAAGCTAGAGAGTGCGGGAGTGGTAATCTGAAGAGTCATTGGAAGAAGAGGTTTGTCGTTCGAGACAAACATAACTTAGCACCGGGGGAGACAAGAGAACGAGTAACTTAAACTTAGTAATGGTGCGTGGCGATGACTTGCAATGGAGGGACGAGTTGCTTACTTACCGGCTGACGGGGCTCCGCACCGTACGGTGGCCCGATAGTTCTTCGAGATCGACCATTTTCGATTCTGCGTTTTCGATTCAAATGCTATCCTTTCTTTCCCCATTACTCATGCATGCAAACACCTAGAGACATGTTCAGACCACCGTTGGGATCCTACAGACCGTAGCTACATCCCAGTGCAGTGCATACCACTCAGAAAGACCCCTGGAAGAAAGTCACTCTTTCTACATCTAATGTGGCACTTTCCCTGGAGTATCCGTGGTATCTATCCTTCCACCTTCCGTCACTACTGACTTACTGTACATAGGACAACCCATCAGATCCTCTTACTCCCATTTGTATGAGAGCTGGTAAGGTAAGTAGTATAGCTTCAATGAAGTGGAACATTGTCTTGTGCTGCAACTCCACTAATCATTGAGACTGACTACAAGTATATAAAGCAGCAACTACACATACTCATACTGTTGATGTAGAGACCATCTAGCACTCCCTCCTACTAGGTCCCTTCTGTAGCTACATGCATGAAATTCATGGGTTACACTCTTCACTATCTGATAAGCATATCGGCTAAGTCTAAGCTTTTGAGAGTGTCCTGTGGGGCAGGGATGCAGGCCATGGTTCATGGATTTGGTCCAACAAGAATCGAAAACGCGGAATGAAATTTGGGAAATTCGAAGGACTACCGGGCCACCGTAGCACCCTCCATTGATGCTGTTCCCTTCTCTCCCATGCTACTGTACAACTACTGCAACGGTCTTCTGTATATATGCTCGGGCACACTCTCAAAAGGCAAATCGTCCCATTGTGCAGCAAATTTGTAGCCCCGCATTCGATACTGAGGAAGATGGAGTCGGAACAACACGAGCACCTCATGTCGGTGGTCAACGAGCTCATTCCGCCCGTGTCGGGCAAGTTACACAAGGGTCAAGCGGGTGGGTTTTCTTGAACCTCTTTCCTCCCCCCATCTTTCGTCATTACACCGCATACATGGTCGTGAGAATCACTGTCTGATTATGTTCTCACTTTTTCTCTTGGCCCCTTAGCGAGAAGCCCCACCCGTCCTTGATTTATGCGAATCTCCGGGTGGCCCCCAAGGACACCGTGCCGCTTCAACGGGTCCGCCATGAGATCTCTTTGAATATCTCTCACTGAAATACCAACAAGAGCGTGAAACCGAGTGTGATCTGCGACGCTCGTGCTCAATGGGGACTGCGCTGATATTCCAGGACGTATCGGTGTCCTCGGAGGGTCGGGAGAGTGAGTGGAAGTCTTTTTTCAATCTCCCTCCCATCTGATACCATCCACTTTCCCGACCCTTGTCATCCTTATGGTGCTCGTGACCACGGTCGAGGATGACAAGCTGACAGCCAGCTACTCCGGTGCACCATTCTTCTCCTCCATGGGGGCATTGCGATTCGGGGCTGATCTGGCTCATGTCATCTGTGAACCTGGAGCTGGAGCCGTCATCAAGACTTAGTGAGTTTTCATCTTCATCCACGTCAGCTTCTGTGATTCCAGTGAGGCCCTGAAGCGGTAGCAAGATTGTTCGGAATGGACAGTGAATAAGCGATACTGGGATCGATGGGGAGAGTTACAGAGTTACCTGCCTCCTGGGATGTGAGACAGGAATAGTCCAGTCTCAAACCCGGACTGAACATTTTCTGACAGATGCTGACCATAAGTTCTCCCGACCTCATCGTACATGGCATCTTGGACCCATCAAAATCCGTAGAGGACGTTCGGTCAGAGTTGGAAGGGATCATGTCTCGTCTAGTAAGTCTTCTCCTTTAATCCTTCATTCACTCTGAGCAAGAGCTGTAAGCTGCGTCAGTCATGTATCACGGTTCTCAAGAAGGACGTTGTCATGCGCAGATGCAAGAAGTGGCCAAACTAACACGCAGCACGTCATGGTCATTGGTCCTGGACTCGGCCGTTCGGAACATATGCAGAACTTTGCCAAAGTCGCCTTCGAATTAGCCAAAAAAATGGAGCAAATGGGCGTGGTGGTGGATGCCGACGGTCTGTGGCTTGTTCAAGTGAGCATCTCGCTTTCAAACGAGTGAGCAGGAGGCTTGCTGATGGACAGAATGACCCGTCTGTCGTACTCGATTGGCCTGGAGTACCTAGGGTCATCCTCACCCCGAATATCATGGAATTCAAAAGACTCTGTCAGAAAATGAAAATCGACGATTCCGCCCCTCCCAAGACACTCTGTCCAGAGTTGGCGAGGTCACTACAAAACGTCACTATTATACAGAAGGGCGAGACGGACATCGTTTCAAACGGTCGGCCTATACCTTCTGAGTTTTTACAGTCGGAAGGAGACAAGGTCGAGATCCTCGAGAGCGAGGTGAGGGGGGGTTTAAAGAGGGTGGGAGGACAGGGGGATATTCTGAGCGGAAGTGTGGGGGTTTTATTGGCGTGGGGGAGTGAATGGGTTCGAGGATCGTACGAGTGAGTTTGGATCAACGAATGGCATTCCTCTCAGTGTTTATTCCCTAAAAACAGAATGTGGCGCTAAAGAAGAACATGAAGCTGATCACAGACATATTGGCCATCCACCACCAAAGAGCAAAGGAATTGCGGATAATATCCCCTTGCTCGCCGCGTACGGGGCATCGACTTTCAATCGGACGGTTTCGATGAGAGGATGGCAGGCGAAAGGACGGAGTATGGTCACGGGTGATTTAGTGGAGTTGGTGGGACCGGTGTATGAGGAGCTGTTTGGAGCGGCGGAGGATAGTCCGGAGAAGAGACGATTGCGGAATGAATGAAATGACAATTTCTCGGGGAAAGGCTAAATGGTTTGCATCGATTATTGACATTCATAGATGCATATCAACGCGTAAGATAATGCTAATATTCAGTACATTTCCAAACTCTGTTGATCAGCTGGGCTCATTACCTTTTTGAGTTTTGAAGAATGCGCGCACGAGTAAGAAATGAGAGTTGGGGGGCGTGGTGAGGCCTGAGACAACTCACCATACCATCATGTATTTCATAATCCTGTAATGTGACATGATCTTTGAAAGCAGTGTACCACTTCTTCAGCTGTATCTTTTGTGATGTCGTACCCGTCTGAGCGGCTATGAGACGTTTAAGATCCCCAATGGTGTCTGTTGGTAGACACTTTATTCGTACTGTTACATCAACATTTTCATTCCTTCTGTTCTCATCGTCCTCCCTTCGTCAAAGATATTCCTTACGCTCTCAATCTCAGAATGCAAAAACTTTACTATAGACTCACCTTTCTGACCCGTACGAGAATTCGCAATGACCTCTATCATCCTACTCGGTTTCATCTGTGTCATCCCTGCTTCTCCTCCAGTTGTCCTCGTACTACCCTGTTTGTCCATAGCTGCTAACCTAGCCAATCTATCCTGTTCCGCCCTGTTACCTCCCGTCCCATTACTATTCTCCCCTCCTCTAACAGGCATACGATCTAAAGGATCCGCTCCTCTCCTTAAGCTTCCCATGGAAGTCTGCGTTGATGCAGATGGAGCATTCAAGGTATTCCTCACACCTTGTTCTCTCGTCCCTCCAAATCGAGCAGGCACTTCACCTCTTTCTCGTCGTTCCATTCGTTCTTTCCCACTTTCAGGCATTTCGTCCAATGGATCTCGACGGTGTGAAAGAGATCCCATAGATTGTTGGGAGCCGCGTTTATAAAAGGATAACTCTTTAGGTCTTTTGGGTCCTGATGGGGGACGAGAGTCGTGTTTTCGCCTGTCATGATCCTCCCTGTCTCGATCTCGATCTCTACGAGGGGAACAGGAGCGGGAACGAAGTCTGACACGATCACGATCTACGCGAGGACCTCGCGGTGGGGAAGGAGAACGGGGCATGGTGTATGTTGAGTAACGAGATATGAAAAGATGTCACTGACTCTGACTTCAGGTGCACCGAAGATTGTGAGGAAGGGTGGGTGAAGCTTACGTAACCGGGTGGCAAGAGGACTCTAAGGGGGCTCCGCGTTTCATGTCGCGTCCAATCATCCCATCAAAGACTCGACTAAAATTTCTGATGGTCATTCCTTTTCTTGTTCATAACCCTTATCTGTGCATTCTGCTGCTGATTCGGGACAGAGAAAAGCAGGAGACTTGTACACTCTGCTCGGGACTAACCAGCTGTACAATGTCAGCCAAAGACCGCTACGTCAACAATCACGCTGGTCCGAGCGCGTCGGGCTCCAGTCAGCCAATGCGAACAAGCAGTCAACCTTCTTCCACTCCCTCCAAGAGGCCGCTTTCTCCCAGTGCTACTCAGAAGGAAAGGGACGAAGAAGATGAGGCTGCTGCGGAACCTTCTCAGCAAGAAGAGGATGAAGTGAGTGAGGAGTCATGTCTAATTTGGTCGAAATGAATGCAAGCATCGAGCTGATGTGCTCAGTTGTACCTGACGACTCGTACTGATGTGGTGGGGATACAATACTATACCGGCCTGGTGGGCAAAGGGGAGTTTGTAATGATCCGTCGTCAGCCTCAGAATCAATACGATGCTAATGCTTGTCAGGTGAGAGCTCTCACAAGACTGGGTGACAAGATGCTGACATGATTTTTAGGTCTTGAACGCTGGTGGAATCCAAGTTGGTCATATACCCCGCGCTGTAGCGGCTCGTATAGCTCCATTACTAGATGATCATCTCGTCACTGTCGAAGGTCGTATGGTAGATCAAAATCTTGATCACTCGAGGAAATACAAGCTCAGGATGGACATGCTGATTTATGGTCGTCCCTCGCATAAGGAGACCCTCATGGTGGAATTAGACTGGGCCGTTCCGGTGGACTATAGTTCTCAAGCGGCAGGAAAGAAACGAATGAACGAGACGGGGATGGGAGGTGGGAAAGCACCTAGTGGAGCGCCGGATCCAGAGATGCAAAGATTGTTGGAAGGTCTTAAGAGGGTGTCGGAAGATGAGAAACAAGCGGACAGCGTCATGGTCGGTTTCAAAGTCTGTCAAATCAAAGCTGATCTTGCAGGATAACCTCACCGCCAATATTGACGTGACAAAACTGCCATTACATCCTAATCCACCCGGTCTCGCAAATGGACAATTACTGGTTGATATATTGCCCCACCAATCTCAGGCATTGAACGTCAGCCAGATTTCGTTTGGATAAACTAAGCTTACATTGACATAGTGGATGATTAGCCGGGAAAACCCAACTTTACCTACATCACCTCAAGATCCTCCGGTACAATTCTGGGTCCGACAGAAGGGTACCAAAGCTGGTGAAAGAGAATATTGGCTGAACGTCGCCACGCGGACTCCTCAAGAAGCTACTCCTGTACTTGGAAGAGGAGGTATCATTGCAGATGGGATGGGTTTGGGTGAGTGATTTGATGTTTTGTCTTCGTTGAGTCATGTACGTCACTAAACCAGCAGGTAAAACTTTGACAACCTTGTCTTTGGTCCTCGCGACCAAAAAGGATCAAATTACTGGGGGTTACAGTGGGGCCACATTGATTGGTGAGCGTCCAGGTTCGATTCTTTCATGGAGCTCATACCACAGTTTGCCCTCTATCAGTCCTTAGCAATTGGGAAAAGCAAATAGCCGACCATGTCGCTATGGGCCGCTTGACCTCCTACACGTACCACGGTACCGGTAAAGGTGTCACTGCGTCAACTCTCAAAGAATACGATGTGAGTACTATCTCTCGGTTGGTCACTTGGATCCCACTTACAAACCAGGTCGTCCTCACCACATATCAGACCGTAGCTGGTGAAGCCGCCTCGACGGATATAAGTTCGACACCAGCTTCAAATAAGAAAGCCAAATCATCTGCTGGTCCACTATTCAAAGTCAAGTGGAAGCGTGTCGTCGCTGACGAGGGGCACCAACTAAAAAATCCTAAAGCTAGGAGTGGGTCATGAGCCAAATATACTATCAATGGCTGATGGCAGTGTCCCAAGCGTTTGTGGCACTTGAAGCTGAGAAACGATGGGTCTGTACCGGAACTCCCATCGTCAACTCTCCTGGTAAGCTTTGCCATTGGGTTATCGGACATAGCTGAATTTCCCAGCCGATCTTGGATCCCTGCTGTCCTGCCTACACATATGTGCCCCATTGGACCAGCCGGCATACTTCAAATCGCTGTTGCTCCGTCCACTCAGAAATGGTGATTCGAACGCTGGAAAACTCCTGCAAGCGCTCGTAGGACAAATACTGCTCAGACGAACGAAAGATTCCCGCGATGCGCATGGCAATCGATTAGTAGAATTACCACCCATCGAATACTTCCAATGTCCCGTCAAGCTGGACGAAGACACTCGCAAACTGTATGACGAGATCAGAGCTGCGTCTGCTCGAAGACTTCAGGAAGGGATGCAGACAGGCGAGGTTAGTTCTGTGTTCAGACATTTGGTACAGTGCAATTTTACTAAACAGAGCAGAATCCCGCCAATGTTCTCTCCATGCTCACGAGAAGTGAGTCGGTCCATCTTATGAAAATTAAGCTGATGGAGCGAAGTGCGTCAGTTGTGTCTGTCGGCCGAATTAGTTCCTCAATCATTTATCGAGGATATGAGACAAACATCAGCGGTGGATGTCCGGCATCATGGACCGGCGGTGACAGCGGCGTCACTTTCATCTGAGAAGCGCTCCGAATTAATTGACAAATTACGACAAATCCTGGCCAACTCAGAAGAATGTGCTGTAAGTCTCTCCCTGAGATGTCTCTTGCACACTGACCAGAACCAGATCTGCTACGACCTAATGACGAATCCTAGGATTACCGTATGTGGCCATGCCTGTCAGTGCTTCATATAAACGGAGAAAAAGAATACTGACCACCAGTTTGTCTGGACTGTATTGTTCACTGGACCACAACGAAAAGTCAGAATTGCCCCATCGATCGTCAAGCACTGAGCGCTATGTCCCTGCTTGAATTACCACCCGACGAAGCTCCTTATGTCGAGCCTGAAGAAGCTCCGCCTATCCAGTCGGCCAAAATCGACGAGGTTGTCAAGTTTTTACGCCTCTTCCCACCGGGAGACAAATCTTTAGTGTTTTCGCAATTCACCACTTTTCTCAATCATGTGGCGACCGCCTTGAGAGAAGCAGGTATTCAATTCTGTAGATTCGACGGATCGATGCCCGCTAAGAAGGTCCGTTTTCACGTTAACCCCTATTCTCTCTTCTCTCGTCTCTTGATGCTGCTGCTGGCCGAGACAGGTCCATGGGGTCCTTGGCGCTCTTGATTCTCTCATGACGATGTATGGTAGTGGGCTAATCTTGCAGAGACAAGAAGTGATAGCGGAGTTTCAGAAACCTTGGACGGAACGCAACGCAAAACATAATCCCGTGGTGATGCTCATTTCGCTCAAGAGCGGTGCTGTGGGATTGAATTTGACGGCAGCTTCGAATGTCTTTTTGGTGAGTAGAGTACTTTGCTTGTGCTCTTTCACACTCTTTAGGTGGAGCAGACTCTCAGCTGATACATAGTGTGACCCATGGTGGCAGTCTGCCATTGAGGCTCAGGTGAGTTCTTCTTCGATGATATTCGTATGAAAGTGTCTGTCGACTGATTGATGCAGGCCATCGACCGGGTTCACAGAGTAAGCTCCGGGGTAAAATGTTGCAAGGTGACTTTTGCTCATTGGTCAGATGGGTCAACGTAAAACAGTCCGAGTATATCAACTCATTGCTGAAGATACAATAGAATCAAAGGTTCTTGATATTCGTCAGTGCAACGTTTTCTCTTACTTACATTCATAGCTGACAAGGGGTAGAGAAAAGAAAAGACGCGTTGGTAGCGAAAGTAAGTGAATGAATTTTGGCGTGAAGCTGAGGATCAGGCGTTTGACAAGACTACGAAAGAGACGGCTCAAGCGAAAAGAGAGGCGAGGTTCGAAGAGTTGAAAGAGCTCTTGGGGGTGAAATAGAGATGGAATGTGCAGTGGATATGCTTGTTTTGTATCTGGAATGACAATCTACATGCAGTGTGTGCAATGTCACATTCGTAGGAGTGATTTGTATGCCCAGAGAGGTAATTCGCGTTTTTGAGTGGCGTTTGAGTGTGGACGCGACTGACATTGGTGCCCGGAATGAGAAACATTGAATTCTAGTCCACATTGAATAAATGTATCCTTTTCTTCTTTCATTCATCACTTTCTCTTTTCTTGTCATACCTACACGGCTGGAGAGTTGTACAACTCGTCTTCAGCTCTGTCTTGACTTTGCTCTTTTGCTATACTCATCAACCATCTTCTTGTCAGATACCGTTCACCACGATTGTTGTCAAGTTTATGGTGAGTGTTCGTGACGCACGCGTATATGCTAACCTCCTAGAGACGTGATACATCCCTTGCATGAATACAACAACCACTACATTCGTTAACTACTTGACCATGAATTCAGAGAACAGACCAATGTTTTCATCTAGACCCATTTCACTCCCAAAACTTCCCACGCACACTCTTTCTTACCCACACCAACCTCTTCCGACCGACCGTCAACCATTGAGACCTTTACATCTCCCTTTCAACTTACCACAACATTCATCCCGACATTTATCACCTATCAAACATATCCAACCTCCTGTCTATCTTCCATCTCCTACCCCTACTCCCGTGTCCATATCCGACACGAACACCACCCTTACTCCTACTCATACACAGTCAAACTTGACCCCATCACCCACTCAGACTTCCGGATCATCAACAAACACCTCTACATCCATCCTCACCCCTCATACCACAGATCTTAAAGGGACCAAACATCTCAATGAAGGTGGAGGAATCAAAAGGGATGAAAGTATATTAAAGTTATATGGACTACAACCGCCCGTCGTTTATCCTGGTACTTACCCAGAAGATTTCATAAGACATTCTTCTGGAGTGTATGAGAAAATCAAAGGACCGGAGGAAAAAGTAAAAAGATCTTTGAATCCTTGGGATTATACGGATGAAAGTGAAGGTACAGAGGGAGTCCAGAGAAAACCAAGGAGAGCTTTTAGTGAAAGTGAATTGGAATTTTTAGAAGTTTTATGGACTATTTCAAGTTTTCCTAATAAATATGATCGTCAACGCGTTGGAGCTTGGTTGGGGGTAGCTACTAGACATATAAACGTTTGGGTGGGTTTTATTGTTTCCTTCTCCCTCTCACTCTCTCGTACCAATTTTACCCCTCTCGTATGAAACCCACATTCCGTCCTTGGCTCGATAGCATTTATAACTTTACACCTCCCTATCTAAATATAACATTTTGACTTATGACCACCAATGACATTCCCCGTCATCTGTGGTCACTCCTTACTTGGAACAGCTTATATGATCGGACTGTATGAGGGCTGATAAATTCCAGTTCCAAAATCGTCGACAAGAACTGAAGAATATCCAAAACAGGAATCCCAGACCATCCTGCCCTACAACCAACCCCGAACAATCCACATCCTCATCAAGACGTAGACATGTAGACGAAACGACAGTCACACCGTCCCGAATCGATTATCTCAAACGTATCCTTCGTGGAGATTACACACGAGACCGTTATTTCACCGCTGCAGGCATTATCACTCAAACCATCTCTCCATCACATCCTCGAATGTCTATCGATAAACTCATCACAATCAATTCAACATCTTCATCTCAAATATCAACCGGATCATCTAGAGGATCAAGTGTCCCAATAGATATCGATTCTCGGAAACGTACCAAGGAATCTGAATTAGGTGAAGAAGAGAGGAAAAGGAATGAACATCTGATTTCCTTGATGAAAAGTTCACCTCCGGATAGAGAAGAATGTTTCGTTTCCAGTCAACAAATGAATATAAGGGTTTCACAAGATAACAATCGGCAGGGATCTTCTTTGGATGGTGATTCTTTACTTTTGACACGTCCGTCTTTTGGGAGAGCGACATCACATGATTTAATAATCTCTAGTCAAAGGGCGAAACAATTGTTAGGTCGTCGGAATAGGTTCGAAGATATCTTTTCACTTAAACCCGTATCATCTGTCAAACGCGATTCATCCGTATCGGCGGAACAATCAAGTAAGAGGGTACGAACCGTTTCACAAGTCCCGATGGTGAGAGCATATTCCACGACCAGAATATCATTAGAAAGACGTCGTTCGGATCTTCGACAAACACCTCCAGAATCGACAGATGACTCTTGTGATGAAAGGGCAGGAATGAAGGAAAGAGGAGAAGGAGAAGATGAATGGGCAGCTGGATTGTTGTTGCATTTTGCGAGCCAATGAGGGAATCTATCAATCTTGTTTTTGGTGTCAATGGGGAGAGATTAGATATAGATCTACATACAATTGGGTGAAGACTGGACCTTGGCGAAGCGAAAGAGAAGAAGTGACTCATACCTTTACGAAACCATGTGAGGTGAGTGAGATCATTGTGAAGATTGTTATCTCAGTGTTTTACGATGCATCTGTCATTCGTCATCAGCAGTAAACGACGCTCATCCAGGAGGATCAAGCATGTGGTTACTACAGTAATCAGTACATACATGTTCTTAATAATGGATAGCGGGACGTATCCAACCATATTCCACGTCTTGTGACTACGGCGGCGGACCGTCATCAGTACAAGTAGCTTTAAGACACGCTGGCGTCTTGGGGAATACCGCACCCGTCGTATCGAGGTTGATGGCGCAATTAGCTGAGAGTGTTCCTTGGAGTGTACACTGTTTGTCAACTGCTTTCCTCGTCACTCCTTACTTGGTTCAACCGTCCGAAACATCACAATAACGGGCCTCTGTACCGGAAAAGTGGGTGGGGACGACGAGAGGGACTGAAGCTGAAGGGAGGACGAATGAAAAAAGGGGCGTGCAGAGAAAATCCACGCACATCTTTGACACTTTTAGTCTTCTTAGCATCCCTATCTTCCCAACTTGCATAAGTAAACACCGTGAAATGAATGTATGGGTCGTTGCATGTACTAGGCAAGGTGACGTTTTGCGGTCCGGGACTGTTGGCATTAAGACTTCGAAGAAGAACAGGACCATTCCATATCTATCTTGCTCAGCTGCACTCGGAACACATCCCCTATGAAACCCTGAATTCGGCCCCGAGTATAGGACTCAAAGGTAAAGGGGAGGAAGAGAAGTGGGTATCAAGTAGTGGTTCTGCACATGGAGAGGATTCAAATTTGACGACAGAGTAGAAACTCACATGGGCTTCGCTGAAATCTGCGGTGACACCATATGTTACATTATACGTAGGACAAGTAGGCTGAGCGGTGACGGTGGCCGCAGGAGCTGTCAAAGATGTCGTCCCGCCGTCCCTGTTCATGAGCTTTCGTACGGAATGGCATGTTCTGCGAAGGACGGATGTCGTTTACAGAGTTTATTGTTGGAATCTGGGCACCATGTGCAACGTGCACCTGCTTGTTGCGCGTCGCAGTCGATGTTGGGCAAGCCATGGGAAAGGATTTGGATTTAGACAACTCACCCTTCGCAAGTAACGACCAGGCCATTGCCCTTGGCTCGATCCGGAAGGTAGTACCATCCCCAGAATTGGCTATCGGCATTGATCCCCAAGGTGGTGGAATCTAACGTCGGGACTCCAGAGATGAGACACTACTATCAGTATCTACCATCACGTCATAATCCTTCCTTCTGATATACGCATTGCTCCCGATGCACTGCATGTACGGAAAAATGGATGAGGACAAAATGTCAAAACTCACATGGATCACCTCGGCATATTTAGACGTATTGGCGTACGATGGATACGTTGAAGGCCAAGTGGTAATATCCAATTGCATTGGATCATCACATGCCGAATAAGTTATGTTTTGTTGATAGACCGTCGAAGTTTTGTCTGATGTCGCCCAGACTTCTTGTTTCCCTTGTTTAGCCTGTCAATCAGTCCCAACCCCACATGATTTACAGAGGAAACTTCGTGACTAAAGCCGCTCATGTCGGACGAAACAAAATTCACACACTAATACGCCCGCCATGTGAGACCTTGAGTGTCAAGGGAAGAGACGGGGTGAAGGTGGTTGAGGTGAAAGAGGGAATGAATACAGTGACACGAAGACTGAACTCACGTGGGTCGATGTCCATGCTGAGCCCATGATAGTGATGACACTCGATTTCGATGTGCACGAGGGCTATCTGATCAGCTACTGACACAAACGTTGACATACCAGACTTACCGCTGCTGCAGAACTCGAGGCGCTATTAGAGGCGCTGTTAGAGGCGCTATTAGAGGCGCTGATAGAGGCGCTGCTCAGAGCGCTACTCGAGGCTGCGCTGGTCGTCGAGACCGACGCAGAGCTTGCGGTAGAGGTTACACTGGAGCTTGCACTGGCGGACGGAGGGGGACAAGCGCATGTACTGGGATCAACTTCCCGTCAGCAACAATCGGTTCAGTGTCCATGAGGGACTCACCTAGCGGGGTAGAGAATGCGACTTGCGCAAGAATAAGGAAGATTCCCCACAGGGGCGTCGTCTTGCCGCTCAACAGCATGGTTAGTAGTCAGAAACGAAAGCTGACGGGTAAGATATCAGAAAAGCGATCACGATCCTATCTGATCTTGTGAATAGCGCTTCTGTCCCTCGCTCCCTTGCTCTCACATGTTAGAAGCGAGGGATCCTTTGGACTACCCCACCATATATCTCGATCCATTCAAAGATGAGTCCCGCTGCCCACTGGTCATCTCAAAGGAGGACAAGGAGACGAAGTCGCCCAGGATCATTGGCTATCTATGAAGCGGACACCGGCTTTCAATGAGGTCCCACGTGTGAGAATGTATGTCAGTAGCGAGGGCCCGAATAGTCAATAGTTAGCTCGAATACGGTGGCCCACCTTTCGTGCAGTTAGATTCGAGGCATGGGTGTGAGCTAGGGAATTTGGTCCCCTGACCATCGATCATAATCTCACAGTCGTCCGTGAGATCCCCTTTCAGGATGCACTGAACATCAGCTGCTGAGACGGTTGTACTCGGGACGAGTGCCAGACTGTTGAAAGGGAGGTAGCTCGAGCCCAAGGCAAAGATTGGAGGAGGGGCGGTGAAAGATGAACGCACATCTACGGTACTTTTTGGTTTATTCTCACCCCTATCGAGCCATTTGGCATATGTGTATACGGTATAATGGATGTACATGTCGATGCACGAGCGAGTCTCGTTGACCTTGTTGGGCCCCGTGTTGCCGTCGTTAGTGCTCGAGAGGACCAGACCGCTGTTCCAAACCTTCGACTGTCAGTCATCGAGCTTCACGCCTGTCAGATAGTGAAGATTTGGAGAAATGTGCGGATAAGAAACGCAATTGTTGCACTGCTATGAAGATGATGGACTCACCTGTACAGCCGTGTAGTTGGATATGATATTGTATGTGAGATTATATTCCGGACAAGACACAGGTGCAGTAGCGGCTGCAGCCGCGGCGGAAAGTGAAGTCGTTCCACCATCACTGAGCGTGAGCTCATTCAGGTAGCTTTATGCACAGGGAGGACCATCTCGGCGGGGAAAGGAGATGGTGCCCAAAATTTCCTCAAGCGACTGAGAACCAGGTGGAACGAAGTGTACTTACCTTTCGCACGTCACGTTGAGACCGCTGTCTTTCTTGGTTCCAGTGTCCAAGTCCCATTGCCAAGGCTTTTTCGCTTCAAAGAGACTGAGTGTGGCCGTTTGAAAGGCGGGACTGCCAGTGATGAGACACTGACATTAGCTGTCAACTACCATGTCATTTCAAGGAGTAAGAGACTTACATGAACGGTGTCCGAGTACTTGGATGTGTTGGTGTATGGAGACTCGGAAAAGGGCCATGTAGTGATATCCAACTGCATTGGCTCGTCACAAGAATTGTACTCCACGATCTGGGCACCAGTGGAAGTAGCCTTGTCAGGACTGATCCATAATTCTTGCGATCCTTGTTTGACCTTTGAGTGAGTGTCATCTACACATTCACTACCGTCCGCTGTATGCAGCCTCAGAAACTCGGAAGTCCCGTGTCCTTGAGGTAGGGGTGAGAGGTCAAACAGCTGAGAAGCAAGTTAGGAGGAGCAAGAGGCAATGCTCACATGTGCAGAGGTGAACGCAGAAACTTCGACAACGATCACACCTGAACTGGGGGTACACGACGGCTTGGAGTTAGTTGTCACCCAGACAGCAGAAAACTAAGTTTACCAAAGCTGGGATACTTGAGCTGCGGGGGCAAGCACATGTACTCGGATCGACTGTGAGTCAGCTTGGCACGCACACAGTGTAGACTTAGGATATCAGATTGATAGTTGTATGACGGAATACTCACCCAGAGGGCTCCCAAGGGCAAATTTAGCGACAAGAAAGATCAAAGTCCACATCACAGCTGCCATTGAATGTACGCTGGCCTGAGTAAGGAGAAGACAGACCAGCCGCAGTAGTCTAGTAGTGAACAGTGAGGATACTCCAGAGTCCTGGAACGTGCCATAAGAGTCAGTACTTTCTATTCTAGTGAATACTTCAGCTAACAACCAACCATTCAGAAACGGTCTCCACATGGGATCTTCAGGCCGGTGACAGCAAAGGAGGGATGAGTGTAACGGTAAGCTGACCACGGGTCAGGGGTCCGGGATCCGCTCTTTGTCAGGTGAGACATCGATCAGCTTAGACCTGACACCACTTTTGTCTCTTTCTAGCCACGCCGTGAGCCCCTTGCCCCTGCTTTAGTCACAATACGTGTGGGTTAGTGTTGAAGGGAAAGAAGGAAGACAGAGGGAGAGAGCGGGATAAGTTAGGGAAAGGGGGAGCTGTGAGCCCATTTGCGGGGCTCCATCAACGCGGAGGTCGCCGCTCCCGGGATCGCCCTTCGACGACTCAAAAGTTGAAATTTACAGGTAACTTAGCTTGAACGCTGTCACATCTCTCTTGCTCTGTTCCTAACGCATTATTGCATGAAAAGCATGTCTTCTGAACGTGAGTATATTCGAAGATAAGTATGAGTGACCACGACTGACCGGTAGAACCAATCAAAAACCCTTATGCGGATCTCATCTCCCAGGAGATCTCCATCATTCCTTCGTTCACCCTGGAGTCCGGAGTCACGCTGCAGAATCTTCCCGTGGCGTACAAAACCTGGGGAACGCTCAATGATGCAAAGGACAACTGTTTAGTACTCTGTCATGCTCTCACAGGTAGTGCAGATGTCGAGGACTGGTATGTTTCCTCTCTCTCTCTCTTCATCATTCTGCGAGGTAAGCTCACATTTCAGGTGGGGACCATTGCTCGGACCGGACAGAGCATTTGATCCTACTCGATTTTTCATCTTTTGCGGCAATGTCATTGGATCTCCATATGGAACAATCTCCAGTGTCACCTTGAACCCGGAGACGAATCGTCCTTATGGTCCTGAAATGCCAGGTTCAAGTGTCAAAGATGATGTCAGGTTAGTCCCTTGGACCGGAAGTATATGTATCAATGTTGAATGTCAGGTTGCACTATATCATTTTGAGGAGACTTGGTGTCGAATCTATCGCAGCGGTTGTTGGAGGTTCCATGGGTGGAATGACAACTTTGGAATACCCTCTTAACACTCCTCCGGGTTTTGTCAAAGCTATCATTCCTCTCGCTACCTCCGCCCGACATTCAGCATGGTGTATCTCATGGGGTGAAGCACAAAGACAATCCATCTATTCTGATCCGGAATACAAAGACGGTTATTATTTCGAGACTCCTACTGGAGTCGACCTGACTCGACAACCAGCGCGAGGTCTGGCCGCTGCTCGCATGGCGGCACTTCTGACTTATCGTAGTAGAGATTCATTCGAGAATAGGTTCGGTAGAAGAGCCGGTGTCGGTAAACCCAATAAAGTACCTAAAGGAGGAGTGAGGATTATGGGTGGACCAGAAACTACGGATCCGAACGCTCCAGGAGAGAGTGATTTGGCCAGGAGTCCAAGAGAAATAGCTTGGAGAGAACATAATGATGGTCATAAGATTAGTGGGGCGGGACCATCAAGACGAGGATCAGAAAGTAGCACAGGGAGTTCGGTCGTCAAGGATGGGGAGACGACCTTGATTGTGGACAACATTAAGTCGAAAACACAAGCAGGAGATGGACAATCGAAATTGGGTACTGGGGGTGAAAGAGCTCCGAAGATCTTCTCCGCCCAGAGTTATCTTCGTTATCAGGGTGACAAGGTGAGTGATCACAGGTCTGAGATATGAACTCCGCTCACGTCATAGTTCACTGGTCGCTTTGACGCCAACTGTTATATTCATATCACGAGGAAACTCGACACTCACGACTTATCACATCCTTCCGCATTCCCCCTTTCCCCTGCCCAGCCTACACTTTCATCAACCCTCATCCCCCCAGAAGACCCAGAGGATCCAGAACAGATCTTCGCCGCTCTTCACAAAGCTCTCTCCCTCCTGCCACCAGCATTGGTCATAGGCATCGAGTCCGACGGTCTGTTCACCACCACCGAGCAGAAAGAACTCGCCGCTCACATTCCCGATGCAGAACTCGTCGTCATTCCCTCACCGGACGGACACGATGGCTTCCTGCTCGAGTTCGAGGCTATCAATGGCTGGATCGACGGATGGATGCGACGAAAAATGCCTACATTCTTCGCACAACGAGTGATATCTTTAGACGAATATGACAAGGGTGAAGAAGGTTGGGACATTAAGAAAGAAAGTGTATTCGGGGAAGCTGAAGCAGACGTCACACGATGGTAACTAGTCAGTCAATCAAGCGCCGTTTCATTATATCAACATCTCTCGAAAAAATCTGCATATGTCTATTTTCCAGTACAAACCTAGTCAGATCATATACAATTCCGATGTCTACATATAAGGGTCGTCGCTACTACTGAGACGAGTCATCGTTACTCATGATGGGGATGATGCAAGGAATGACTGAGAGGGGGATGCTCCTCGGGTTCAGACTTGACCCTGTGATTATCTTCGGCTTCCCACTTCTCACTTTTACCATCCCATCCCACACCCTCAACCTTGAGCTTCTGACTCCCGAGCCTGGCGCTGAAGAACCGTCGGCCATGTTCGCCTGGGACGACCCTCTCCTGGGTTTCCTCCAACCATCCTCGCACGCCAGTCCGCAGGTTGACATAATTGACAGGTCCACCTTGTGTCGCAGTTTGTAGATGTAGGTACAGTCTATGAGCGAGGAAAAGCAGCAGGAGGGCGGAAAGACCACATGTGGAGAGAAAAGCGGTGAAGAGGAGGACAGGAAGGAGGAGGGATACTGGTTCAAATCAGTATCTTGCTTTCTTCGTCTCGATAGGAGACTTACTCGAGATGAAGAGTACACCCATGACAGAAAGACAGATCATAATTGCCGCAATGCTCAAAATGAAACTGGTGGCACCAACTACGAAAGCCCTGCTTACTCAGCACCTATCACAGCTCGCGCCTCAGATCGCACTTGAGCCACGACTTGTCCACTCACACGAAACAGAAAATTGGAATGAAGCTTAGTGCAGAAAATAGAGCCAGGAAGGTCTTTAGATCAGCTTCACTCCGTTTGAATATCCTCTGGAAGGGTGACTCACGAACAACACGGGTTGTGTTTCGGCGAAGTTGCGAGCCGTATCGGCGTATGGCATGGCAGCAGCTTGCAGTCTGAATGGTTTCAGCGACGGTCAGAAGATGAAGTAACGAACGACCTCACCTGTCCGATTGTGCCCGGACTTTCCTCACTGTCTCCTCGACCACTTTGTGCACATCGCGTTCGACACGGGGCTTTGAATCGGTCGACATATTTGTTCCTTCTGAAAGGTGGGCAGGGTCCGTACTGATATCTGAAGAAGCTGGGGAAATCTTGACAATGTCAGAGTCTTGATCGTCGTATCCCGCTTCCATGCTGATAACCTGGAGCTGAGTTGAAAGAGAAATCCTTGGTGAATGGATGAGATGAAAGTGTTGTTTCCTGATGATGCGGTCATTCCACGTGGGGGTGAAACCTAATCGATCCTCCCCTCTACTACCAGGACCTCCCCCACCTTACACGCCGTTGCCGACATAAAGGTACATTCAACATTCCTTCTCTACCCATGTCTCTTATCTCACTTTTCAGATCATGAACCAGACTCCTCAAATAGCCCAAGACTTGCTCAAAAATCCTACAGACGAGCTGAAAGAGCTTTTGTCGAATCCCTCTACTCGGGACATCATGTCCACCCCCGGTCTGAGCGTGGCCAACGGCCACTCACCTACGAATAAAGTGGGCGATGGGAGGTTACAAGTTGTTGACGAGCATCAGAACTTTACGTGAGTCGTCAGCGTGATAGACTCGTCATAGTGAGATACCGACAGCTGACTCTTGATCAGCAAAGACCTCTCTAGCTATCTTGAAAGATGGGGGCTGCTCGACAAGGGCTTTGCCTACGACGTAGTAGCTGTCTTCGGCTCGCAATCGACTGGCAAGTCGACCCTGCTCAACAGGCTCTTTGGCACCTCGTTTGACGTCATGGATGAGGCCAAGCGACAACAAACTACCAAAGGGATATGGATGTGTCCCTCTGCGTACTCCTCCACGTTGGTTATGGACGTTGAGGGGACAGACGGTAGGGAAAGAGGCGAGGATCAAGATTTCGAGAGGAAAAGTGCCCTGTTCTCCTTGGCTAGTACAGAAGTGCTCATTGTCAATCTTTGGTGCGGAGTTTTCAGTTGCATGTGAGCGGTGTCACTGATCTGTAGGGAACATCAAATCGGTTTGTACCAAGGGGCCAACATGGGATTGCTGAAGACCGTCTTCGAGGTCAACTTGGGGCTTTTCGGAGGGGGAGTAGAAGAGAATAAACCGAGGTGAGCAGTAAGCTTGACATCCGTTTTACTCAGCTAAACTCCATAGACCCCAGGAGAAGACGCACATTCTTTTTGTGATCCGAGATCATGTCGGTTCTACCCCTATCAGCAATTTGACAGCCACTCTCACAGCCGACATGGACAAGATCTGGGCTTCATTATCAAAGGTACGACTTTCTCAGGGGTCTCTTTTGCAAGCTGATATTCCAGCCCGATCATTTGAAAGAATCCACTCTTCAACAGTATTTTGATCTCTCCTTTGCCGCTTTGCCTCACAAGATTCTGATGCCGGATAAATTCGAAGAGGCCGTGTTGGAACTTCGAAAGAGATTTGTAGATCGGAGTAGGAGTGATTACATCTTTCAGCCTGCATATCACAAACGTATACCGGCCGACGGTGTTGGGTTTTACATGGAAGGTATTTGGGTACGTTCCATATAACGTCAGGGTTTAGCTGATCAAGTGTAGCAACAAGTCTTGACCAACAAAGATTTAGATCTGCCTACGCAACAAGAGCTCCTTGCACAATTCCGATGCGATGAGATTTCCGCAGCCGTCATAGACACCTTCAACGTCAGCTCAAAGGTGGTTCGAAAACCTGTCGAGGCGGGTTCTGTGGTAGAGGGCTTGGGAGCTCTGATCAAGGACTGGATCGCCACAGCTTTGAGTGAGCCTTATTTCCTGTACTCTTGTCAGGCTCGGCTGATGTGTGAGGCAAATTCGACCGCGATGCGTCGCGGTACCATGCTGGCGTGTATCAGCGGAAACGACTGGATCTCCTCGCTGTGTTGCACACCTCTCTATCGCCTGTCTTTCTTGGTCAAGTGAAAAATCTCCACAAGATGGTCGCTGCGAAGTTTACCAAGGACATCACTGCGGGTCTAAAGGATCCAGGATACGACTTCGCTGCGGTAGTGAGCAAGGGCAAGGCGAAGGCTCGAGAAGAGTTTTTAGCCGGAGCAAAGGGTGAGTCAACTGCGCTATGTGGCTGTGGACCATTGTAGCTGACTTCACCAGAAGTCAAGGTTGAGAACACAGATTGGGAATATGAGCACGAATTTGAACTGCTAGACGAAGATCTGAGGCTTATTGCCGATCGATGTAGGGCGGACGAGACTAAAAAGATGGTCAACGCTATTGAGGTGAGTCACAAATGGTAGTCGTGAGGGTCATACTGATGAATAGCGGACGGTCAAGCGACAGTTGTTGGAACCTGTTGAATTAGCCTTAAGTAAACCCAAACCTGGCATGTGGGACACGGTCTTGACTGCCTATCGCCAAGTTTCGTCCACAGCGGAAACCACCTATCTGACAAAGGCAAAGAGTGAGTTCTGAGCTCTGAGCAGAGCTTACGCCAGGCTTCGGGTGCACAGACGAGGAGAACGAACACGCTCTATCCACCATTCGTGCCCGCTCATGGATGGCATTACGGCGCAAGTTGGAAGAACAGATATCAGATGCGACCATTCTAGGTACTCTACGTACGACATTCGAAGAGAGATTCCGATATGACGAACATGGTGTTCCTAGGGTCTGGCGACCGGAAGATGATATCGAGACAGCGTTTACAAAAGCCAAAGATGAGACCCTTACCCTTCTCCCATTGTTCGCAAATATATCACCTACCCATTCTACACTCCTTCCTAAACTTCCTACTCCAGAGGTGTCCCATGATGTAGACGCCGATCCTACACCTTTCGACCCGTCCACAGCGTACAACTTGATTTCTCCAACGAGAATGTTGTCTTTGGAAAATCGGTTCAAACGCGATGCAGATGCGGCGTATGTGGAGGCGAAGCGAAGTGTAGTATCGAGTGTAGCTCAAGTACCATTGTGGATGTACGGTGCCTTGGCAGTGTTAGGATGGAACGAAGCCATGGCGGTTTTGTTTAATCCATTATATTTCGCTATGCTCTTGGTCATTGCTGCTTCTGCGTGAGTCTGCTTTTCTTCTCCAGCCTCGACATTTCGCTTCCTCACTTCCAGTTCAATGTGCTCTGTATTGCCACCCTCATCTCTTCATCAGTCGTTTTTGCGCGTCATCGTTGTATCTAATCTGCGCCGAGGAGGGAAGTGCTGGTTATTCAACTGACAAACAGATATCTCATTCTCCAACTGGGTCTTGCCGGACCCCTCTTACAAATCTCACGGACGATCATAAATGAAGTGAGTGGTTCCCACTAAAGTTTCACGAGCTTACCTCAGATCCGTCGGATAGCTACAGACAGATTAAGGGAAGCTTTCGCCGATGTACCAGAAGCTAGACAGTTGGTGGAGCCCGTGTCGGCCGTGGCGAGCGGTGTGGAGGATAAGGGTAGGGAAGCCAGACGTAGAGGTGATTTGTTAGGAGAGAAAATTGCAGAGTTGGACAAGTAATGTGTATGCATTGTAGCATTTTGTGTTTGTACCGTATTTTCCCAGTTTTGACATCTTCACGCATTGTCCCTTGCAGTAACTCATCGTTTTCGACCGCATTATCCCTCAACTGAACACGATGGGTAAGAAAACTGACCAGATGGGTTTCCATCTTGTTCCCCCGTGAAATCATCAAACAACACGGATCAATTCCTCCTTGGGATCCTCGGGATCCTCAGTATTCTCGGAATCTTCATTGGTAGACACAAAGCTTCCACCTAATCCTATGACATCCAACACCGTCTTACCTTCTTTTTTCCCTACTACAACTCTGAAAGGTTCTTTCACAGTCAATTCAGATTGTCTATGTAATCCTATCTAATCAGCCTTTCGATATTCACAAAGCTAAGTGGGTCCGAACTCACCTTCGATTTCATCTATCCTATTTCGAGTTTTATCCAAATCTTCATCGAATCCAGGTTCCGAAATGACCGATTGGACTGCTCTAAGAAGTAACACCGAATCAGGTCTTACATGATGATGAACCTTATTGAGTCAATTCGGTCCTACGCCGGGTCATGATCTTTGACTCACATCTATTGAAATGATCTAACGTCAGCACCAAGTAAATTTCAGATGAATGACGTAAGATGAGTCAGAACTCACATGTGCTTGATCGAGAGGTTGGAGGAAATCAGTTCGAGTGGATATAACTCTAGCTTCTGCGTAAGACACTTTTGCCATTTCGAGATCTTCGTCCAATGTGGTCATGGTGATATCTTCGGTAACTGGTGGGACTTTTTGTGCTAAATGTCGAAGAAGTAGCCAAGAACAGCTGAAATGTCAATTCTTTGTAACAGGAAATGATAAAAAGATCTCACCTGGCCCATTTTTGCTCGTCCCTAGTTTCTCAGCTCCAAACCTGACTGACTGATACAAGTGGTGTGGTGAAAAGAAAGACTCACATGACATCATCGTCGTGATCCGGTATCAGACCAATTCTGTATTTCGTCATTTTCACACACTGAAAAGAGGGGAACTTAGACATACCTTGACAACAACCATTCTTTCTCCATCTCTACCATATACCTAGCTTCGTCTATCAAATCAGTACGAGGAAATTATTGGAAGTAGCTGAGAGACTTACCTAACATATCTGGTGCTCTTGCCACACGAGCTAGATAGCTGGTTCTACCTCCCACTAACTCATACACCTGCCTGAGGATGTCATCGCTTTCCACTTTGACTTCTTCCGATTCAAGACCAGATTGGATCTGGAGAAGACTAGCGCGTCGTAGTCGTTGTAACGCACGGATGGACTCGGCAGCTGGGAGATCGTACACGCTGACGATACGCATACGTGATGCGTTTTTCTTCATCATATCCAGACACCCTGTTCGTCAGTGCAATAAACTTGCATATCTAGGAAGATAATTGTGCTCACAAAAGTCATCGGTGGAGAATAACATGGTGAGGATACCCTTCCAAGTCAGCTGGTGGGCAAAGAACAAATTTGATGACTCGCCCCTTCGGCCCATGCTTCAGCTCGTTGTTGTAATTGATGCAGCAACGCATGACCTTCAGGACTATCTGGGAATAGATGGACGTCTGTATGATCAGCTCAGTGGAAAAGCTTGGGGGAACACCATCAAGATCCCTTTCCGATGTCACCTACTATTTCACACGATGAGACAGAGAGTGATTCGAGACTTACTGTTGAACGCCAACACCAAAGGTCGCTTGTGTTTCTTGGCATACCGCAAGGCGACCTTCTCTAACTTGTTCAACGCACGTTCAACATCCAATGCAGGTCCTCCTTGTCTTGGATCCGCTCGACTGAATAATGATCCCTGCCAGTCTTCGAAGAAGTCGAAATCGAGTGCTTTTCCAAGTCGTAATCGGAACACTTCGAGGTCGGGGTGGGCTATATAGTCAACTCAATATACTCAATGATAAGGGAATAAACAGGCTTGCCTTCACAAAAAGAAGCTCCCTCTGCGCTGATTTTCCGCATCGCACAGTGAATTAGCTCCTTCAATGACAAGAGAAAGAAAACCTACTCAAGAATCATAGTTCCCTTACCGGAACCTTTAGGACCTATGATGAGGTAGTAACCACCCCGTTCCTCTCCTCTCACTATCCGATCTATCAATCCTTGCTCCTTTCGTTCGATGTGGGCTGCATTAGGAGCATGTAGAGTCGACAGTTCCAACGCAGGATCATACCCAGGCTCAAATGCTCGTTCCATACGCGACAAAACATGGGCCTTGTACCATTCCAGGTAGCCGACCCCGGCGCCGAACACCATTCCGAGTCCTACCATCGTGGTGAGGGCGGCTTGAAAGCTGGCCGAAGATACCCATTGGTGCCAGAAAGAGTCATGGCGATTGGAAGTGGTAGAGGATGAAGGAGATACCGGGTCAGAGGGACCGACTGGGTTTTGAGGGATGGGAGGGGACGGCCAAGATGGGACGTCGTACCGAGTCGAAGAGGAGGACAGGGAACGGGCAGAGAGAGTACGAAAGGGGAGATTGTGAGATGAGGAGAGGCTGAGAGGATGGACGGACAGGCGAGACGAGTGACGAGCTACACGAGTGAGCGTGGGGATAAGGACCATATCAGATGCCAGACTAAGTAACTTGTATGTTAACACATATGACCTGGAGCATGGAGCAAGGCGAGTTGTCACTTTCGACACGTCCACCGCGACTGATTTCTTTCTCGTTTGACTGGTGTCGATGGCGATGGTAGGGTACAAGCTGCTAGCTGCTACTAGCTACTTGGCCCAAGGGATCATAGGGTGACCCGAGGTCGATGGATACGGGAGAATTAAGCATAAGACAGCCGCCGTCACTATCGTGAATGTCATGACTCAGGGAAGGAGAGGAGGAAACGACGTGCCTGCTTTCTTCATTATCGTATCCTTCCCCAACGTCAACATCCTCCTTACTTGACCTTGTCCTTTTGTAGAAGTTGGTTCAACCTACCTTACCAGTAGTAGTAGAGATCTCTTTCCTCCTCGTCATCACACTCGTCTTCCTTGGCATCCACCGGATTGACAGCCTTCACTCTGACCACATCCATAGTCATCATGCCATCCCCTACAAAACATCGTCCACTGTCCCGACAACCCTCATCCCCTTCCCTCGCAGTCGGCCTCCCTCCCCCTCTCCCAGAATCAAACGTCATGACACCCTCTACCTCCACTAAATCTCTCAAGAGATCTCGCCGGCATCGTCAACATCGCGGAGATGTAGAATCATCATCGACATCCGCGGGTAACTCGAGCGACGATGCTGAATTCCTCGCCACCCCAGTTCATTCAACCCTATCCATGGACGTTACACCCAAGAGAAAGGTCTTGGGTCCCGTCGAATCTACCATGTCCGGTGCGAGGAAGAAACGAGAGACCTTGCAAGCTCGACTTCAGGCGTCAACGCAAGTTCGAAAGAGCAGAAGCGTTGGAGACAACCTGCGGGGGTCAGGGATGGAGGACGGATCTGTCAACACTAGCCTTAAGAGAGGTAGTGTCTCTTCCGACAAGGTCGTCGTCTGTGTCAGGTGAGTCCAGAGGCGTTAGGCTGAGTAATATTGAGAGGCTGACGAGAGCAGAGTCAAGCCCACCACATCATCGTTTCTATCGTTAGCATACGACCTGACATCGACATCACTGAGCCTCTCAGATGCACACCCAAACGTCATCAAAAGAGGAGGTAAAGCAGGACGAGAGAACGAATATACGTACACGTTTGGTGAGTATCTCTCCCGCTCGTCTCTTCAATATAGACCTTGACACTCCAGATGCTCTACTCAGAGCACCGGCTAAGACACCCCAGCTATACCATGCTAAAGTCGCACCATTAGTGGACAAAGCAATGAACGGTTTTAACAGCACAATATTTGCGTGTGTACCCAACCTAGCCCTTGTCACCAATTGACGCTGATGTCTTAGCTATGGTCAGACCGGATCCGGAAAGTCCTTCACCATGGCGAGCTATCCTGTCTTCTGAAGTTTGAGTGAAGCTGACGGTATAGAGCGGCAGTCCGACCGAGCTGGGTATCATACCCTGCGCTGTTGACGGTGTCTTCGATGCCATCAATACGGTACGTCCGTCTGTCGTGGCGATTTTTTTTTCGTCTGTCGTGGCGAATACGGCCGGCTACTGATTGTACAGGAGCAGGATCGTGCATATCTCTTGAGGGTCTCATACATCGAAATCTACAATGAAACACTTCGAGACTTACTGAACTTCAAGCGTGGACCTCTGCGTGATGACGAGAAACCATTTATTCATACTTCCAAGGTTGGTTCGAGCTACGCAGGAATCCTGTTGCTGATCGGCTAGGGGAAGGTATACGTAGAGCCACTGGTTGAGCACATCGTATCCACTCCGCAAGACGTTATCGATCTACTCAACAAGGGCAACGCTGGGAGAAAGACCAGTGCAACAGACTGGGTGCGCTATTTGAGATCATATTGTCAATACTCAGCTGATTTGATCAGAATGAGCGATCGTCTAGATCGCACAGTGTCTTTTCCATCGTCATCGAATCTCGCCCACGAGATGGGAATGGGGATGATGATATTCGGCTGTCCAGACTGAGTCTTATTGTATGTACAAACGGGATTCACCTCAGGGAAACATGACTGATGACCATAGGATCTCGCTGGCTCAGAGAAAGCGGTGTCCGATTTGGAGCGTAGGGGCGAGGGAAGGCACATTAACCGAAGGTGCGCAATAGTTTATGAATATAGCAAGATCGGCCAAGCTGACGAGCAGCTTGCTAGCCCTCAAGAACGTCATCAACAAGCTCACAGATAAAAAGAGGTTCGTCTCTTCGTGTGGTCATTCCGTGGCTCATCTCATAGCGGTCACATACCTTACCGAGACTCGAAGCTCACCCATCTCCTTGAGAATGCTCTAGGTGGAGATTCCAACATTTGCGTCATCTGCACGTGAGCTCCTCGGTCAAGTTGTGATTTTTACTGAATCACTCAGGCTGTCCGCAGAAAAAGAGCACGCCTCAGAGACCTTGGAGACGCTCAAATTCGCCGGAACTTGCTCTCAGGTCGAGACACAGGCTAAGAAGAACGTTGTACGTGTCGTGCCCTCCCTCTCTACCGAGTCGATGCTGACAAGGTAGCTATTGTCCTCTGACAGGGCTCTCATAAAGGCCAAGGATAAAGAAATTGAGGTTCTCAAACGTCGGCTTCAGGTACTCGCAGACGATCGTCCGACTACCCCACATCCTGGACAGATAGCCGATCTGGCCGACTCGGTCGCCGCTATGGAGGCTCGTAAAGCCACTCTCAACATGCAGCTAGCGAGGTTAAACGCTGAAATCCTAACGTCCGAGTTTCCTCGTGGTGCTCAGCCCGCCCCATCGATGATCAAGCGACGCCGGATCAGTGATTTTACTCCTACTCCTGGAAGTAGTCGGATGGCCCTGGGCGTAGGTAGTCCCAGGCCGGAGAAGGATTCCCGAAGGACAGTCAGCACGATGCTACGGGTTCCTGAAGAAAACGGTCTCGAAATGCTATCTGGATTTGTCCATCCTCCGGTATGTGGAACTTCCATCACTCTTTCGTCCGGTCGCTTATCATGTACAGTTTGAGCACGATCGTCAAGTCGCTACACTCAAGCGAAACCTTGCTGCCAGAGAGGCAGAACTTACTTCGGCTATCGAGCAGGCCAGACAGATGTCCATTGCGAAAGTCGAAGCGGACCGGACGCTACAAGACCGAGCGAATCTGCTAGAAGAGACCGAGAATCGTATGCGAGACATGCACGGTCAATTGGAATCGACTCGAGCGGAATTGGTCAGCGTGATCAATGAGAAAGCAGCCAAGATTGACGAACTTGAGAACACCGTCCTTGATCTACGCAAGTCTCGTGAGGATCTGATTATAGAAGATCAGCAACGTTTAGAGGATGTTCAAGCGGAGGTCGACAGACTCAGAATGATGCGAATGAACGATGACAGTCTACGAAAGGCTTTGGAAGAGAAGGATAGGGTAGTAGGGGAGATGAATGCACTGAAAACAGAGCACGCTCGAGAATTCATGCGGTTTAAGGCGGATTACGAGGCTATCAAAACTCCGCAGATTGACTGGGAGACTCGATACTATCAGGCGATGTCGCAGGTGGAACGACTTCGCGAGGAAAATCAGCCAGTGGTTGAGGAGCTCAGGGTGACGAATACGACCTTGGTGAGGGAAAGAGATCGGGCCATTGAGGCTCTCAACGGGTTCCAAAAAGCAGTAATTGGAGCGGAAAGCGAGGAGATGGTAACGCTCAAGACAGCCTTAGAGCAGGAGCGAGAAACAAAGGTCGGCCTGCAGCAGGATCTCGACAAGATGTCCTCTCAAATAAATGCCGAGATGTCGCTCAACAGGCAATTGTCGGAAGAGCTCAATAACACTCGTATGGCCAGTGCAGCTATCAGAGACGCGGTCGAGAAACATCATCAAGAAGCCAAAGAAGCTCTGGAGGGAAAGGCGATCTTGGAAGCTGAACTTGACACCGTTCGAAGGAAAGTGGATCAACTCTCGGTCCAACTCGAAATCGAGCGCAGTGTCGTCTCTGAGCACATTAGGGTTCGCAGCGACTTGGAGACTCAGGTGGCTTCTCTCTTCGAAAAGGCTCGACTTCAACAACGGCAGGCGGATGTCACGATGGTCTCTCACGAGGAGGAATTGCAACGACTTGTCGGTCAGTCTCGATCTGAACATGACGACTTGAAATTTCAACTCGACATTGCGCGCGATGAGATTGTCCGAGTCAAGAAATCTCATCAAACTAAACAAGACATTGCACACGGAAGAAACATCGAATTGCAGCAGACCATCATCTCCAAGGACGCGGAGATGGTTCAACTGACTGTCCAATTGACACAGGCCCGGAATGATCTTGCAAGCCAAGACGAAATACAGTGCTCGCTGGACGCAGCTAGGGGGGAGATCAGGCAATTGAGGGAGATCATTGATGGGTTGGAACGATCGTTGGGCGAGGCAGCGGCGGCCATGACCAATCTGGAGAAGGACAATTTGGAACAAGACGATCAAATCAGGAGACTCAAGGAACAGGTGGAAATGGAGAAGAAAGCGGCTCTCGAATCGGCCGCTGGAGCCAAGGAGCTTCAAGCAGAACAAGAAAAGGTGCGGTCGTTGCAGGGAGAAGTCGAGGTAGAGCGTAGGACTAGGGGAGTATTCGAGGGGGATCTCCGGAAGATGACAGATAAGTCAAACGAGATGAGTTCACTGGTGACTCGCCTACAATCCGAAGTGACTGTAACTTCCGAGAGATTGAAAGAAATGTCGGCTTCGAATGATCGACAAGCGGACAGAGCTCTTGAGGCAGAGACCAAAATCACTCGACTCGAAGCTGCTTTGTCTACTGCACAAGCGGATCTTCAGAGTTTCGAATTTGAGTATGAAAAGACCAAAGAATCACTTGCTACCTCTCGAGAGGACGCATTGCAATCGAAAGACAAAGCTATCAAACTCGCGAAAGAATTGCTCGAGCTGAAAAATACCGTTAGTAAGAAAACATCGCCTGAAAAGTTCTGGTCTGGACACAAGTCTTGGGCTGGACACGGACTGAGTGGTAGCTCGAGCGTGCGGTCTAATCTTCGATTGCAAGCATTACAATCTGATGGTAGTCAAACAGATAAAGAGGAGATTGAGAGGTTGGAGAAGGTGGTAGAAGCCCAACAGATTATCATCGAAGACCAAAGGGAGAAGATAGTGTTTTGGTCGACGGTGAGTATCTTTCGGTGTTGCTTCGACGCGGCCTGAAGGGGAGAGAGAGAGAGCAGCGCTGACGGATAGGAGCTTGAAAAACAAAGAGAAGTGGTTCGTTTACTCACTCAGGATGGAAATATCAACCGTATCTCGCCTAGGACCAAGTCGCCCCGTCTTAGCCTCAGTCGTGCGCCCAACGTCGGAGAATCTTCCCCTTCGCTTACCCCTTCTGCTGTGGGAAGCAAAAAGACTCGAACACATTTGCCAAGTTCGTTCACGGCGAGAAATCTGGCCTTGCCAACGAGTCCGACTCCATTACCGATGCATGGGAAACAAGTGTCTAGTGCGTCCAAGAAGGGTAGGAGGTTGACGATCGAAGCGGACATGGATTTCTTGACGGGTGAGTTTGATAGTTTGATCTTGTGTATCACACTCTATTTTCAGCTCTACTGTATGTCTATCAGTGAGATTAGTAAGCTCATGTTCAGAATCGAGCAAGGTCAATCGTCAAAGGGAACTGTTCGATATCCCTTCAGCTTCCCCCTCGCCCGAGAAAAATCCTAGAACGTTCGTCCTTGCTGCCCCGCCTTCTGTTCCACGGCAACGACGACCGTAAGAGATGGTTGCGAGTGTCTATCATCTGAGGGAACGTTGTGTAGCGCGGGTAGATCCGGGACGATGGGTAGGAACAACGTTTTTACTCGTAGGTCAGGACCATGATGTCACGACTGCACGAAGAACAATGACTTTGGGGTGTGAGGATAGAATTATTTCATTGTGTATATCTTGCATATGATGCCCGGGAGATAATGTATATATTGTTCAAGTATAGAGTATGATGCACTGTTGATCAGTCCAGTAATCGTATATTTCAATTGAAGAGCGACTGACTTGCAATTCAGATGGCTAATTCGACGATTGGTACATTTTCTTACAACATTCGATGATCTCATACTCTGATCATCAGCAACTACGGCTAACACAGCTACTATCGGAGGGGAAAGAAGTATTGAGAGGAATGACAAGTGTCCTACTGATATCACAGACGAAGGAAAAGGAAGGTCGTGAGTGAGAACTCACGATCGACCTCGTGGCCTATCTATCTTTCCTCGATAAACCTCCGCCGCCGTTCATTCATCATGACCACCACCTCTTTGCCATCTTGATGTCGCTCATGTTCCAGCCTCGTACCCAGAGAACGTTCCCTGGCGGGACAAGGGAACATGACGACCACCACCGCTCCGAGGAAAGTAGCTGTGAAAAGTGAAGAGAGTAGGGATCGTTGACGAGGTCGAAAGAGAGTACGAAGAAGCGGTGCCATGTATCTCGGGGGCTCTTTGGTTCTGTTCAGATTGCAAGGTCGAAGTTTCTCGTAGGTTATGTATGTAGTTTTGATCGATTGAAAAAATGCAATGGCGGATGGTATAGAGCGAGAATATGTTTGGGAAGGATGGATTTGAACGGACGAATGGTTGGGTGAGGAATTGACAGGACGTAAAGTGGGAGGTTGAATTAAAGTACGGAAAGTCGGACCTCCGTCAATTCTCGATCGATTGTTAGAAAGTTAGATATCTTTCTTCTTTCCTTATCGCAACTCGGTCTCAACGCATCTATCAAGCAGTGAAAGTAGGTAGACCATACAATGTCCATAACGACGCGTGTCTTCAAAACTTCTCGAGTGAGCACTTATCAAGCTGTGTTGATCGGCAAGTTCACTGACCATGTAGATAGTCCAGCAAATTCACTACCGGAGTCTTGCCACTGCCCTTCCCCCATCTTCCGAAGCCTCCACATCTACATCCAGGCGATTTCAAAAGTTAGACGATGGTCTAACATTCAATGATTTTCTTTCTGGTGATATTCCTCCAGATCAAGAACGCGTCGTTTTGGGCAAAACCAATCAGTAAGTCTGGGGCAATAGTGAGCGGATTGGACTGATAGAAGACCTCGATTACCTGCGTTCTTAAAACATCCTATAGCCACTGGCGCTTCGTATAGTGGGATCAAGAAGGACTTGAGAGGGTTAGGACTACATACGGTTTGTGAAGAGGCCAAATGTCCGAATATCGGGGAATGCTGGGGAGGGGGGAAAGGTAACGCTACGGCGACTATTATGGTGTGTTGCTTGTCCCTTCTCATCTTCTCTTTTCCAGCCCACTTTCATGGCAATTACCTAATCTTAAAGCTATTGAGTTCACTGAGGCTGGTGATGGCAATGCTTGAGAGACAATCACGCTGACATATAGCTTATGGGTGATCAATGTACTCGAGGGTGTCGATTTTGCTCTGTAAAAACCTCACGAGCGCCACCTCCTCTCGACATCCACGAACCTGAACATACTGCAGAGGCAATATCACGCTGGGGTCTGGGATACATCGTGTTAACTAGTGTCGACCGGGATGGTCAGTCATTTCATCTACACAGGTCTGTTGAAAGACGCTTATACGATATAGACTTGATTGATGGTGGTGCTGCCCATATCGCCTCAACGATATCAAAGATCAAACAGAAAGCGCCCAACATCCTCGTGGAAGCTCTCACACCGGATTTTGCCAACAAAGGCGTGGAGGCCATTCACACCGTAGCGTCATCAGGCTTGGACGTTTTCGCTCACAATGTGGAAACAGTCGAGAGATGCACACCGTTCGTCCGTGACAGACGAGCTGGATTCCAGCAAAGTTTGAAAGTTCTCCAAGAGGCCAAAATCGGAGCTCGGAAAGCCGGAAGGGAGATTCTGACCAAAAGTAGTATCATGCTGGGAGTGGGAGAGGAAGAACACGAAGTCGTAGAGACTCTCAAGCGTGAGCGCAGCATTTGTTTATGTGTATCGTTGATGCGACTGACATTCAGGACTGAGAGATTCAGGCGTCGATGTGGTCACTTTCGGACAATATATGCGACCTACCAAAAGACATATGAAAGTAGACAGATATGTCTTACCTGAGGAATTCGCACGTTGGAAGGAGGTAGCGGAAGGTATGGGATTCTTGTATGTTGCCTCTGGTCCATTGGTCAGGTCTAGTTACAAAGTGAGTGTGATTTTCCATCCCTTCCAAGGGTCGAGCTTATCTACAGGCCGGCGAGTTTTTCATTGAGAATGTGCCCAAGAAACGTCGTGCGGCATCTGCTCAAAAAGCTGCCGAGCAACTTACGTTGTCACAAGATAGCGCTGCAACGGCCCGATTGTGATAGGTGAGGAGAAATGTACTATATATTATATGCATGTTGTCAACCGTAACCCGTAAAGAGTAAGGCCACTAGGCTATACACTGTACACTAGCGGCTTGATCGAAACAAGCATGCCTGAGTTGTCCCCAGGAAAGGTCTTAATTACGCCTTTTCAAACGTTTTTGGACTTAATTACACCCATCTCAAAAAAAAGGACTTAATTACACCACCCTCCCTGGACCCCTAATGCATGCAAAGCATGCATTAAAAACACTCTCCTCCACCCCTAACCACCTAACCCCCTAACCCCCTAACTTCCCCTAACCCCCTAACGTCGTTATGCATGGTCAATACCCCCCCTAACTTGGTGCCCATAGTCCACCCTAACTGGGGGGCAGTAAAAAGGACCCTTCCTCCAGCCAAAAGACGTAGTTAAGACCCAGATCTCGGAAAAGGCGTATTTAAGTCCAAAAACGTTCCGAAAAGCGTAATTAAGACCTTTCCTCGAGTTGTCCCTATCATGATATCTAAGTTAAGGGGTTTTTGTAACAAACATGACGCGTGGTTTTGGGGAAAAAAATCCACACGCGATCATACTCCCTCCCCCTTTCCATCTTTTTCTCGTCTTTTCAATCTTCCTCTTCCACCTCTCTCTCCCTCTCGATGCGTATCTCCCCCGCATCATCCCCAGGCTCACTAATGACGGATTCTTCTCCATCTGGCCCATCCACAGCTCCTCCACGTACTCTCCAGACTGATCAAGACGAATCAGACCTCGTACACGTCGTCAGATCGAGCTCTGAAGCTTTATCTGATCTTAGTGAATTATCTCCTCTACCCAACTTTGTCATTCCTTCCATAAACAAGAAACGTCCTAGGGAGAATGATGACACGCCGAAGAAACCGAAAAAGGTAAAGAAGAAAGGAGAGACGGAAGGCGATGTCGTCGTCAAGGCAGAAACGTCTGAATCCCAGAAGGGAAAAAATGTTTATTGTCACCAGCGAGTCACCCTTCCTTTACATTATTTTCGCATACAGAAGCTGATTATTTAGATGTCGTAGACCTTGCAATCCAGACAGTACGTTCTCTTTCCCCTTGTCCTCTCACGTATAGCTCATCCGATTGTCAAAATCGAAGTGGAAATATGGATTGACGCACAGACGTTCTTAGATGCACTCATCTAAAAGAATTCAGGTCCGACAAGTCGCCCAGAGCATGCAACCTTGCTTTCTGTTACACAGATCTGAGAAAGAGGTATGACGTCGATCCTGAACAAATTAAAAGAGATGGTGTGATTTCGACATTGGGGGGTCATGCGAAATCGGGGGAATATACTTGGGAATGTCCTTGTTGTCAGGATAAATGTGAGAGTTCACTGTGTGAGTGCTTCGTCTTTCCCTGCATTCATTGTTCATCCAAGCTTATGGTGACACCCCCTCCTTCCTCGACGATCTGATCCTTCGTTCTGTTCACCCACTACTGTCTTCTGTATATCTTTGATTCCACCGCGTACTTTGTCCGTCTCAGCATCTTTTCTGCCCACGCTGCCTCTTCATCAGGCACCTAACAAGTCTCAGCTTCGGATTGCAAAATACCATGTAAGAGATGATTCTAACCCCCAGGCCGTAAAAAGAAAGGCCTGGAACCTCTTCGGTATGTCTTTAGTCATTTGGAATGTCTTCCGCTGATCAACCAGTTGGCACCGACATTCCTTGTCCGGGATGGTCAATGTTAATTCTTCTCCTCCCAAGAATTCATCGGCAGTCAAACCTTTACCGCCCAAAACGCACGAGCCCACGAGCGGATCAGACCTGACCGACTTGGATAATTCCGAAGCTCAAAACACTACCAAAACTTCCACCACTCCAGCTAAGCTCCCGAATCCAGAACCTTCAGCTGCTGTACTAAAAACGTCCACGCCCAAGTCGAAGCAGCCGGACGGATCGCCGAAAAAGATCAAGAAGATCAAGACACCGGGAAGTCCTTCCAGTAAAGGCAAAAGTATAGAGGGCAAGAAGAAAAAACTGAAGGTCAAGTTGGAAAATGGCATAGCTTCCCCGAAGAAAAAGATGAGGAAGGAGAAGACTGGGGAAGAAGCAAAGGTGACCAAGAAGGTCAAGAAGCAAAAGGAGAGCGATGAGGGACCGGCGGAAAAGAAGGTTAAAAAGATCAAGGCGGGTGAGGAACTTCCTCTGAAGAAAAAGAAAGTCAAAAAAAGTGAGACGATAGGAGAGGATGGTGTCAAGAAGGTCAAGAAGATCAAGACAGAGGAGGAGCGTGCAAAAGCCAAAGAGGCCAAGGCCAAGGTCAAGGTCGAGAAGACTGAAGCTAAGGGCACTCCGAAGAAGAAGAAGGCCAAGAGGGACAAGACAGCGGAAGGAAGTACCGTTAAAGGGAAAGATGGAGAAAAAAAACAACGGGCCAAGCCGGTCAAGAAACCCGTAGCTCCTGTGGAACCGCCCACATTTGAGAACGTTGCCACTCGTCTGGGTCGAGAAGAAGCAGAACAGCGCATTCAAGTAGGTCAAAATGGACCTTCAGTTTATCACTTGCTAATGCATAGTTACGCGAATTTGTCGTGCGCTTCCGAACCATCTTGGGAGTTCCTGAGAGATGGCTGGGCCCGTTGGACGATTTCGATCGGTCGGTAACGGAAGCAGGCGTCCGAGCAATCGCTGGCGGTATGCTTGACTTGATCAAAGATGAGTATGAGATGTCAGGGATCGACAGCGAAGTGAGTCTGGCTGTCTGACCATTGTCAATATACGTGCCACATGCTTACAGCGGAAGACCCTCGATGTTCTGATTCGCCTTCGAGAAGAGTTGCGCTACTACGCCGACTTGGCTCGGTTCTCTTCCGTCATCACTTCCCTCACCCTCCCTTTGGGGCTCCGCCTGCCTCCGGCTCCAGAAGACCGTCGATCGATGCATGTCTCAGCTGTGCGACAACTGCTGAATCTAGAGAAGGACGAGAGTCCCCCTTCGTGGTCTGACGTCGGACCCTCACGACGTGTTGGAACGTCAAGGATCCCTCAACCCACTGAAGTCGTCCGGATGCTCATTGCGCTGAGTGAGCGATGCTTGCAAACTCCGATACTCAGAGCGAATGTGGAACAGTTTTCCAAAGAGAACGAGGACCGACGGAAACATGCCAGCTTGATGAAGAAGGAGATGATTAATTGGGAGACAACGAAAAGAAAGTTGACGGAGGCTCGGGTGAGATGCCAAACGGCCGCCGAGACCAAGGCGAACAAGGAGGAAGTGGGTCTCATATTTCGCATTTACCTGAGCGTCATGGCGAGACGCTAATGTTCAGTTCCTGAAATCTCAGCACGAACACGATATGCGAGTAGCTTTATACGATGTCAACCTGCGTTCGGCTTTATCCCACAGAGCATCACGATTCGAACCGCTCGGGGTCGATCTGGACGGACGGGTGTATTATGTGCTGTCACAACGTCTGGTTGACGAGGAAGGCTCTCGTCCTCCTGTTGGTTGGGCCTCTGGACTGATGGTGTGGGGCAAGGGCGTTCCAAGTAAAGGTGAAGAGTTGGACGACTCATTGCCAGCAGACATGGAACGTTGGAGTTACTTCGGTCGATCAAACTCTACCACGCAATTGGTCAAATGGTTGACATGGCGATACAAGATGAAATTGGAATCTATGCGTCCTGTGAAAGTGAAAACACCGAATAAAACCCCCATCAAGTTGACGCCAAGCAAGAAAACCGTTGGGACACCTACGCCCAAAGGAAAGAAGACTGTCGTTCTCCCTTCATCACACAAAGCCAGTGCGTCGAAGATGATCCAGAGCACGCTTTCAGCTTTCAAGAGTGAACGTAAAGCGAAATTCGAGATTGTGATTCCCATCTCTGCCAAGAAAGCTTCCACACTCTCGGCTTCTTCTCTATCCAGCATTTCGGATTCGGGATCGTTGCCAGATGGTAAGATCGATTCGGAATCTAGCGTTTCTCTCTCGCCTCCACCGATAGATCATGTAGAAGAGTTGAGAACGCTTTACCGCGCAGAGGGGTATTCGCCCGATATGAAGACTGTGGAGGAAGAAGGAAAGGAGTTGTTGGGAAGATTAGGAGAGGTTGTCAAGTGGCTTGAGGTGTTGGAGCATTATGGAATGGGGGAGAAGTGAGGTGATGAGGTCAGTTGATAGACATGATAGACGGGGGATGTGGAGGGGGAGGGGGGAGGGGGGAGGGAAGGACCGGTTATTGGTAGATCCGGAGTGGCCGCTTTGAAAGGCTGTGCTGCATGCTGCATCCATGCACAACGATCTTACATCATGTCATACTACTTGTAGATGATGCTGCCATACATCATCAGTGACAGGCTCGTCGCGATGATAGAGAGTACGTGTACCCTACCCAACCCATGGCACATGGCACATGATCATGACAATATACATGGGTCATTGATCAATGATTATTGAGGGAAGGATCCGAGCGTCGGGGGCCGAAAAGATGCCCGGATTCAGCAAGGACTCACCTTTCACACACCTTTGTCACTTTTAACCTTACTCTCTCCTCACCATGGCCATGCTGCACAACTCCTTGACAATCCTTTACTTACACATGGGTCACCCTGTCACACCCTCACACTAGTCATCCTCCTCTTCTTTCCTCTCTTGTCATCTCACTCTCTCTTCTACTCACACCTCCACATACCCACTGGACAATCTTCAAACTCCCTCTCCCTCCCCTCTACTCTCTTTGACCCAACACGACCTCGCTTAATCATTAACAAAACCCCCTCCCTCGCCCCTGCTATCATCTCGACCCACTCGGCCACTCGGTTCCCAAACTGAAACTAGTCAACGCCCTTCCCCACGCCATATCTTTGGTTCATGCTTCCGAGCTGAGACACTAAGATCTCTCCCTACCTTCGCTTGATCATTGCCGACCACAGCTTGGTCCTTCATCTCTGAATTCCGGTCCTTTTACTCATTCCATCAACCTTGATTTCGATAAAGAGGAGACGAGTTCATAAAGATGGGCGATAGGTATGGTACAGCATTGGAATTTGACGTGGATTTACATTCTATCTATGCTGCTTATTTGTCAGTTCCCTATCATCTCATTCCATGTTCACATGATCCACATTTCCCTTTCAATGTTCCACTTGCACAATATTTCCCCTTCCGTCCAAATACTTCGTTCATGGGAAGGACATCAATGTATTGGAGATATATATCTTTGTTGTTCAAGATTAGGTTATGTGCTAGAGGGGATAACTACGATTAGATGAAAGTGTTTCATAGCTAATCCTCAGAGGTCATTTTGAGACAAATGGGATCGACTGGTGGGATAAATCATGGGGTGGATATTTTTTAACTTTCAACGACTTTCTAGGATTCGGTTGGGAAGTCATGAGTAAGTTTATAGATGTTGACTAGGGGTTTATGGAAGTTTACAAGTAGCTGTTGTGGATGCTCATACGGGAAGACCTCACATAGCCGTGAGAAAAGAACAAATCGCTTTGTTCGCAAAGATGATACGGACCAGGTTTGTTTCTCTCTCGATCTCAACTTTTCCTCACCACGGCTCTTCATCGAACTTGACTTCAGGGTGAACATCACAGAGAATGATTGAGATGTGGGATGAGAACCCAGCTTATTCATTTGGAACACGTAGCAGAAATTTGAGAACAGAATCGTTTACTTAGCTGACTTGACAGATTCGGCGAAGTCCTTCCTAAAGATCCACCCACTATCCTTCCCCTCGAACCTGTCAATACCAAACACCTCGCCCTCCGTCGACTTCTCAACATCTCCGATCTCGCATCATATCGCAAACTCGCTCTCACACTTCCCGCTGCTGAACTGAACTACATCCGGACCCGTGTCAGAGCCGGTGAACCGGGGGTCATATCCCAGCTCTTTTATGCCGGGGTCGCCGATGATGTTCCCAAAAACTGTGGTGTGAGGGATAATGGGGTAGGATATACCTGGGCATGCGTCAAGACGACTTGGTGGGAGAGAGGTGGACCACCTTATGGGGTCATACCCGGTCATGGGAGGACACAGAGTAAACCCGCCCCGGGTCAGGCTGGAAAGGGCTTGGTTCTGGAAATTGGGTTGGCGGTATTGAGATGTCCCAATCTGCACGCGGTGGTGAGTTCATTGACTGTTCATCTACAACTGCTCCCCTGCCCGCAGCATCTAATCCTTACCATTGTTCAAGTGACCTCCATCTGCCCTGCATTGTTTGTGACCGGCTTTTGATTCGCTCTGCAGGAAGCGGGAGGGATATGGAAGTCCTCTTTCGGCAGTAGTCATCAGGCGAAAGCAGAGAAAAACGTTTGAACAGCTCCAGCTGACCCATCACAGGACGTATGGCCTCCCAACCCTGGACAGAATTTTCGAAAATCGCACTTCATCACAGAAGAATGGGTCGACAAGGTGAGCCCATTACGATGAGAAGCTTTATCTGATGCTTGTACAGAGAGCCAACACTAATCCACCCTCGTACCCCCGCAACTACGCCTTTGGGAAGAGTAGGTTTGTCAATGAGAAGGACGTTGAGAAGATTCTCGAGTGAGTTCAATGCTGCGTGATTGAGTCTGGATCTTCACTGACATATAGTGCCAACCTCTCATCCATCGCCTCTCAAGAAAACGACAACAGTCCCAACACATTGATCCTCCTCCACGTAGGAGATCCCAATCCATTACCCGTCCCTACTTCCTCCACCTTACCGTCTAACGTCCTCAATCTCGATCTTTTGGCATTCGAATACAACATGCGTCGGGAAGCACAAGCTCGTGGTCTGCCAGGTGCAGGCGACCGACGTGATCCTTTGCCCAACCTCGCCTCCTTGCTTCAAACCCTACAAATACCCGTCCCTCCTTACGTCCCTCTCGGTAATGCAGGCAATGAAGCTTTCTACACTCTCTTGGCATTTCAAAAACTTCTTATGGCCGATACTCGCCTACCTGACATCCTTCTGGGTCCGCCTCAAGGTTATCTCCCATATTCCAATGCTCTTCCCGTTTTCCCTCCTCCCCAACCTATGTCTATGGTCTTCCCCGCTGCATCCTACGCCCCGGTGTATCCTTCCCTTCTTCCCCCTCAATTCCCAGACTCCCGAAGGAGTTCTTACGCCTCTCAACCGACTTCTCCCGCTCGACCGAGTCTGAAACAAGGGAGAAAAGTCAGCGATGACCCACGTCCTCGACCCGTGTCATTTTCCGTCGACCGAACACCAATGTCCACCCCTGCAAACGCAGACAGTCTCGCGAAGGGAGGGACCATCCGAGCCAGTTCGAACAATCGTGAAAGGGCCACTTTACCCAGATCACGGACTGTCTTCTGGGACGACGCAGAATACGCTCCTGCCGAGGATGTCGAACGCACGCCAGGTCGATCGATTCGTCCCTCCCAAGCAACGACCGCGGCGGTGTCAGATCCGGAAGTTTTCAGACCACCCGAAAGAGCAGAAGGGAAACGTGGGTCTGGGATATTATCCCTGCACGCTGGAAGCTCAAGTGGGACAGGGACGAATGAATCGAGTGATTCTGATCTCATGCGAAGAGGAAGGGGAAAAATGCCTCCTAGTGCCATGAGGGGTCCGGGAGGGAGAGCAAGTCGAAGTATCTCTTGGGATAAAGGTTTACCTCTCGCTGCTTCCTCTGGGCCGAGGGGTGCGATGGGAGGGAGCGATCCATCGTCTCCCCAGAGCAAAAATAAGATTCCGCTGGATCGGGAGCAGAGGGGAAGTCTGGGCAGTTCTACGGGCTCAGGTTCGGAGAGGAGGATATCGAATGAAGATGGACAGGATGGCGGGGCTGGAGACAAAGAAAAGGGGAAGGGGAAAGGGAAGGAAGGGGGAAATGGGGGTAAGGATGAGAAGGGGAAGGGGAAATTGAAGCAAGCTGGCAGCGTCAAGAACCTGGCTGGGGCTTTGGCGAGGTTTTGGACGGAATGATCCTGAGGTTTTGTCTTCCACGGCAATGATCGTCAATGAGGAATAGAATGGGGCTTGGAGCTTGGAGCTTGTGTGAGGGAGGACAGGGGTATGAGAGTGAACAATGTGAGGTGATATGGATGGACATTGACGAGAGGATGTTGTGACGTCGATTAATGAGATCTGCGCTCATAGCGAGACGTAGCATGGACATTTGGCATTGATTCAGCACGAAACAAATTGAAATAATTACATGTTGACCTGGAAGGTATAATTTGACATGAAACGCATGACCGAGTATATAGCCAATCTTAATGAGTTAGTGATGATGCATAATGTGGTTCATGGATCATTTTCACTATCCATCAATTAGTTTCACGCTGATGGAGTCATTCCCCATATAGGAATGAGAAATACCTTGCAAGATGTCACATCTGGTTTGATAAATATTTGTACAACAGATCTATCCTATCGCTTGAGCCAAGCTAACATTGTCCCTTTTTCCGAACTTGCTTTCCCTTTCTTCTTACCCTTATCCTCCACTTTAACCCTCTTGGGAGTCTTCTCAGCCGTGACGATGATATCTTTGTTCAAACACAGATCCACATGTTTATTCAAAGCTTCATTCGACGTTCCAGGTCCTAGGGTTTTGAGACAGATAGGACAAGTAGGACTCAAAGTGTGTGTCGTTTCACCTGTCTTGTTCGTGATATCGGAATTCGGACGGAAATCTTCTTCATTTAATTCTTCAACTTCTCCATCTGAACCCTCAAGTCCACTCTCTATTTCAGGCTCATCATTCTCGATTATCCCAATTTCATCTTCTTGAGATCTTTTCCGTTTACTAGGCGAGGTGAAAAACTGAAAGTCAGCTTGTGTCATCTGGTGAAGAGAGGTAAAGGAACGAACATTTCGTATACCTTTATCAGGTATAGTTAAATCTTTGAGAGTTGATAACCTAATTCCTAGTAAACGTATTCGGAGAGGTAATTCTTTTCTCAATAATTCTTGTGCTATCTATTCATCAACCTTCCCAGTCTCACAACCCTCATGCCTCACGGCATATTGATGGACAGATAGATGTTATGGGAGAGAAAGACTAACAGGTAGAATCTCCTTTGAAGTGGAAATATATTTTCCAACAGTCTGAGCTCGAGTTTTATTGACGTATGTGTGCAACTGAAATATTAAACACCATAAGGATATTCGTCGTCGTCAGAGAGAAAATCTGACTGACTTTATATTTCACAGTCACACATTTTCCTGAATATTCCAATCGTTCCAAATCTTTGCCCAACTCTTCTGCGATTTCCGTAAGGGTATTCATGATATCTTCATTATCCGTTTTATCCCTAAATGTTCTTTCGCATCCTACACTCTTGCGTTCTTCTCGTTTACCAGGTTCGACTTTATTATCCGCGATTCCCAGATGGGCTTTACTGCGATGTCATTCGAGGTGAGGTTTTAGATGTGAATGAAACCCACCATAAACCTTGAAAACCAAACCAATGATCCATGGCCAGAAGATCGGCACGTTTTGTGTATATATCACCACAGGTCTAAGTTTTCAGCTCCAAGCTAATTCTGTAGGTAGACAGTGACGAGAGAGAGGGGAAGGATGGGAAGAATGAAATTCACCTCAACTCCTAAACCTTCCAGACAACGTTCGGTGACTCGACCAAAGCCAGGGATTTTCCTAACGGGTAAATCACGCATGAATCTTACGATGGAAGAACGATCGAAGGGTAGTTCAAATTGCCCATTGGGTTTATTTTGGTCGGAACAGATCTGATCGTCAACATATAATCAACAAAATGAGAGATAGGACTGACTTTAGCAAGCATACGATTCGATGCGATACCCGCGGAGATGGTCAAACCCGTCTTGGCTTCCACCTGTCCACGAAGCTGAGTCACCACTTCTGTAGCAGACATACAATGTTCAGCCATGTAAGATGTTATACTGCGTTGTGTGTCAGCGCTCTTCGTAAAGGAGCAAAACAAATGACTCACTTGAGATAACCCTCGTCAAGAGATGCCATCATGAGATTTTCGTCGTACTATTTAGTCAGTCAACTCTCTCCATTGTCAACAATGTGAACGGACCTCAAGTAAAACCTCCCTAACAGATTTAGAAGCTTCGATGTAAAGATCAAAATTGAGCGGCGTCCTTCTTGTCAGTATGCTTGAGCAGCATTGCCATAGAGACCAACAAGATGATCTCCGGACATAACTTCTTAGCTATGAACCCCGCCATGCCCGATCTTATACCAAACTTTCGGGCTTCGTACTGTTCATGAGTGACGAGCGGTAGTGACAAGTCTTTCACTCACCGAAGCAGTCGTCAACACACCTTGTCCTACCCCGAAAGCCTTTCCTTTGAGTGTAGGATCTCGTTTGACCTCACATGATGCGTACTATTCATAAGTGTGTATGGAGCGCAGTGAGGAAGAATACTTACAAATGCGTCCATATCGACATGAACGATGGTTTGTGTGAGATCTCGAGTAGCCTCCACTTCTACCATCTATAGGATTTAGTGTTACAAGCGGAAGCGTGAAATAACACACGATTTTATCCGCTTCTGCTTCCAATCTCTTCTTATCTGCAGTTCTTAAAAGTTCATCCCTCTACCTCTGTCAGCAGGTCCATGTTTCATATTTTTTGCTACACACACCTTGGCTTGGAACCATTGTATTTTCCTCGTCAACTCGGCGTCTTTACGGACTTGGTTATTGTAGAACCTGCGCAAGTCAGACCACCTTCCCACTCGATTTGTCCTCCCCTTGGCGGCTCCTTCTGTCTGCCATTCCAACAAGATGATCGATGAAACACCTCGACTCACTTTGAACCCTAACAATTATCAGCGATGCTACCAAGGTGGTAGGCTACGAACTCACTTTCGAGGCTTCTGCTATGATCCTGTTGATCTCTATTCATCAGCGCATCCAAGATGCCTGCCGAGCGGCTAGCTAACCGGTCTGATCCCTCGTCAAGCCCGCTTTGCCCACACTAGGCCCAGCGAGACTTCTCTCAAAACTCCTCTGACGGGCTTCGGCGGCAGCTCGTGCTTCTTCTTCGGTCATCTCTGTCGAGGCCATTGAACCTTTGTCTGTGGAGGAGGAAGGGACCATACTGTCATCTCGTCGGAGTGTGTGATCTGTAATGACAAGGAAGTGGAGACGCTCGAAGCTCAAGTTTATCGAAAAGCTGAGGTGGGTGACGCGATGATGGAGCCCCGCTTCCTTCCAACCCTTCTCCCCTGTTGGAAAATGGGTAGTCACCTTAGCATCTACATATCATCGACCAAGCCAGCAAAGATGACCTCTAGTTTCCCACCCATACTACAAGCTTCGTCAGGAGCCATAGGGTATCATGCTTTCTATTCCTTAGTGATTTTGGCTGACTCATCGCTCCGTTCTTGGGAACACCATCATCTTTCCTCTAGACCTCATCACCACTCGACTTCAACACTCGTCATATAGGACGAGAAAAGGTCTGTCTCTTTCCACTCCGTACAAACCGGCATCCTATCATAGCTGATGGCTAGCGGGAGTGCTTCGACTTTTATTCTGTCTCTATCGGCGACATGGACTTCTAGCTCTATACCGCGGACTACCAGCCGATACACTGTCCACACTTCTCAGCTCCTTCATATACTTTTTCACCTATTCCGCCCTACACAAGACCTCTCTGCTACGACCGCAGGTCTATATCCCACCAGTCATTTCCTCTCCTGCCGGTATAGGAGGTCTAGACACGAAAGCTGGTAAAGTTTTGACCCACCCCGCTACCACGTTCGATCCCGTACGAGAGGTCCTCATTGGCGTCATCGCAGGAGTGATTTCCAAGGGTCTCACCTTGCCCATTTCTGCCATCTGCGTGAGACAGCAGTTGGGAGAAAAGGAAGAGGAGCACGAAAATGATAAAGACAACGACAAGAAGGAGCGTTCCTCAAGAGATTCAAAGTCAAAATCGACATCGATTTGGGCGACGATCAACTCCCTCCGAGCTGAAGGTCTTCCGATACTGTTCTCAGGTTTCGCCCCTACCATACCCCTCGCCCTCCTTCCCTCCCTTACCTTATACATCAACACGCTGCTCCTCCGCCTCATCGTACCGTCACGTCACAGAGCCCATCCCAAAGGAATCGTCACATTTCTCCTCGCCGCACTCAGTAATGCCATAGCCACCTTCCCTCTATATCCCCTCGTCCTGCTCAAGGCACTCAGTCAGTCAGGAACGACTCGTCAACAGGAAAGGAGCTCGAAAGGCGTGATGGACCGGGCTGGGGAGATGCAGCTGACTCTCGGTCATATTGTACGGACTGAAGGGATGCAAGGACTTTATAAGGGATTGGAGGGACAACTACTCAAGGGTTTTGTCCAACAAGGGGTGATGATGCTGGTCAAGCAACGGTCAGTCTCCATCCGATTGTCTGGGAAGTCCGCTCATGCCTCAGCGTAGAAGAGTTGATGAGCCGTATGCACAAGGCGAAGCTGTAGATTCCCGGAGGTTGTTGCACGGGTGTATCATTCAGGTGAATTCCCTTACGAACAGCTCGTATGTTCATGTGCATTTTTGCATGCTTCGGAATGCCAATCTATCTCAGAGCCCCAGCTCATCCCTGCACGTCAGCATGATATGACGAGACACGAGAAATGACGGGGTACGTACCCGAAAGGAAGAACAGACAAGTTTCCGACAGCTACAATAGTAGGTTTGGGCTGGAACAGTTCTTTCGCGGCCTTGACAAGAGCGGTCGGGGATACTTTTTGCAGTGCGGAAAAGGAAGCGTCTGGAGCCGCCACACCACCAGAAGAAAAGAGCTGGATGGTCAGTGTCGGGTCTGTTTCAGGTCCCATACATGGTATGCCAGCCGCAAGCAGAAGGAGCAAGGTCGGTAAATGGGCGAATTGACTCACCGCAGGCCCAGCAGTCGAGATCAGGCTAGCGACTCGTTCCGACGCGGTGGCATCTGCAAACTTTGCCTTGGCGATCGCCCGCTTAACCTCATCATCCTTCACACCCTTGCCTGCAGCTTTGAGAGCCACTGCCACATCTTTCGCGACCATCGCTACACCCTCACTCGTAGGTGCCGAGATGATAACACCAAACAGAGACGCATCTGAGTATGGCAGGAGAATGGCCTCGGCACTGGCTCCGGGAACTTTGGCGGCAGCCTGTGACAGAGGAGATGCGCCGTCACACCATTTGACAGAGGATACGCCGCCCAGGAGATGGGGCAGGACTTTGAGTTCAGGGGAAGGAGCTGAAGTCGAGCCATAAGCGATGATCATGGTAGGTTGTGCGGCAGGGTTGGCGTGAAGATCGAGAGGTACACGTTGTTCTCCTCCAAAGTACTTTGTCGAACCAGGTGCAAGAGTGCTGGAACCTGAAGCTGAACCAGAGCCAAAAGCTTTTTGTACGGCTTTGGAGAGAGCGTCGGTGGAGATACCAGAACCAAGGACGGCAATGTTGGACTTTGCAAAAGCTTGTTGGGCGAATGATTTGACGTCGGTGACTGAGACCGGTGAATGGGGTGATGCGAAAAGCGAGTTGCCTAGTCCATGACGAAAGGCGAGCTGGTGAGCGAGGTCTAGAGCAAGAGTGGTGGGAGAGGAAATGGCAGATAAGGTTTCAGCTTCAAGGGTAGGCAGAACGAGCTCGGCATATTCGTGAGGGTAGAAATGTGTTGATGAGAGGACAGAAGCGAGCAAAGAGAGGAAGTGTGCTCTACAAATGATCAGCGAGGGTACTCGGGATAGTGTTATCAGGGAAGAAATGATGTGACTCACTCATCTCCCCGTAAAAACTCGGCGGTGAGATACAAATGTTCCCTTCCCAACGTAGCGGACAAGACACCTCCGTACAATTCCGTCTCTCTCGTCGTCTTCAGAGCCGATCCAGCTGATGTGGACTGCAGAAGTCAGTCTTGAGACCGCTTCTCACAAGATGCAGTTGAGATCTGTCCGAAATGGACCCACCTTGTAAGCAAAGCTTTTCAACGCATGAGCCACGCCTGGTTTGGTCTCATACCGACTTCCGGCTTTTACCACGACGGTAAGACTGGTCGTCGCTGCGGGTTGACCGGTCTCTATGCCTGCAACTTTGACACCGGAAACATCAGCGACCGTAGCGTAGGCCCTTCTGAGTACGGCTTGGGGGATACGGCCGTGAGGAATACGTGTGAGGAGTGACATGGGTGGGTTATGTGGAGAGATGGCAAGGTGAAGGACAGTTGCGGTTCCTCCATCTTGTCTCTAACTACCCTCTGGCCAATCGGAAATACCCAGCTTCAGTTCTCACAATAACGCCGCAATATCCGAGATGTGGCACCGTGCCTGCCGGGTTGACTAGGTTCCTCCCGCATCCCTCCCTCTCAAGCCAAAGTCTACATACTGTACTTACAGCTCGGACATGTGAATCTCAAGTACCTCATGCTGCAATACTATATCGAGGAAGGGAGACGTCTCTGCTACGCCGAAAGAGGGATGGTACCTCCAAGAACAAGGACCTATACGCACGCTCCTGCCAGAACTCAAATACAACCACAATCGCCCGGAGAAGACGCCGGCGTCAAGTGTTCTGTGAGTGTTCAGAACCACTTCCCTCCTCACTTGGCTGATCCTGAGGGACATCAACGAAGAGCTGTCCGATTGGTCGCAGGGCCACATACTAAGAACTCTGGCAGGTGAGCCATTTGCACATACACTCTCGACATGTGTAGAGCTCATTCGAGACAGAGCGTTTTACACATGCCCCCTACCTCGAGATGATGCCGACAAATGCAGATTTTTCAAATGGGAAGATGAACTCATTCTATCTGGCCACATCGTCCCACCTGCTTCACCTTCGACTTCTCGTCTCCTTCCTTCGTCGTCCCGTCCCCCTCCTTCCACTGGTCAAGTCCTCGGACGTCCACCCCAAGCTACTTTCGGTAAACCTGGGGTGCCTGGGCCAAGCGTCAAATCTCCCGCCCCTGGTACCGGTGCTGTGGGTGGCGACGACACTGAAGATATCGATTGGAATCAAGTGGATGCGGATGAACTGGAAAAAGAAGCCATCCTCGCTAGTCCGAGCACCCAGAGGACAGACAATAGCGAAAGTTTCTCATCTGCAAAATCCACCCCGGCCCAAGCGGTTTTCTCTGACAAATTGCGTGCCTCGGTGGGCGAGGGACAGAGGAAGAAGAGGAAACAAGACGAGGAATCTGAACAGGGTGTGACACCCAAAAGACAAGTAGTGGGGAGTGGGGTTCTCGTGAGTCGGTCTGCTTCACGAGAGAAAGAGAAAGAGACCCACTAAATAGACAGAATCCATTTCTGAACACTCCCGGGACGGAATCTGGTCTTCATCCTTCCGTGTCGACCACACTGGAGTCATTAGAATCAATATCAGAACATATCAAAAGACAAGACAGATTGTTGCATGCTTCTGAACAGATGAAACAGGGGTTGAGGAAGACTATTGCGGGGCTGCAGGAGAAGAATGGGGAGTTGGAGAGGAAGAACAAGGAGCTCGAGGAGAAGATCAAGCGTCTGGAATCGAGGTAAGATGATGGCTATTATGCTCGTTGTATCTACATAGGGCATGTTGAATGTATATATATAGCATTCCGAGACCCCGAAATGTTTGTCACTTTCGTTGTATCGTCGTGTCATGTGACCATGACGGAAGTACGGAAAGCGATCGAAGGAGGGGATTCCCCAAGAAATTCGGCTCCTCCTTTGCTTCCATCTCTTCGCTCAGCAAGGTGCCTGTTATGCTCCAGAACACTGCACATCTAGGCGTATGACCGAGCGAACATTGATCTCTTGTTCAACCCGAGTGATTCTCGAGCTGCTTTAGAGTGGCTGAACTTGTGGAGATTGGGAAGCTTTTCTCTGTACGGACAGGCCTTGGAAAGAAAGAGTGAGCCTCTGTCCGTCGAAGATATCCCATTTACATTCAACCATGCACATCCTTCATGCTTTCAATGGAGGGGTGAGATTGTACCTGTATCTTTCTGACCGTACTGTCTTTTCACGATGCTATCACGCCGCCCAGTCTAGACCTCTGGTATAGATCTTGCACTTGAGACTGATGCCATGTCTCAACCCTCGCTTAAATACTCTGTCGTTGATCGCTTGAGTCCCCATCTGATTCACCCAGTCACCTAGTCACCACCTGATGACTCAACTTGACTCCTCTTTCTTTCTCTCTTAAAGATGACCAGAGTGACCAAACTGCAGGTCTCTCAAGTGCAGCGCAGGATGAAGAAAGAGTCGGAAGTGAATCCTGAGCTCCGACTGGAACGTTGGGACATTTATTATCAGTGGGTCTTCCCCCTTTTTCTGCACACACCCGATGATCAGAGGGATGTTGACCATCCTAGTCAATATCGTCTTCACAGCACAACAGCAGCAGAAGCGTATTGGTACAAGAGTAGTACGATCGTCCTTTCATGTTCACTCGCGATCCGCTGACATGAGCAGCTTGGTGAGGTTCTTCATTCACATGTCAAGTCAAACAAGTTGAATTCAGGTGGTTCCCCGATACAGGCAGGAATGAGGATACCATTCATATGTTCTTGCGATCCAAATCACAACTCGTCGAGTATGTCTTTTAGACCCCATAAACTTTGCTGATCGTCAGACAAATAGCTGTGCGTCATCTCACCCTCGCTGTGAGCATAGGAGAGTTGTGCTGATTGGAAGGAGTATGACTTGCATCTGGTAACTTTGTCCCTTTGCGTAACTTAGATAGCTACGAGGTAATTGACTTTACAGCCAGATGGGAAGAAGGTGGAGAAAAGTGAGTCTCCTTCGTTCTCCTCGATAACAACTGTGCGGAGGAATGCTGAGAGACAGTCATGACGTGAGATCCTCTTTCTTTTAAGGACGGGAACATGGAACTGAACAAAGTCGCTACACCGTCGTGGGATCCGACGACGAAGATTGGCTGAGAGATTATGTGTCATGTGAGTGAAATATCGAAGCTCGTCCTTTCCTGATGAACAGACGACTTAAACTATGTCACATTCGACATGCGCCCCTTCACACCACAGAGTCCATGACAGGGCGGGACCACTCCAGCTCTGGGCCACCATCGACCGTGACCTGGCCCACAGCAGAGACAGTAATTCAGCAGTTGACTTGATCCCGGGCAAGTCTAGCCATGCATCGACAGTGGTGCCAGTAACGTATGAACAACAATGCACATGCAATCTAAGTACAACATCTCCAAGATCAAAAAACTGTGCTGTCAGCATCTGACGTTTGTTCTCAACCAGACAGAAAGGTGACTGACTGCTATGGACCATCTCCGACGCGACTGCTGACCCAAATCCGAAGCCGGCTCCGGAAACAGCGGCATTACCAAGCTGCAATGTTAGCTTGACGGTGTATGAGCGGCATGTAAGTTCACCTGAGACCCCAAACGTCCAAATTTACCCTTACGAGCCTCCTCTTGTTGCACAACGATGGGAGCGGGTGCTGGCACTGGGGGAGGCTGAGCGAGCATCATCTGACCATGTTGCGGTTGACCGGGATATTGCTGGTATTGCTTTTCGTACTGGTTGTAACCTTGTTGAGGTGGTGGTTGATACATCGGACCGGGAGGATGAGAAGACTGAGGGGATGAACCGTAATATTGACCACTCGGACCTGGACCGGGTGCTTGAACAGGAGAATGAGCCTGACCTCCTGGAGGGCTGACTAAGTCAGCTCAAGTTGTGTATGACCAATAATAGTGAACTGACAGTTTTTCGACGTAATTACTGGGAAACAGACCGGACCTTTCGATGGGAACAGATTGACCGGGAGGTATGACTCTACCGCGATACCATTGTTCGTTGACTGTTGATGAGCTACGAGCTTGAACCTCCCAACTCACCTTCTTCGTCAATGATGATCATATCCCCTGCTCTGAACACAAGATCGTCTGCTTCCTTTGATGTCAGCCGTGCTCCTGGAAGGGCAAAGTACAACTCACAGTCCCATGATAATCCCATAAAGCCTTGGCCCGTACCTCGGCCCTGCGAGCCGGTAAAGCAGGAGGACCGATCTGCTGTTGTCCCGGTGGACCCATGTTCATACGACCGAACGGACCAGACACATCGTTCCGAGGTGAAGGCGGGGTGAGGGTGGGGAAGGGACCGGCGGGAGAAGGGAGCTTGGAACGTATGAGGGAAGCATCTTGGGAAGAGATTATGCCGAGTGACTCCAGCACACCAATGGCCGACGTGGTCTGTGCTAAGAGATGCGAGGCGAGGACGGTTGCTGGAGGAGAAGGGTGAGCCATCACCGAGTAAATTTCCGAGACAAGCTATATCAGAGAGAGAGAGAGAGAGAGTAGCGTTGTGTGTGAGATGTGTCAACGATGTCCGCTATGCCGAAAGGTGACCTGAGATGACCCCACCAAAAGTTATCCAAGTTGGAAGGTTGAAAAGGGATGCAAGGGAAGGGCTGTGTCGACGACCACGTGGCGGAAAGGTACGAGTGTATGTATAGCGGTGATCGCCGACTGGAATGAATCGGGAATCCCCGCAAAGACAATGCATGTCCATCCCCTCCCCTCCCCGCCCCACACATCACTAAGTATTTGTACGTATATTTGTATCACCATGTCGTTACGCCATGCTTCGGTCTGTTTCACCTCTTAATATCCCCATTCGACTCACATTCTACTATCTCTATTCCTTGCGGTATGTCCGAGCTATCAGAGAACTCCGATCTCAACATTGACAATGATCTGAAGGACCTCACCTCAGAGGATGCTGAAGAGCTCAAGGCGTTCTCAGAGAAGCGACGATGGTTCGAGAGCAAGCTCAAAGTGAGTCCCCTTGACATATGTGTGTATTCAATGTTGATAATTTCATAGGTCTTGACTAGTCTACCCCCTGTCTATCCCTTCTTGCACCCAGTCTTGGAGCATGATGGCTCTGATGTCATCCGCCAAGGGGCTTCGACATCTTCATGGCAACTCCCCTCGGAGATAGAGGTTCGACAAGCTCAACAGGATCGAGATGTCTTAGAGGATGAGATATTGGCCTTTGATGGTGGTGAACTGGCTAGGATCAGAGCAAAAGTGAGAGGTGCGTCCATTAACTAATAGCAATGCAGACTACACTAATCTTCACAGCGCTCACATCTGTCCCATTGGCCCCACCTTCCACTCATATCGTCTCTGTTGCATTGGATCTTGTCGTCCTTGCCGACCGCTTGTTAAAGCTCTTGCGCCAAAGAAGAGATTTGCTGCACCTCACCGCACTACGACTCAGGTGGGATAAATTACGGGGCCATATCAGGCTAGAATGCGAGAGCATCGTGGCGGAAATAGGAACTGTCGTAGGCGAGGCTGGGCGCTGGAGACCCACGATATCTACGAGTGCCAGACATCGGACGAGGAACTCCCTTGATCAACCCTTTCGTAATACTCCATCCTTGATCTCCGTCGTGGCGACAGAAACGCCGCAGACGCCAAAGCGTATCGTTTCTTCTTCCATTGCTTCCACCCCCGACCATGTCCAACGATCAAGCGACTCTAGTGGAATGAAGACCCCTCTTGTCAAACCCACCTCCCGACATTCCATAGGCACGTCTAGCCCTTCGTCATTGAAAAGATCTTTATTGCATACAAAACTGTCAAATCTTCATATCCGATATGATCAACTCCAGTCAATGTTCGTGTCGCCTGGTAGCAAGGCTCTCGACGACATGGTAGATCTTGCACCTCATCTCAAGGGGCTAGGCGACACTCGTGGACCGAATGATATCAAAACTCCGGGCTCTGTTCCCGACCAGCTGCTGGACATACAAGATGAGCTGGACAGCAGAGTGCAAGATGTGTCAGGACGTATCAGCTGGTGCGAGGAGCTCGAAAGGCAATGGGAAAGGTGAGTATATTGGCATGATCGTTAGCTCATCTGGCAGGGCCGATTCATATCATCAAGCTGTTTCCGGAGCCGCAGAGCTCGCGACCGACCTCTTTCATGACATTTTGCAAGTTCGACAAGGTGAAATCAAGTATGACGCCTCAAGACTACAATCGCGGTTGTCGGAAGCAGAAGCTGCTCTTCCGAAAGAGGTCGATGACACGTTCCCCACCCCTTCACACTCAGCCTACCCCTCTCATACAGAATACAACGTATGGCTCTGTCAATTCTTATCATCCGCTCGAAGAGATGCGGCAAAGCAGATTGCGGACTGTTCCCGGCTGGTAAAACTGTTGGGTCAGTTCACCGATGCCAACGACTCCATTCTAACTTTCACCCCAAAGGTCGAATCCTTTGTTCACCAGGCAACCCGAACCCTCACTCTTTTGCGCCAGGGGACTTCCTCTATTCCTCGACCTTCGCCTGACGTCGCTCAGCTAGAACAGTACGGTAATCAATGGTTTGCAGCGGTCCCCGAGTGGCTGGAGATTGCCCATATGTTTGAATTAGCAGACCCAGTCTGTGACCGTCTACAGCTGGCGGTAACGAAGAGACAGGTAGCGGCACGCGGGATGTCGGAAATGACGCAGAGTTTAGTGACGAACCCTGCAGAGCTTGTGAACGAGACAGCCGCCGACGTTCTAAACGAGTCGTCGATCGTGGTTGAGGAGGTCCGCAATGAAGCCAGGATGGTTGCTCTCGATCTGGAGATCATGCCGTTAGCGGTCAGGTGCATCGAAGCGTCAAAGTCGATCATGATAGAGCTTTTGGACGTTCGCACCGTCGTCACAGAAGCTATCAGAGCGTCGGACCAGATGAATCAACAGACAGATTTTGGAAGGCGCTTTCAAAATACCTTGGATATTCCCGCCACCCAATTCTTCAACTGTTTCGACGAAGTGCACGCGCTCATAACGAACAGAGGACAAATAGAGCGCTTCCGTCCCCTCGAGACATACCTGCAGAACATGAGGAGTCGTACGCAGCAAGAAATACGCTCGACTCACGATTTAGTCGTCAGTTGGAAAGCGGTGAGAGACCAGGCGAAGGTAGTCCGTGACATCGAGCAGGAATCTGTCGAATGGGTGGCGCGAGTCCAGCAAAGTATTGACGACACACCAACTGAGGAGAACCCGGATGCTTTGAAAGGTATGAAAGAGTCGGTCACCAGATGGAACACAAGTCTGCTTGAACGTCTTCCTCAACTGACTGTTGCTCATGCGGCTATCGAAGTGTCCCGGGAACCAGTCGAAGAGATGTCGCCCTCGTTGATAAGCAAATATTCTGGGGCCTTTCGATTGACGCCACCTGATACCCCGCCGCTATCGAGTGAAGGTTCAGTGCCAGAAGTGGACATTGCCGAACATTTGGAACATCTAGACGAGGAGGCCCGGGTGCGAGTCAACGAGGCTCAAGCTAGAGTGGCCGCGGCCCTTCATCATGCATTACATCCCCCTCCCCCTCCCCAAGACGACAGTTTCGAATCTGCTCGTCGGCTCGACAAATCGATCCTGAAGGAAACCCAGCGTCAAGAGAAAAATCGTCTTATCTCCCGTCTACTGGCTTTGGACTTGGCATCGATTGTTATGCCTCCCGAAGTCGAGGACGATGTGGAATCACTTGGCGTTCGTCTACCTGACAAGGACAGCTTAGCGTTGATCAGAGACGAGGTGAAGGCGATCACGGTTGAGGTCGAGGACAAGTTACCTGCCGATGAATTGTTCATGGAGCTGGAAACTGCTCGAAGCCAAATCGCTCGATTAGACCAGTTGGAGGAATTTACATTCTCTGTGGAACAAGCCGACAAAATTATCAGTGAAATTCTTGTCATCATCGATATGGACCTCGATCATGAGGTCTTCTTGAAGCAAGCGTCAGCCGCTATGACTAAAGTAGAAGAGGCGTCAACAGAGCTGAGAGATGATCTTCGAGTTCGCTTTGAGATCCGACGTTTGCGAAACACGTTAAAGATGATCGAGTCGATAGATAAACCCACAGAAAACGAATCGTCTGAAACAGAAAGCAGCATTTCAACTCCTCCGACTGTATCACCAAGATCGATTCAATCTACCCATTCTTCAATGCGAGCAGCTTTCACTCCTCGTTCCATCTTCTCCCCTGACGCACCGAGATACCGTGCAACGTCCGGATCTCAAATACCTCATCATCTCAGTCGAATACCCATCTCAACCTCCCCTGGCCCTCACGCCAACCGCCTTTCCCACGTTTCGTCTCATATGCGGTCTTTTTCATCTGAACTGCCCCTCATATCTTCCACTCCGAGACCTCTTCCAGTAACTCCAAAACGCAGATACGTTTCTAATCCGCGTAGCAAGCTCGATGTGGCCGTGGGTAAAGTGGTCAATAAACTGAAGGTTCATGTGCCTGTTGTACCTGTCAACCAGGAGATTGCCCCACTGGAAGAAGGATGGGAGACTGAGACCGGAAGTTATTGGATAGGAGCGAAAGGAAGGGCTAGACTGTGTTATTGTCGTATATTACGGAGTAAAATGGTCATGGTGCGTGTCGGTGGAGGTTGGTGCGAATTGTCTCAGTGAGTTGACTTAGTTTGCCTCTATCGACTTTTCCAGATCACCTCAACAAGCCTCTTTTTCAAAACATTACGTGGTGTATATGAAATGGGGAGTCAGTCTGACACTCAGATTCTTGCAAGATCATTTTTCCGAGTTGACAGAACCTATGCCCTCGCCAAACCTCACCACATCAGTCAGACTCGGTTCCCCTGCACCTCACACCCCTCTACCCTCTCGGTCCCTCCCACGCTCCTTGTCCAATTCTGTCGCATCTCAACTCTCACCAATGCACTACCTTCGCAAAGCCTCTGATAGTCCCACCGTGAGAGATGCTCAGAGGGAACAATACGCCAGACCTTCCCCTTCCCACAATAGACGACCTTGATTCTATTTCATGATATGACGCAACGCGATCACGACCTTACAACGTATGACCAGATTCAAGACCAAGACATGTATACGTATATTGTACTTCACAAACTCGATTATCAAGCATAGTAGCTAGACGCAGTGACGGAGAATGATCAATTATGCTACAGTATTTCACACGATGCAAATCATCAATAGTAATATATCACAGTAATTATCACTGCGTGTTTCGCCCCATCTAACCCCCCAAGAGATTCCGCTAATTTTGTGTGTCTTTCTTGAGATACACATGGGCACCTCGTTGATCACCCTCAGACGTACGGTACATAAGTAGGAAATTAAAAATAAGCTGGCATACCAGGCATGACAAACCCGAATCCAGCCGCGAGTTGATGTCGCGGTGCTGCAGTGGTCGTCTCCGCTATCGTTTGACCCGGCACCGGAGGTGGTCCCATTCCTCCCAAACCTCCATTTCCCGCTCCATCATCCACCTTTCTCTTCTTACCCTTGGCCCTCTGCCCACCTTTCGAACGAGCGTTGGCGATATCTTCCTTGAGTCGACGATTGAGTAGTCGAAGTTGATGAAGTTCGTATTGCCATGAAGTCCCACGGGTGGTTTCGAGCTCTTCGAACATATTTGCATTGCCAGGGTGCACAATTGGTCTGCTTGTAGAACCCACAACTTTGACCTGTACGAGCAAAGAGCAGGGACGTCCTCCTGGTAACACTGAAGACGATGATGTCGGCGATGGCACGAGATCGAATGGTGAATTGTCAGAGTCGGGGGATGATAGCGGACTACCTGTCCTCTGAAGCGCATAGATGATGGTGTCGACATTGAGCAACGCTCCAGTGGTAGGTTGGATTAGAGTATGCGTAAGCGTGACCGCCCCATCCCTCGTTTCTCCATTGGCTGCCGCTCGTAAAGCCAACTCCATACTGTTCCGCATCGATCCGTGTGGAGAAGCGGGGAAGGACAGGTCATCACTTGGGAGATACGACAGAAAGCTTTGACCAACGATGTCTTCCATTGTTTGGCTAAGGAACGCAGAGGCGGATTCCGTAACATGAAGTATGAGACCGTTGTATGACAATTTGGCCCAGAACTCGTTGGCTGATAAACCTCCTTGTTTCGCTACACAACCCCACATGAGAGTTGGTATACCGATAGCTCGACCGCTGAGGATGACTGCTTTTCTTCCTTTTCCCGGCTCGACATGCAAGCGACCGGTACATTCAATCCACACATAGCCAGATCTTTTACGCCGTATGCGGAAGACGAGCGAGACGGTTCGTGCTGGTTGATTCTCACCGGTTGATTGGGTCGAATCCTTCAGCTCGCGCATAAGTGGGACGATATCGGATGGGTGACATAAGTCGGCAATATTCCTGTTGAGAAGATCTTCCGGTTCGTATTCGAGGACCCGGCGAACAGATGGTGAAACATATTGGAACAACCCTTTGAGTGATAATACATGAACAAAGTCTTATCGTCAGCCAATACAAGGGGACAAGGACGAGACATTTACCATCGGCATTCTCCAACACCATCTTGTACCATTCCATCCGACCGTCTTCACTCAACGTGTTCAGTCGGGGACCCAGAATATCCAGCATTTCGGGTGTCAGACCGGACAGATCGCCCCTCCCGGGAGGTCGCAGAGGTGGTTGAGGTGGATTGGATACTGTATAGTTGACTTGATAACTCCCATCTCTCATATTTCGCAAAATCACATTCGGCTGTTCCACAAGATCGACTTGAAAACCAACGTGGTAGACTATGTCCGTACCGTCCCATGGTATCGGTACAACGGTGACAAGGTTGATGAACGGTACACCACCTCTGCGGTAATTGATCAAAGATGCTTGACACTCTTTACCAGCGTTGAGCATGCGCTTCAGGTGTGAGACGGCGATGTTGTCAGTATACTTGCGTTTTGAACCCTTGACTACATCTCCATCAGGTGCTTGTAGAAACCGGCAATTGCGCCCAAGTATCTGTGGTAATTCGTAGCCGGTTAGAGCACTGAAGGTGGGGCTGGCATAGACGATTGGACAATCGAAACGCCTGACGTCAACTACGAGGAAACTGCAGCTAAGATCAACCGGACCAAGAACGGTTTTGGGGTCCTTTCTTCCTGCCACTCTTGCGAGCACGCCAACCATGTCAAAGCCTGTCGTCGAGTACAAACCTGGACCATCCGCCAAGTCTGGTCCAATGAATGCAGGAGCCGTAGTGGAGTTCAAATTCGAGTCAGGGGGAGGAGCATATGGAGCGGTGGAAGAAGACGCAACGTTGGACCCTGTCTGGGGCGCTAGGCGGTTGAACGAGGAGTGAGGGAAAGCCGGCGGATATAGGTGTGACTTGTGTAGAAGCAGACTTGACTCGAGGCAATTCGGGTGGCTCCGGTTGAGGAATAGTGAGTAGAGGCGGCTTGGATACTTGGTGATGTTGCTGCGCACCGGGAACGCCCATCAAGTTATTCTCCTTCCAGTTTTCCCAACCACTATCACTCTGCATGAAACCCCCAAGGCCATCCAGAACATGATTGTCTGCTCCGCCAAAACCATTGTGCTGGTTGCCAAAAACATGACTGAACAGAGCTCCAGGAGTCAGCTGGCTGTTGACGTCGAAAATATTGGCACCGCTGAAGCCAGTCCATGCTTCACCACCTGGTGGGAAGGTGGGGGCTCCTCCGACGTGATTGGACAGAAACGAAGGGACTTGGAAGCGAATATCGCGTGTGAAAGCGGAAGGATCGAGCGAAAGACCATTGTCTTGAACTCCGTTGTTTACACTCTTGCCATTCGGTGGAGCAGGGGGACGAGGTTGATGCATCTGAGAGGGTTGAGAGAGGGTGTCAAGGTGATGTTGTGATTGTTGCCGGAGGTGGACTGGAGGCGGGGGCTGAGGAGAGGGTTGGTCGTAAGATGGCCTAGGATAAGAGGAGATATCGAATTGCTTGGACGTGGGGGCTGGACCTGGATTGACAAGAGGCGGGGTAGTAAGATTGACGAAATGGTTCCAGTCGAGGTTGGATGGCTCACGGCAAGAGGATGAAGGTTTGGTAGAGTCTGAAGATATACCAGATTGGGGGAGTGGGGTGATGGGGGCTGAGCCAGGACGAAGAGGATAGTCCATGTCCGGGATATATGAGAGGAAGAGTTAGACGGATGTATACTGGGTGATTAAGGGGAGAGAAGGTTGGGGCCGGAGTATATCGCGAGAGTGAGAGAGATGGGCGATGGTGAGCGAGTGGGTGATGGGTGAGAGGGGTGATTCAGTCTACAGATCGAAAGGTACCTTGCTCCCTCCCTCGGCTGAGTACTGTACCACGTCGCGTCGTCTCTGTCACTGATGACTCGGTTAGAATGCGTCGAAGCGGAAGTCAAACGATGATGTGCAGCATGCAGCTGGGAAGAGAAGAGTGGAAGTTGGGCGTATGGAGTGAGAGGAGGTGAGATGAGAGAGGACGAGGTAGTAGTAGTTATGGTTAGAAAAGCGAAGCGAGCCGGGGGGGGAGGGGCGAGGGTGACTGACTACCGTCCGTCCATACGGCGACCTCCGCCGGGAAACACTACAGTACTACTACTGGGGGCTCTGCTCTTTCTCCTCTCTTTCCATTGGCAATTGGCGATTGGAGGGGCTCACTGATCACTGAGTGCATCCCTCCCTGCCTCTACCGTTTGCCCCGGCGCCATGAATGGCTGGGTTGGTGGATGCACCATGCTGGACCATGACGGCATTCTCAACGTTCGTTCCGCTCATGACGAGTGACTAACTCGCACCGCGCGCCGCGCACCCCCTCGTCAGGCACGTCGTTAGTGGCAATCTGGCAGCTCGGTCATCGGTCATCTTATACCGTCACAGCTTCACTGCCATGCCCGACCAGTTTGTTGCAATAAGTCTTAAATGGTCAGCCGGCCGTCGATACATGGTCCATTCAATCTATCTTGTACACAATCTTCTTTCCAGACACTCCTGCCTGTTGTCTGATCAGCTGAAGATCTATGCGCCACCAGGTTACTCACCTTGAGCTCCTTGAGCCCAGCCAAGACGCTTTCTAGTCCCTGCCTCACATCCACCGGGTTGCCTCGAATTCCATACTTGCCCACCACGTCGCCGCTGATCTCAAACCACTTCTCGGCCCAAGCCCGGTCTTCTGGAGAGGCCGGGACCGGCGGCTGTCCTGGGAGAAAGTCAAAAGCCTGTACATCAGTCTAAGCATAGGCCTGTGGAGATGATCACGAACATAACCTCCAATGGTGTAGAGCAGAATACCTTCCAATTTGACGTCGGAACGACGATTCTTGGCCTCTTCGGGAACGGACAATAGGAAAGTAACAAGTCCTCCCTCAGTGCCAATACTCTCGACCGCGAGCTTGGCATCGTCGACCCCTCCAATGCATTCTAAAGCTCCTTTGCACTTGCCTTGGGTGACATCCTTGATGTCTTTGACAGCCGCCGCATAATCATGATAGTCGACGGTATGATCAGCTCCGAATGACTTGCAAAGGTCGAATGAATGGGGGGAGCAAGTCGTAATGACCGAATAACCTGCCAGCTTGGCGAGCTGAATAGCAAACAGGCCGACGCTTGAGGCGCCCCCCTGGACGAAAAACTATCATCAGCAAGCAGCATGGCCGTTAATTCTAGAGGCTAGCTCACCCAGTCATCGCTCGAACGTTTTGAGGGGGGGAATGGGTTCTTCTGAGCGTGAAAGAGACACTGACTATGTCAGTCATAACCTCCGAATGCGACTTGAAAATCACTTACCAAGGCAGCAGTCAGATATCCCACTCCAAAGGTTGCAGCTTCGGCCATTCTATCCCACCCGTCTGGGAGTTTGGTGGTCATCTTGTTGTCCACTTTGACATACTCGGCAAAGCTTCCTTCGGTCGGGAATTTGCCTCCGTGCACGAAGCCAGCCACCTTGTCGCCGACCTTGAGAGTGGGTCTAGAGCCTGGGCCGACTTCGACGACAGTACCAAAGTAGTCACAACCTAGAAGAGAATCAGGAGGGGATAGCCACTCCATATGCTTCCAATCTGTCGGGTTCTGGCAGATTCAGTCCGTCACTTGAGATTCTTCAGGATACGTGGACTGGAAAGACGAGAAGAAGTCTCAGGGGAGGGAAGAGTGGGCATGAACGTACGGCTGCTGCATAATTGACTTTTACGAGCACCTCATCAGTGTTGGGCTTGGGTACAGGAAGATCGTCCTCTAAGGTCGCAACCCCCTGCGGATGAGCGACGCCATGCATGTACCGGCCGTGAAAGGAGGCCACGGAAACACTTACGAGTTGCTGGACAACGATTCCACGCATTTTGGTAGATATAAATTCGGTGCGATGCTGACAAGTGTAGTTTGATGAGAGAAGATCACACAAGTTCGATGGGCAATGGAGCTGACGAGTTCTCGCACCACTGTATATATATCGCCAAGGGGTGGAGGTGTTTTGTCAGCATGAGCTCATCGATGAAGAAAAGGAAGAGAGTAGTAATTATAATGAGCTCATAGCCCTTTCTGGCCGGCGGGGAGATCACAGCGGTACAGCGGACCTCCACCATTGCAGCGGAGCCCCGCAGATTCGGAGAGTGGCAGAGCGGCTCATGCCGCTACCCTACTACCCAGTCTTGACTTTCTCGCTTCCTTCCACCTGTTCACCCACTGAACAACTGAACTCTATCCTACATGAGACCTCTCCTCCCAACATACCTTGTGCATTCCATCCTCGCTATAACAGCTGCTTCTAAGAATGCTTCCTCCTCTGCGCCCTTACTTTCTCCTTCACCCTTCACGGTCACAGACAGTGTAGGCTTCTCTGTCGCCGACCCTTGGGTCCATCTTCGGGCTCACAACACATGTCGGTACCCTTCTGTCGTGATAGACATCCGGAGTCTATCAAAACAGTCAGACATGAATGTGTCACATATGCGTGATAGCTCGCCCCATCTCCCTTCCCCTTCAGCCGTGGAGGACCACCCCGACCTTCGACCAGCGCCTGAACCCGATGTCCCTCCCAATCTCGTCAGTTTTGAAGAGTGGAGAAAGCTCCAAGAGGAAGAAATCGAACACCGCGATACTGCCGAAACCGAATCAGTTACAATAAGCGAACAAATCTCCGCCGACACTTCTGCCGCTGCCGTCAGTGTGACCGAACCCACTGGTCCGATTTCGCCAGCTGGCAAGGCGGCACAAAGACCAAGTGAAGAGACTGGATCTATCAACTCCGGCTCGTCTGCTGCTTCAAGTCTCGCATCTTCATCCTCGTCCTCGTCCTCAGATCTGCCCTCCAAAAGCCCTGTCCTGCCAAGTCATAACAAGTACAACTATGCCTCCCCAGACTGTTCAGCACGAATTCACTCGGCTTCACCGCAAACGCAACATGCTGCATCTCTACTTCACAAATCCCGCGACAGGTATATGCTCACCCCTTGCAAGGCGGACGAACACTGGGTGGTCGTGGAGCTTTGTGATGAGATCCGAATCGAGGCCCTCGAAGTGGCTGTGTGGGAGTTCTTCAGTGGTGTGGTCAGAGAAATTAGAGTCAGCGTCGGAGGTGAAGATGCTGAGGATGGAGATATTAATGAAGATGGGGAGATCAGAGTGCGAAGTTCAGAATGGAAAGAGGTGGGATCTTTTGTAGGCAAGAACGTCCGAGGTGCTCAGGTGGGTAGACCAAGTTTCCCTCCTAACAATTCCAGCTGATGATCAGACATTCACCCTTACACAACCGACATCTTTCCATCGGTTCGTTCGTCTCGATTTTCCATCCTACTACGGGACCGAGTACTATTGCCCCGTCTCTCAACTTAAGGTGTATGGAATGAACCAAATGGAAGCTTTCAAATGGGAGGAAAAGAGACAAGCGGCGGTGGCTAGAGAGAAGGACAAGGACCGTAATGCGAACAAAGATCGTGACACGGAAGAACGCAAAGCCAAGGAGAAGGTGCAGGCAGAGAAAATCCGAGCTCAGCAGAGAGAAGAAGACAAGAGGAAGGAGTTGGAGCTCGATGAGCTGGAGAGGTTGTTATCGGAGCAGGCCAGAAGAAACCAACCAGTGGAATTAATCACCGACTCGGTCACGGCAGAGATTGTCTCTGTTGGAACAAGCATCGCGAATCCTAGCATCGCTTCTCCGACTAACCCTGGCGCAGGTACTCTGTCAACGCCATCGGAGGAACCTAGCATTACCGTAGTTGACAATGTCCCTTCATCGCTCAATACCCACAACGCCACTTCGACGATTTCTCGATCTCCATTGTCAGATATCAGTGTCGATGGCTCGCAACCCACCGCGACCTCGTACAATAGCACAACCTCGACTTCTGTTTCTTCTTCTACCTACACCCGCGCGTCTCCACCACGTTCCGACTCTTCGGAATCAATCTATGCTTTTATCATACGTCGTCTTAACGCCTTGGAGGGCAACTCGACCTTAGTGGCTAGGTACATAGAAGAGCAAACCAAAATCATGCGCCACATGCTAGGGCGAGTGGAAAGGAGTTGGGAGGAGTGGCGAACTGACTGGGAACATGAAGATCGAGGAAGATGGGAACGAGAGGTGAGTCGTGTACTTTCAATCTTGTTCCTTTTTGATCTTCTGCTAAAGTGTGAGCGAATGAGACAGGAGGACCGACTCGGTCGAGTCATTTCGCAAATGGAACAGCAGCGTGTCTCCCTGGAACGTGAACGTCGAGATATCATGACTCAGCTCCGGGTCTTGGGTGATGAGGTGCGCTATCTCTTCTTTCCATGTCTGACACCCCGCTGAACGTGGTCAGATCGGTTATGAACGGCGTCGTGGTATCGCTCAGTTATTCATTCTGTTCGTCATGGTCGCTCTCGGGGTGGCTACAAGATCCTCTTCCATCGACGCAATACTCAAGCCTCTCATTGCCGAAGCTAAGCGTCGACGGTCCTTTTACGTCAAACGTGCAGTCACTGGACCGTTGACAGGGTTACACATCGACCTAGGCTCTGGTCGACCTCCTGCAATCATCGGTCTCAAACGTCCCACCCCCATCCCATCACCTTCATCCCGGCAGATGCAGATTCATCCTCGACCTCCTTCTTCGAACCCTGATAGTCGTTCAATCACCAATGGACCCTCTTCCAGTCCTGTGAGTCGTTTAAGAATGAATGGCAGGACCCCCTCATTGAAACGACCCACCACACCTGGTCTGAGACAACGTCGACCCAATCTACCCCCACCATTTCGATCTTTTTCCGCTGCTAACCCAGGGGAGCCTGCTTCTGCAGCACCATCACACTCCTCTGGATCGGCGGCTTTGCTCAGTCCGGGTCTCGACCAGAGACCTCGACAAAGTTTACCACCGCTGCCTGGAGGCCAGAGAAAATTAGCCAAATCGGCCCATCTGCATACGATCGAAGCGGATCGAGTGAGAGATCGTGGACATCAAGAGGGCAGAGTGGTGTTAAAGTCCGGTCTCAGTGGTGTAGTCATTAGGCAGGGTGAGGAGTCGGGGCAGAAGTCTCCAAAAGCACTACCTTCTGAACACCAAGTTTCAGATGGTCCATTTGCGGAGACACCAATGACGAGGAACAGGATGTCACGAATGAGAGATGAAGTCGACAATGCTGTGCATGACGGCGAGCTGGATGGACATAGCGAGTGGGATACGGAGGACACAGACGTCTCTGCATATTCTGCATCAGAGGTGGATGATGAGGTGAATATTACAGCGGAGGATCAAACAATACAAATCGACAAGAGTGAGGTGTTCAAGGATGACCTGGAGGGTGATGCCGACAACGATACGGTAGAGAAGGAACTGGCAGAGGAACTGTTGGATATATGGAAAAGCAAGTCTATGTGAGCGAACATCAAGATCGAACGTGGTGAAAATTATTGCAATGCATATGACTGGTCACCCCCAAACGTTCAGATGATATCCTCCTCTCAGTTGCAGCATCCCATGTCTATGATGTATATTCCGTCACCTATACACCTCCCCCAATTCATCAGCAGCGTTCACTTTCCTCTCGATATAACGATAAGCGACTGTGCCAAGAGCGGCGAGGAGGAACATGACGTCGAACAATCTGCCAAACACCCTGAAATCGGGTAGGGAAGAGAGAAGCGAGTCTGTAGTGCCTGAAGCCGGAGTGATCTCGATAGATGTTGTATTGGAGTAAAAGGGCGAGAAAGGATCAGTATCGACTTCTGGTGAAGGTGGGAGGGTGGTACGGAGTTGGACGAGGAGTGAGATGACATAAGTGGCCTTTCATAATCAGCATACACAAAATCTGAGAGAGGATAGGGAAGATTTTGGGAGACATACAAAAAGCTGTCCAAGACTGAGAAGAAGAAAACCCGCTCCGACCGTTTTACTTGTCAATTTTAAGACTCTCATCAAGCTTCGAAGCACCTGTGCTAAACTTGACAAGATGAGTAAACCCGTGAGGAGTAAGGATATACTTCTGCTCCACATCGCCACGTCTATCTCCGTCGACCCTGTGGGAAGATGGCTGAGACCGAGAGCGAGGAGAAAGGAAATCCAATCCCCGTTGGTATTTCCTTTTTCTCGAGATTGCGTCTCTGGCTCGTTGGGTAATTGCGAGGTGGACAGCGGTGAGAGGAAGAGGGATGGTAGACACATGAGAAGTCGAGCGGCGCAGTAAACTGCGAAGATGTAGCCGAGAACATGGTATATTCTGCCACGGAGCGTGTGCCCGAATTCTTGAGTCCTCTGTCATCTTTCAGCATTGAGATCTGAGTGTGACCATGAGAGAATCACTTTACGGAGTTTCATCGCTGTAGCCGATCTGGACACTTGTCTCTCCATAGCTTGCAAACCAGATAATTCTGCCCGGACCGATGCGCTTTCTGCCATTTGATGAGCATAGTAGCTGGGAAAAAATCAACTCACCTTGATCTTCTCTGGAACCAAAGACACGTCCCATCCATGAGCTACCGCCAGGAGTAGATGGAACGGCCAGTCTATTGAGTTCTTCTCTTTTGGCGATGAGTTCATGTCTGACTCGATACAATGATCTTTCAGCTTGTAGTAAGTCGCTATCTGTAACGGGTCGACTTGTCATTGAGCTTCCGACCACTCATAGTGGAACACACGACTCACCTCCTAGCCCCCGATGCGTGCTCGAAGAATCCCCATGCTGTTCGGACTGCACCAAAACCAGATAACCCTCCTAGAACCACCACACCCAGAACGATGAGTCTTCCCAAACTGGGTGCCAACCAGCCACCACCTTCCCATCCTTCCGGACCAGATGTAGACCAATTGACGATGACCTCGTCTATGCCACTCGGGGCGACTCCATCGGTCAGGTCGACATCCACCGAGTTCTCGGGTTCGGCGGAAGGTGCGACCATAGGTGCCACTGCCGTTACGTATGGGGGTATGCGGGTGAACAAGAAGATGTATAAGGTGAATGGAATGAGAGCGATAAGGAGACGAGACGAGAGAGGCAGTGACGATTGTCGACTGATAGATGAATTTGATGGATCTGTGGCTTCAGTTTGGTCATGCTGAAGGTCAATCACGCACCTCGAGATCGATAGGTCAATAGGAGACATTGAACGAGGGGAACGAATAGCAACACCATGGCCAGCACGACGTGTAGAGATATTGAGAAGTTGACATGGCGAGATCTGTCTTCATCAGAAGGCCATTCAGAGGTCTAGGGAAGCATGACACTCACCTCGCATGCAGTATGCCCAGCGAGTGGAAGATGACCAGGGTGATGAGGTTGCAACCTTCAGCAAAGCACAAGCCAAACAGTAGTCTGAGTGTCAGTCATAGTAGCTTGGGGCATATAATCCCTCACCTTGAAGCCCTGTGTAGACCACGGGTAGCTTTCTTGACACCATGAGCCGAACTGCTACGAGCATGTGTCAACTGAAGGACCTGCACCCGACCTGCTCCTCCGTTGCTGGGCCTGTCTGCGTTTTGAAGTTTTTGTCCAAAGCTCTGTAGCTCCAACGATTCACCAGAGGGACTACTGGGCAAGCCATGTCCCAAGAAACGTTCGTCGGCTCTATCACGAGAGAAGGGATCTCGTACGATGCCGCCGGCTGGAGAAGGTGGATAGGAGGAATTAGGCGTCGCGGTGAAGGGATCGTCATCAGAGACGGTGTCCAACTCAAAGTCTGAGGCGGCAAGGTTGGAGTTGTGACGGGTGGGAGTACGGGGAGCTTCAGTGGGAAGGATAGCCGCAGCGGTATCAGCTTTGGAAATGTCTCGCAAAGTCGGGTTGAGTGTCGCCAGGAGGAAACGTCTCGAGAGGAAGAAGTAGAGGAGACGGAGGGCGATGAGGAAGAGGGTGTCGAGCAATATAGCGGAAGACTTTGAAGGACGAGGGAGAGACGCTATACTACTACTCTCTGACTCCATCGTAGCAAACGCTCATTCACGGGTTCATGATGAGAAGATTGAGACGGAAAGATTGGAAGAGAGAAAGCAAGATATAAGGTTTGATGAATTGTCACTGCGGGCCTGCAAGCTTGATGGTGACCGAGGACAGACACATGACACCTTCCATGTCATAAATGTGCATGTCGAGTACGAGTGTGAGTAGTTTAAGCTATAATCTAGTTGCAGTCCGACTCGTACAAGCTTCCGCCCTCAGAAATCTTCACCTGCAGGCCACATATAATACACTCCCAAAGACCGGAAAGGTCGCCAATGTTGGGTCAACGCTTCCATCTCCCCAGGCGTCAAGTACGCCCCTCCTCTGTCACAATCAGCTCCGGAAAAGAGAATACAAGTAAGGGCGACTCACTTGACCTTTTTACCTCCCATCCTCGTTTTCAACACCTCGACGCTCAAACCTTCAGACAGAGGGGCAGCTTTGTTGGCGTCCCATTCATGCCCTTTTATTGGAGCCAGCAGCTCTTGTGGCGTGGGCGGCGGTAGCTCCTTGTCGGGTACTTCCAGGGTCTCAGCGGGGGCAGTGAGTGGGGTGATAGGGGTTGGAGGAGTCGGATCTGTAGGCTTGATAGGCGTGTGCAGGACGGCAGATCTGACGACAGAAGCGTTCGATGGCGTATGAGGAGTTTGAGGGTATTGTCGCTCCAATGGGGGAGGTGTTTGGATCCTGGTGTCTATCTCTCCACCACCGTCCTCATCCACTCGGTCAACTTTTGCGTCATTCTTCCCCTTCTTTCTAGGCAGTGCCTGGTGTGCGGCCAAGACCCAGCGTATGAGACCTTTTTGGACTCCCAAATCACCGACCGGGAGCACATCAGGACGTTTGAGAGAGAACATGAGGAACATGTCCACCGTCCATTGTCCGATGCCTCGTACGGCGATGAGAGCTTTGGCGATCTGATCATCGCTACCGTCCCGGAGCAGTTCAGTGGACAATTGACCAGACAAGAAGTGCTCTGCTAGAGAGATGACTTCGAGTAAGCCGGTGATCGTCACAGGGTGACTAAACACACTTACCATATTCCGCCTTCCTCGTACTCAATCCCACCCCTTTGAGCGTCTGCACTTCGGTCGCTGCCACTTGGGCAGGACTGGGAAAGCCATTCTCATCTTCATAGCCGAAAAGAGCTCGAAAACGTCCATTGATGGCTCTCGCTGCCATCCAGCTCACTTGCTGACCAATGATAGAGGTGACCAAGGTACGGAACGGGTCGATGGCGGTGTACGGTGGGATGTAGGGTTTGCAAGGGAGATGCTGGAACATGTTCCCGAACCTCGGATCGGCCAAGGAAAGGTGGGTGATAGCATCTTGGAGACTGAACGGGAGTGTCGGGGCCAGTAAAGAAGGCTGATAGGAGGAGGCATCATTGGTGATGGGACGCTGGGTGGAAGGTGAGCTATCGAGAGTGGAAGCCGCCTGAGCCTTGAGTGGAGCCGCTCGAGTTTGATACTTTGCAGCGGCGGCGGTAGCTCTGGTCACTTTGACGGGGCTGACAGATGCTGAAACCAGCTTGGCCCCTGATCTCTTTCTTGCCATTGTGAGGAGCGTTATGTCTGAGAGTCGTACAGGAGAGAGGAGAGAGAGAGAGAGAGAGAGAGATGTGAATGACAAAGAGGAGTGAAGGAACCGGCTGATTCATCCTTTCAATAATCTTGCCCGCTTAAGTACCTGTCATGATGGTCAGTAGCACTTGAGTTACTATATGAGTGTTCATGATACATATTCATGTCCATAACTTTCCAAGGCATTGGAGGGGCTCCATGATGACCGGCTGGATGTTCTCCCAGATGAGCGCTTCAACCTCTTCCACCGTCCCATCGGCGTTGATCTCAGCCCACCGATCATCGCCGTGTCTCCGCCTTGTCTCCTCAGCTACCAGAGTGAATTGCTCTCGTACCCGCTTCTGCATCTCCAGCGTCTCATATCTCTCCTCTCCGTATGCACCTCTTGATGCAGCTACCTCGGGCGAAAGAGTGAGATAGACTGTCCGATCCGGTAAGGGAAGGCCCGTGTCGGGGTTTAAGCAATATTGGAATGAAAGACCCTACGACAGGTCAGTTGAATCACACATCACAACGCATCTGACTCGTAGACTCACTTTTGCAGCTGAAAAGGCGATCCCAGAAAAGGCATACCGATCTGCGATGACAATGGTGCCAGATGAGACATCCCTCTCGATGGCATTCCTCCTCGGCTCAGCTCCAGCGACTGCTCAACCATGTCACTCACGCACATTCCCATCGATTGGCACTGAAGAGTAGATGGATCGAATGGTCATCGAGCTCTGATTTACTCTGCAGATATGCATCGATCATACCGCCTATACGAGTGGTCCGGTCTATGAGGTCAACCGTCGAGTTCAGAGACGCTCAAGGAGAACGCACCCACCTGGAAACTTTTGCAGTCTGACCTTACGACCCTCCCGTTGTAATCGCGCCACTACCGCTCCAACCTGAGTGGACTTTCCAGATCTGTCAAGACCCTCAAAGACGATGAAGGCGCCTCTCTGACTGGTCATGGCAATGTTACTCATAAGTGGTGATGAGGAAGATAGAAAAGATACATAAGTACCTACCTAGAGAAGATGACGCCACCGGTACCCACCTACAGTGTACGGGAAGTCCCAGGTCGGATTTTCCCCTCCGGCAACTCCCTTTCCCTACCTCCATTTCTCAAAAATCACTGATCTTGCACCACATAGCTCACTGAGAGCTCTAGAAACACCTGGATAGTGTAGAGAAAGTCCCTCGGACCCATGTAGGCGAGTTTTATGCATGTAGCTATCATGGCTGCTCCAAAACCCGACATCAAGTGGTGTTTTGGCTTGAATTGGAGAGAAATTGAAAGCTAGCAGCTCAGGACCACTTGAATCTATGCATTGGAAACTGATATGAGATAGAGGAGTATTTCTTGCCCTATCCACCGAAGAGATCTGATCCATAAGTGAAGAAATGGTGGAGATAGCAGGAGAAGAAGAAAGGTCACGAAGAATAGTCAATATAATGATACCTTCCGTGATCTGTAGCCTGGTTTGTCCGTGGCCGGCAGGCCAGCGGGCAGCGGGCAGCGACCAACCCACCATGTAGTAGCATGTCCAGCATAGAACAGGGATTTGATGTGTTTAGTAAGATGAGCTGACAGCAGCTAGCGGCTAGGAGGTAGAATCTCTTCCAAATCCGTGATAGCAGGGACATTTGAATACACTTAGCAAAGTCTAGAAAGTGAACTTTGCCTAGTTACACCCCTCATTAGCAGCATGCAGCATACAGCACGCTTTTAGAAGAGTGTCAGTAGTCTCTTGAGAACCTCTATGCAGGGTAGAACAGGTCTAGCTGAGATAGTGAGACAGAAGAATGGATAAAATGCATAGTTATCAGGAATGAAGAGGGAAGGGGTAGTCCGGAAACTGAAAGTTCAGCCTGGGACTTCCCGGACACCGTACGGTGGCCCGATGGTTCTTCCGATTCTCGAATTTCAAATCGCCACAATCAAATTTGCGTTTTACCCCGCGGGCCTAAACTAGGTTGGGTCAGCAGATTCCCTTGCCGCCCTCCATCTACTTCTTCTTTCACCTCAAACAATACCAAGATGGAATAGACCAACCAATCAAGTGGCGACACAGCAAGAGATTATCGACAGGCAAAAGCGGGACCAGAGATTATCAAGAAGAAGCGAGACAAGAGATCATTGAGAGGAAGCGGGACAAATTGAGAGGACGCGGGACTAAGATTACTGAAGGGAAGCGGGACTAAGATTTTTGAGAGGAAGCGGGACATATCACTGAGAGGAAGCGGGACATATCACTGAGAGGAAGCGGAACTAAGATTTTTGAGAGGAAGCGGGACACATCATTGAGAGGAAGCGGGACATATCACTGAGAGGAAGCGGGACATATCACTCAGAGGAAGCGGGACTAAGATTTTCGAGAGGAAGCGGAACAACCGGTACGCACACTCGATGCTATCACCCTTCCACACATCATTCTTCACGTCTTCTGTTATTTCATGGGTTCATGGCTGACTTTCAGAGTACCTCACTGTGTCCCCTCTTGCCCTCTCCTGTCGGATTTTGAAAGAGTGACGCATTTATGAATCCTTGGTGCTCCTCTGGATACTAAGAAGACAAATCGAGAATGGGAAAAACACGGAGACACAGCAAGGGGAAGCAGAAGAAATTAGAACCATACCACAAACGACTTCAAAGAACCTTTGACGACAACCTTGACACATCCATTCCTGAACCCGACATTCCTTCTGAGCTCATTCATTTCTTCACACTCCCTGAACATGCACGATCCCAAAAAAACATTGACACTGTCCTTCAACGTCTAAACACTCTCAACCTTGGTCCACCTCGCCAGCTCACCCTATCCATACCTCAAGGCGTGATCAGTTCTATCAAAGCAAATGGACTTCCCTTCCATGTTCTTCGTATACCACACATGATTCCTCAGACCAACATAGACACCATCTTATCTTCCTTTCACACCTTTAACGACCTGAAACCCTTTAAACATGTTTCTCATTCACAAAAACGGGACGGAATTGAAGGGCTTCATCCTTTCCATTTAGGCATAGTGAGACGACAAGGTAATACCATTGGAGTTAGCAAGGACACCAGTCAAACAACAAGGAAGATGATCGACAAACCAACCAAAAAACAAGATGAAAGACGTCAAGCAGCACTTGACATTCTGCGTCTCCTCGAAAAGTTTGTCTGCACCCCTGTCAAACGGCAATATTCATATGTGGACAAAGAGACAGTCGATTATTCCTTCTTTCTAAATCATCAAGGACGTGATATGACCGCTGCTGAAGGAACAATTTATAGAGGAGAGGAGACAGAAAAAATTGGTTACAGTAAAAAGGGAAATGGGAGTGGAATGAGATTTGGTGGTATGGCAATGGCGGTGGCAATTGGGTATGGTGAGGCTCGTCTCCCTCACCTTGACCAGAATGATGTGGACTCTATTCCCACCTTCTTCACTCAACTATCCGGTGATCCAGGCTTCACTCGATTCCCTCAACTCCATGTTGATGCTTGTCTTGGTGTTGGTGATGTTCTCATAGCCCCCACCTCTAATCTCATTCATCACGCTGTTGGAGAAGGTCCTGCAAGGAAAGATAGAATAATTGCGATATTTTATACATGCCGTCATGTTGAGAGTCTGTTGGGGAAGCAGGAGGGTGGTAAGGTAGTTAGTGGACCATTGGAGGGTGTAGATTCAGATGATCTCATCATCTTTGACGAAGATGAGATTAGTGAGGAGACAGGCTACGAGGAAGTAATTGAATGATGCATTCTATTTGTAACCATAGGCAACCCACCTCACCTCTCCACATTGACAAGCAACCTCTGCAGCGGACATAGTGGGTCCTTGATATCATATGACTACACTTCCATCTGCTCAAAAACTCTTGTCAAATGAGCCTGTGTCAACGGTACCATTTGTTCGAAGAGGTTCCATACCTCATGTAATGTCCAACATGCCGCAGATGCACCTAGTGCCCAATGTGCATTCAAACAAATTTTCTCTTCCTCCTCTGAGATCCACCGCAGCATACCCTCTGTCACTGCTTTGTCTCGTATCTCCATGATCTCTCTGATGGTATCTAGCTGTATTCGCTGCAGACACTCTACTCCCCCAAACTTCTCTGGGCTTTTGAAGAAATCTTGTCTACGTCCACCAGATGGATTGGGTTTTGTGGGCTGTCGGCGAACCCGAAAGGAGTTATGGAAGGTGACATGCTGAGCCAATAAGCCTTGAACTAAGGGTGCAAAGAGCCACCAAAATAGAGAGCTTTGGCAATCTCAGCATATTACTGACAGTATAAAGACCACTTACCGATGAGCTGGATTCGTCCATACAAAACCCCTTTCAAGTCCCTCTTGTATTTTTTCAAGAATAAGGTCCACCACCTCCTTCCGCACATGGACCCATTGCCTTTCAATTGTGATGTTACGAAGGGACTTCAGACAGATATGAGGTGGGACATCATCGAGTTCAGGTGTGGAATATGTCTGACTGTATATTTCAGCACACTGTTACATGAGGTTGTTCATAACTCTCACCGTAGAAGAAACTGTGTTTCTGAAATCTGCCCCATCTCAGAGCCCCTATCACTTGCAACTTGTATAGGGTAGCCTATCTGTAAGCTTGCTGCTGAATACAGAACCTGTACGTACCCTTCTGTTCTAAAATCGTCTCCAGGAAAAGCCAGTGGACATTGGCAGCCAGACGATTACTTGGAAAGGCATGCAGTGCCAGGAGGAAACCGGAGTATACATCCCTGATCCCATATATTCCAAATCCCCACATTGCAAGCTTGTCATGGCCATCCATTGACCATTGCTCATTGGGGCCGGCACTGATGATTGGAAAGCGCCGAAGACGACGAGAGCCTCGTGACCTGTTTTGAAGACCTTGTGGATCAATCATCTGGAGCTGTCGGTATACTGCATTACTGCGGTGTGAGTAAAATCCTCTCGGTGATCAGGAGGTCATACCGAGTGACAACAAGTCCCTTTAAGCTGAGCGCATGAGTAACACCACGATATCCACGGGTTTTGTGTATGCCATCAAGGTTCCGAATCTCCACATTAAGTTGTTCGGGGGTCAAAGCCCCCTTTCGAGAACCTGGTATTTTCATGATACTACAAGTCTTGTAAAAAGCGGTCTTGGACCTGTAAGTTAGCAACTACAGCATACCTGCAGGAACGGTGACACACCCAAACAGCCAATCTGAGTTTTGTTGTACAAGTTGCCGGTTCACATCCTTCCACGACTTTGCTCCGCTTTGATAAGCACTGTAAATTGCTTGTTCCAGCTCTGGTGTTGGTGTAGCTGCATACATAAGCTGAGAATGGCTTTATGCAAACACCTACGTGGAATAACTGGTCTTGTTCTTGAGGTTGGCATATGAACGTTTGCACAAGAGCAAGAAAGGAAAGAATCAAGTTGAGATAGAAACGATGCAAATACGTGAGTGGTTCATTCATCTTCTACACAACTACGGGTCAAGCTGTATCAAATTCTACCGACTACTTACTTCAAGCTAGAAGGGCCAAAACTTTGTCATATCCAGACGTTTTGAAGCAAGATTAGGGATTGGGGGTGGAGAGGAGGGTATGAGATTGTACGCCTCTTGCACCTCGTCCTCACTAAGGACATCCGACCCTTTGTACGTTGCCACCCATCCTCTCTCCTTCATTTCATCCTTTCTCCAAAACGGAAGTTCAGTAGGATGGGGCTCCTCCTGTACCGGTACAATACTGGATGGTTTTGCACGCTCCATGTTGTCAAGCCCCAATGCAACACATACAGTGTTACACTTGTGTCGATGGACAAAACGATGTAGCTTGGGATATCCACAGTCACCAGGGCCGGAGTCTCTAGGAAGCCTATACATCAGCATGATGTCAACTCCTGAGGCAAACTTTCACCCACGTGTGAGTGAGCAAATCAAACAGAATGAAAGAACGTCGAGCAGTTGCGGGGACCTTTCCTACAGAAGTGAGGAAGCCTGAAGATGAGCGCCATCCTTGAACAGGGACTTACCTTGTATGTCTGCCGGAATTAGTGTCCTGTTACTGGTTTCAAACACCCAGTGAATCCACGCATCTAAATCTTCCAGGATGAGTTTGGTCAAGAGCTGGTAATCATCTGGTTTTGGAGCAACATAGTCAATGTTACTCCATTTTACAAAGCAGCTGTTCCATGTTTTGAGGGGATGTGCGCTAGCTGGCTGTTCGGTCAAGCATTGCTCCACAATCCATGAGCGAGGATGCTCTCGACCATCGGTAGGTGCTGCTTCTTGTATGACAAAAGCCTCAGTGACTTTGAAAGCTACTCAATGGGATCAACAGAAGTCAGCCCGGGGGAGATGATTCCACTCACAACTGTCACGTCTTTCACGACGTTCAGACTTCCATTGAACCTCTTGGTGGAAATCCTCTGCCCAGAGCTTAAGCTGAGTGGCTTTCTGCACCTCTTTGAAGTTTAGATGAAAGTGTTGTGCTTCACTGAGGATGACGGTGTGTTCATCTGGATCTGTGGCGAAGATCATTGAGTAATGCCGCTTGGCAACCCAGTGGTTTTTTCCTACGTGTAGCTGTTGCATAAGCTGGGCCTACAGGTGGTGACTTACATGGTAGATTAGCTTGAAGGCTCCGTGCTCTGACCACATTCGGTCCAACCGTCCAGTCTCCATCATCTCAGCCTGGATAGGATCCAGATCATCTGTGGTTGGATCTGCATAAATACGGTGGAAGTAGATGACTTCCTGTTCATCCCCTTCATTTGCTTCAAGGAGCTCTGACAAGTCAATATGAGATCAGTCACATAAAGCACTCACCATTCTCTATCAATGTCTGTTGGAGATCCTGCAAGGCTTGCAACGTTTCTTCGGCCATAAGGGGCTCTGAAGCCACTGGCTGATTGTCCTCCACACATGTCTTCTTTGAGACCGGCTCCTGATGGTCGTTGGAACTGTCTGAAAGTTCACGCTTCTGTTCAATGTCAGCATTAATGACAGGACTTGCTGAGAACTGACCAGAGTACTTTCACGTGGTGCTCGAACCTCAAAGTGAATGACAATGCGGCTTGATTTGGTGTCACGTTTACGTCCATACACAGCATGTGCGGAGAGGTATTCCTGACGGAAGAAGTGTGAAAGAGTTGTGTACTTCTTGAAATCATCCACGTTGACACGTTCATTCTCACCATGAGGAGTGTGGAGGTACTCAAAGCGATCAGAACTACTATATGAGCGTCATGATCATCAACCAACGGCTCACCTTTCAATGTCAAAATTGTAGACCTCCTGTCCTTGCCCGGCACCATTCCACGCCTCCACCACTTTGGTCCAAGCAGTCTCAAAGACATCCTTGAGTGCCGTGTGCCATTCAGCTCGAAAACTTGGAATCTCGTAAGGCCACTTGGCGGACTTCTTGTAGCTGTTTGCCTTTGACAATGCTACACGTCAACGGCAATTGAATGGATGAGTTCCACTCACCCGTCACAGAGACACTTGTGAGTACGATGGCACATACCCCAAGACCTTCTCTAGCCCCAGCAGCATTGTTGGCTTTTGTCACAGCCAAGGAGCGTACTGTGCTGGGGAAACTAGAGGCTGGAGTTGAGGCTGTCATAGAGGATGGAGTTGAGGAAGCAAAAGAGCGAGGAACAGACATCATGGTGCCCGGTGATGAGTTTGCTGCAACGTCAGCACATTGTACACACGCTCTAGCATCGCAGCAAACCTTTACAGTTGTTGCATATCCAGCCCTCACTCTCGTTGATACCTCTGGTCCCACATGAGGTGCAGGCAAAGACAGTTCCCTGAACCATCAGATGATGTCAATGCGCGGAGAGAACATACACTTGATAGTAACGAAGAAAAGAAACTGTCATCCACGGCTTTGATTCTGAGTACACAGAGCCCGCAGAGCTTCTCTGTGAGTTTGGGATAGGCTGTATTGCAGGTTGAGCAAAGCGGCATGATGGATGGATAGATGACTTAAGAGGGTGAGGGGGGTGAAAGGGTCGTAGAGTTTCAAGTTTTTAGTAGGTGGTTGTATGTGGTGTGGCATACATCTTGGAAAATGGAAAACGAATTTTGGAAAAGCCATTTTCCAAAAACGCCATTTTGAAGGACTAACGGGCCACCGTACACCGTACCCACCTCCACACGTCACCGGTCCGATCATCTTTTTCCCCCTTTTCCCTACTTAAGTTACTTGTTTTCACATCGTGTCTTCTCTTCTTCACTGTGATCACTTTGCAGTGACAACATGTCTCGTGCTCGTCGGTCAGCTGGGTCTGTTCGCGGGCCCTCTTCTGCTCTGACTTCCTTCCTCGCTGTAAGCTGCCTCGACTGATCCGATTTCAAGTGTCATGCTGATGTCAAAAGAATTTGGGTGTTGAGCCGTCTGCTCAACTTACAACCTGGGGCAATACTTCTGCTATCAACGCAACCGATCATGCTCCTGCTGATGGGCCGGAAATTATGGACGGGATTGACCCTGCTGGGTCCGTCACAGCCAGAAATGTTGTAGCAGGTCCCAGTCGGGTTGGCGAGGGCACACCTTCTGATCATGAGGATGTCAGTACGGACCACTTTCTCATTGTGACTTGCTCACAATCAGGAGGTTGCTCCACCAAGGAAACGTTTACGAGGAGCTTCAGTCGATTCTAATGATCTTGACGCCGATTTTGAGCCGAAGTCAGGCCCGGCAGCTGCCTCTTCGTCCAAGCCAGCCGTCGCTCCCACCGATCTGGCCAATATTGGCGAGTTCATGAATTGTGGAGAATGCGGAAAGAGGTTCACTGTTGTGCGTCGACTTGAGCATCGGCGGACGACTATCTCTTGCTAATTTGCAGACCGCCTACACCAAAGAACATCCAAATCAGCCTATGACTTGGCTTTGTGTTGACTGTTGCTACGCTGTAGGAGTAGATCCCTTCGCGAAGCCTAAGAAAGCTGCGGCGAGAAAGAAGGCAGGGGGAAAGGAAGATCGAGGAAAAGTTGTCCACTACGAGACAAGGAAAGGAGCAACGCCACTCGGTGACATCTGCATAGGGGTCAGTCAAACGAATCATGTGATGTCGTAGCTGATAATCAGATCATTGGTCGCTTCATCGAGGACGTTGAGCAGCTTGGCGACATTGGGAGTATCAACTTGGACAAAGTGTGCAGAATTATATCCAAGAGTCGCAGATTGTGAGTCACTCCACCATCGTCGACTCTGAGCACGCTGAATGTCAGAGCACCAGAGACTGCCGCGTTGTTCTATTCCGCCGACCGTCAAGAACTGTCCATGTATGATTGCACCAGTGAGTTCTCATTCTCACCACAGGATGTTTCATTGACCACAGACCTGGTGCAAGACTCATACATTTCCATGGCCAAATTATGCCCCAATATGGAATACCTGTATCTGAATCTATGTGGACAGCTCACTACGGACTCCCTCATTTCTTGGAGCAGAACCTTCAAGCGTCTAAGACGGATCGAACTCTTCGCCCCGTTTCTCGTGCGCAAAGAAGGCTGGCTACCTTTCATCAAATCTATGGGCAAGCGTCTTGAAGGATTCCTCATCACTCAATCTCCCCGAATCGACCTAGAAGTGGTGGAGAAGCTCGTTGCGTGTTGCCCCAACCTGACGGAGTTACGACTGTGCGAAATTGGTCAAATGAACTCGGACTTCCTACGACCTCTGGGAAAACTACGTCATCTGACACTTCTTGACCTCTCTGCGCCAGGTACGACTTTGTCAGATCAATCCGTCATCGAATTGCTGGAAGACATCGGCAATAATCTCCATACTCTCAACCTTTCAGACAACCCGGGGTTGACAAACGAGATTGTTCCTGCCATCGCCACGTGCTCAAACTTGCGCCGATTATACCTAAAGCATTTAGTGGAACTCACCGACGATGGCGTAGCCCAATTCTTCCGCACTTCTGTATCACCCGGGTTCGAGACTATCGATCTGGAGAAGGGTCACGAGCTTGGGGATGGTGCACTCAGGGCGTTGATCGCACATTCTGGACATTCGATTGAGCAGCTCAACCTTTTGGGTTGGCGAAAATGTCCCGCCGACGCCTTGGCCGAGCTTCGGTCATGTAAGCATCTGCGGGAGTTGAACTTGGGGTGGTGTAGGAATGTGACTGATTTCACGCTGAAGGATATTTTGGAAGGATGCAATGAAATTGAACAGATCCGAGTGTGGGGATGCAATCTCCTGTCGGATGCTGTACCGCGGAAGAAGGGGGTCAAGGTGAGAGATGTAGTTGACAGTGGTGAACGGGCTAATTTGGTTAAGGTCATCGGTATCGAAACGCACGCCATATAGGTTGCTTCCGTTGATCTCCTTGAATAAGGAATGTTCAATATTATCATGTTCCATTTCGTTCGCACATGAACCAGGTTGCAGACCTGGTTAACGGCAATATCAGTATCTCGGCGGGATCGCAGGATGGCGGGGCAAAGAGTCGATAGAGCGACTTGCCTTATATTGGACTTTCAACCTGGATGATTGAACAGGTAGATCAGTATGTGAGGGGGCAGGGAAGAAATAAAAACAAAGTGTATTGCATGCAAAGGCCGAATCTCGCAGACTCCCCAAAGGTTTACTGACCCACCGCCTCACTACTACAGATCAATGAAGTCGACCTCAAGTCTTCATCGCCCACCAGTAGCCCCACTCTGACAGAATGGCCTTTGCGGCATCAGGGCCAGCTTCACCTTTTGACCTGCCCGCCAGTTCTTCCGCCACCTGCGTCAACAACTTATCGAACTCGTCATCGTCTATCACCCGAGCTTCCATTAGAATGAGTCGTGTGGCCCGCATATAACCCAAAGTGTGATCGGCTTCATTCGACGTTCCTGCTGATCAGTCCGAGACTGCATTGCGGCTCACTCATGAGATTTGTATACGACTCACCCAACGAGGGATCATTCACACACGGCGCTCGATAATGTTGGTAGTAATCGATATACTCTTCTCCAAATCCCACTTCTGTGAGGAAATTGTTCACCCGGTCGAATGTATCCATACTGCTATCAGTTTCAGTGAAAGAGAACGAGACTCACTTGACCCCGCGATAAGCAAGCGCGGAAGATAACAGGGAGTAATACTGTCTGTCAATCCATCAAAACCCGAGAGATGTGGGACAAACCCTTGCTACGCCAGGGGCTAAATCCAGTGCGTCGTACTCCTCCCATGCGCTCAGTAGATGAAGTCGAGGCTCGTGAATGAGCAAGAGGCCCGATGGACGTAACAGACGGAACGCTTCGAGGAGTAAAGCTTTGTAATCTGGAACCTAGGCTGATCAGTTCGTGGTTACGTCCAGCCAAACGGATGGAAACTCACTGCATGCAACATTTGTCGGATATGTATGATGTTGAATGAACCGTCAGGAAGGACTTTGATACCGGTAGGGACTTCCATGAACATGTATTGCCAATTTGAGAGATGATGACTTTATGTGAGTGCCTACTAAGAGATCACACACTTACTCGTGCGAGGCCGGCACGAGGTCTGCTGTCAGCTCGATCACAGCGCCATCACTCACCTATACCGACGCAGTCCGTCTGTGGATATCTCTCGGCCATTTCGTGAAGCCTGCATGATGAGATTGCATACACGATTTCGGAAGCTCACCAGATACCCTGAAGTCAGTAAAGACACCAGTAAAAAGGCTTGAAACTCACGCTACCACACCCGATGTCCAGTATTCGACAGGTCGTTCCGGCCATCAAGATGGTCTCAGAGACGGGACCTCGAAAAAGGCCAGGGAGACTCTCTGATAGCTGGCGTGAGATGGTGTTCTGCCATGCTATAACCTACCAAGAAATGTTGCTGATCTTGCCGCTGGACATGACTACATGATCTCTCCAGGACGCTCGACTTACCTGTGTCTCCGCATCGTCCGCGGGCATGCGATAAGCCCAGGATGTGTTGTTACTGGCCATCAGACTGGCAGACGTATGAAGACTTACTCACTATACGCGATCTCCCTGCAGAAAATAGATGCTGGGCTCCGCTTCGACGACTCCATAGCGTAAAGAAACCGAGTCAAAGTTATCTTGATCCTCAGAATCACTATTGGGACGACTGCCATTCGAGGGCGATGGAGAAGCCGGACGTGATGGCATTGTGACGAAGAGGAGACGATGAGTGTCGTAAATGAGAGAAGGGTAAAGAGGTTGAAAGTGAAGGCTGAACGGGATACTTAGGCCTCTCAATGCTGACATTTAGCGACAGTCGCGAGCCAGAGGTTGGGTAATCCCCACACTCACAATCACATCAAAACTGAACCAAGGCCGAAATGTATGAGAGATGGGCCGACTTGTTGATGACAACGTGTGGGTGAAGCAAGTTTGCATAGGTAACTTGAACGATTGCGACGAGAAGAGAGATGGTAGTGATGCGCCCTGTGATGGTGTGAGCCTGTGACTGCGGACCGAGTAAGTAGTGGTAGTCGTCGTCGTAGTAGTAGTGATGGTTCTCGCTAGTTTGTGACTCCGTCGGCGTCGTTCAGTCCCTGTCCTCCGAGACGGACCATGTGTGACTTGTGCTCACCCTCGGCCCCCGCCGTCAGCATCATCATCATCGTCGTCGTCGTCGTCGTTGTCATCAGCTGAGAGGTCACGTGCGGCATTCCACACCGAGTGTTTGATCGACGGCCGACGGTCGAATGCGAGTGAGTGATGAGTCATTGGTACTTGGTAGGGGTGCGGTCATGCGGTTTCGGCTGTTGTGAATGCTGACAAGTAGTCAAGGGTCCCGCATATACATACCTTAGACCCACATATGATGACAGTCACATAATCTGTTCTCCATATATACACCTGCCCACGCCATCCACCTGAACGGTAACGGGATCAAATCTGACTCACACATGACCACCGCTAGCTATAGCTTATACGTACTGCCCTCTTCGCATCCACATATATACATATTCACCTCTCTGTCACCAATCTAGGTACTCACTCTTCTTCTGCACTTGTACCTACTCGCTCACTCACATACAGTACACTCTGTCGCCCCTCCTTTAACCCTGAAGCCTCAGGACGCAAAGCGCCGAGAACTTTGCCCTCCTCGAAACTCTTTCACTGGGCACGGAAGCATGACCCCTTTGCTCTTGCTCCTCCGTCCGGCTGTCCCCTGTCAAGATTTGTAACATCAAAACCTAAAGACCCTGTGCTATCTGCTCTGCTCTACTTACCTACTATCCTACGGCATCTCCATCCTAGATCGTCAACGGCTCGACGGGCCGACGGAATGTATCTAACCCCTTCTCGCCGATCTGCCGCATTCCTCGGCCTACTCTTGCTTGCCGGGTCGACCTTTTTCTTGTACAACATTGAAGGAGCCCGTCTATCTCTCTTATACCCATGGAGTCCTTACCAAAAAACCGTTTTAAGCGATTACGAGAAGCAGCATCCGGATGTACGACAGCGGGTGGAAAGATTGAGACGAACGTGCTCGCAACCGGACCCGTTTGAGAAAGAATATGGTCGGGCAAATCTGAGGCTGAGTCGGGCCTACGAGGGTATGTAGCATATAGCCGAGGATAGTGGCGCTCACATGCTAACATGAAAGGTTCACTTCATCGCTTACGACAATTACTACACAAATTACTACGGGGGGAGACCATCACTATCACGGCCATAGGCGGTAGCAGTGAGTGACTTTCAAGACGATCGTACCGCTTATACCTACTGAACAGTGCAGTCACCGCCGGTCATCATGTCGACGATGACGAGGTGTGGTTTGAGCGGTTTGCTGAGTGGCTGCGCGATTTTGTGGGAAGCAAGTCTCAGGTTATCGCTGTGAACGGGGCAGCACCGGGTATGTCCTTGTTTGGAGTGTCCTCGGGGCTCAGCTGATACCCCAAGCTACCGGGTCCGACTACTTCTCCTTCTGCTTCCCCCTTCACATACCAGAAGAAGCCGACTTGGTGATCGTTGAGCTCGCTGTCAATGACGAGGCCATATTGGAGCATGTTGAGAACATGGAGAATCTTCTTCGAGGCTTGGTCGAATTGCCACATAGACCGGCAATCGTCCTCGCAGAGGCCATGGCATTCAGCAATGGTGGCATGGGAGGTGGGGGCGGGCGAATGCACCTGTCAGTTCTTCTGGATCTCGCTAGAACTATGCTGACTTTTAAGACCTGTAGCACAATACTATGGTGAGTTCGAGACAAGGTGATAGTTTCCAACCATGCTAACTACCTCCAGATGTACCTGTGGTCAAGTAAGTAGTCTCGCTCCAGTCATCGCCACTCATCACTCACGCAACAGTCAACGTCACCCCCTGGCCTCACATTTTGCACGGTATCCACAACTGATTCGACCATACTTTACACAGGAGTGAGTCTTCTTCGGCATACGTCCACTGTCTCCATACTGATCCTTCTAGCTACTGGGGTAATCCAGATACGCGTCACTTCAACGCTCGGGGACACCGTGATTTGGGAATGCTGCTGGCCAGCCTACTGCGTGATGCCGCATGCGACATGTTGTCAGACGATACATTCACCGTACCACCTTCGCTTCCTCCGTCGATCTATCCACCTCCGTCCTTCTCGGAAGAACTCAGTCTAACTGGACTGGGAGACCTGGAGGCTCAATCAGACGTGGCAGCGTGGCAAGACTCGATTGTCGAAGACTCTCAAAAGTCATGGCCAGAACAAAGTAGATTTTGGAGGCTCGATCCTGTCGATGACCAAGAGGTCGGGGCACTCATGCCTGGAATGTGGACGATGCCTTATGAGTATGGACAATTGCCGCGCATGCGGGTACAAGATGGATGGAACCCCAACCTCGATCATTTCGTACCACCCTTCAAGCCGATCTGTCTGTCAACGCGATCAAGCGACCCCCGATTCAACCTCACTCCCACCTATACCGATGGTTGGGAGCACTGGGTTCACCCTGATTATCGGGACAAGCCATACATCATGGCCACAGAGCCAGGCTCGCGAGTGTCATTCGAGCTCGAGACCAATGTAGGGGTGATCAAGATGTATTCCCTCCGTAGCCGGACGTTCGGTTTAGGTACGATTGTTTGTTGGGTGGATGATGACGTGGACAAGGGGGTCACCGTGACAGGATGGTGGGATAATGACATGTAAGAGTCGCAGATTTGTCCTTGCTCAAGCCTGGAGCTGATACGTGTAGGAACATTGGCCGATTTGCCACCATACGAAATGATCTAATCGCAGGACGACATACTCTGACATGCGAGGTATCACAGGAGACGAGTGATCCCGGAGGCGGTCATGAGTTCCGAATCATCTCGGTGATGAGGTGTGTGAAACCCTTTCTAGAAGACGCCCGACCCTATGCTGACTCGCATAGCGTCTGAGAGGTGCAGCCTGTAGCCCGTCGTCCGTAATGGTAAGGATGTCTTGCCTCCAGTATCTGTATAATCATCCACGGACGATGCATTGTCATGATAGAGCTTGTAGCTGCCTGGCCGGTGGATATCTGGCCGGTTTTGCCGGAGACCGCGCGTCGGATCGATCAGTACGAGTACTCACTGTACAGTTGGTCATACTGTATGTACTTAATACAACTTCTTACTACTTCTCTTCTCGTCACTCACATGTGCACATGTGTGCATGTTGCTCCTCTCACACTCTCTCAGTACATACCGTCATCTACAAAAAGCACTTGACCCCTTGTACCATTCACCATAGCGCATCTCTATCACCGTTCAGCCAGCATGACTTTCATCGCCGCCCTCTGGCAGTACATCCGTTTTTACTTGGATACCATCATACATTCCGGTGCACCCGCCCTCTTTTTCATCCGACCTCGATGGACCGATGCCCAGATACCGGATATGTACGGCAAGGTATGTACCAAATCAGACTTCCCCCTATCTTGCAGCACAAGCTCATCTCATCAGGTCGTCATTGTCACCGGAGGGAACAGTGGTACCGGTTATGCCACCTGCAAAGCACTCTATGAACATGGCGCTACGATCTATATGGCGTCGAGGAGTGAGAAACGAGCGGAAGAGGCTATCGCTGCCATCCGAGCCGGAGCCAAGACAGGTATGACAGGCTTTGTCTATCCTCAGCCTCCAGCTCCCAACGACAACATGGCTGTCGAGGTATCCGAAAGCGTACCGAAGAGGAACCAGGGTCAACTGATATACCTCAACCTGGACTTATCCGATTTGGACAGTGTGGAACGCTTTTGCTCCGAGTTTGTGGCCAGGGAGACAAAGCTTGACCTTCTGTTCGCCAATGCTGGCGTCATGGCAAGGTGAGAATTTTTTCGTCGAGGAGTAGAACGGACGACTGATCTCAGTCCCGCAGGGTTATACACAAAGCAAGGATATACTTTGCAATTCGGTACCAATGTAAACCCCTTTTGGATTTCTTGACAGTTTCTGAACTGATCAATCTAGTGTCTCGGTCACCACAGACTAATCGCTCTTCTTCTTCCTCTCTTACTTGAGACTTCACGTGCCAACCCCTCCCAGCCTCCCCGCGTAATCGTATCCTCCTCAGTGGGACATATAGGCGCTCCTCCCGGCGGTGTCAAATACGAAAGCGTTGTCAGAGATCATTCCGGAGTTGACCAGACCGACGCTGGAGAACAGGTCAAGAACCCTGTACCAGGTAAAAACGAGCTGCCGATCTGGGTAGAGTATGGACAGAGTAAATGGGGTTCTATTGCATTGGCAAAATGGCTGCATTGGCATCATGGTCCTGGCAGTCGCCACATCAACACTCAAACAGGCGCCCTTGGTCGAGACACTACGATTGGTGCTCAAGATGTTGATGTTAGTGTCAAGCAACCGGAGATCCTGAGTGTTGCTGTGCATCCAGGTAAGTATTTGCGGGACTGCCTGCGTTACCCGCTTTTGAGAGATGTTGATTTTCGCAGGCTCAGTAGCTACCAATTTGGCTCAGCATCTTTCTCTCACACCGGTGATCCTTCGTCGCGCACCATGGGCAGTCGTGAGTGTGTCTCAGAATCCTACGTGCTTGTCGCTCATAACTCAGCCACTGTTGACGTGGACAGCTGTCGATGGTGCGTCCAATCAGCTTTGGGTGGCAACGTGCAATACGGAAAGAGCTCGTAAATTGAGCGGGGCATATGTCGTACCTTTCCAACATGTTGGCCGAGCCCGTCCAGATCTTGATGATCGTCTAAAACTGGAACAGTTGTGGGATTGGTGCGATGCTCAGGCGAAGCGACACGTGTAGCACATGTCGATGAACCTTTTTACATGACATTTCTTATGCATTACAATCAACAACAAGATATTAGACCTCCACCTCGCTGCGTCTCCTTTCTTCAAGCCATCTATCTAGCTCAGCGTCGATGGCGGCCGTTCTTCTTTCTGCTGAAGGATGAGTGGCCCAAGACCACAATTTGAACACGCGTCCGGTCCAGGAATCGCTCGTGTCTCCGTCCATTGGTCTTATCTCGTGTAAATCGGCCAGAGATGTCGCAAATTTCGCTTTGGCTGCCATAGGATCAAAACCTGAGAGTGCGAGTATCCTGACTGTCAGCCTCAGCCACCTGGGAGGTATGATACGCACCGAAGTGCAGCTCGGTCTGCTTCCAATTCATGGGCAAACTGGAATCCAACCTGTCCGTAACGATCAATCATCTCATTGGCACTGGTCTTGCCCACATTAGCTAATGCATCGTTGATAGTCGGACCGAGCATGAGTCTAGACTTAGCAATGAATGACCACTGGCTCAAAGACTCACGTGAGAGGCCAGATGAAAGCTCGAACGAGGTCTAGAGTCAGATTGGTGATGCTTGGCCAAAGGACTTGCTGCTGGGAGAGGGTTTCGAGCTGATGGCTGAGCAATAGGTGTCCCATTTCGTGGGCGAGTACCCAGGAGAGATGCAGTGTCTCATCTTCGGTAGGTGTGACGTGAGGGGGTCGAGTTGAGAAAATAGATGAGAATCGTGTAGACGGAGGCGCTCTCGCGGGTCCAAGGATTTGGTCAATCAAGCCGGAAAATACGACAATTCCACTGGCGCCGTTTCCCCCAAAACCGTACGAAAAGGCGTTGGGCTCGTCCTTTCGAAGAAGCATGAGGCTGAAAGGCGGCCCTACTCCGAGGTGCTCTTGACCCGAAGGATGTTCTGAACCTGGAAGAGCCGAGTGAAGCATGGCTGAAACCCTAGGTCGAGGTTTGATTGGATACTTCGCCGGCGGAGGGCTGAATACCGGATGGATTTCTCCTCGCACTCCCGACTCGAGTCTGCGCAATGTCGCTTCAACCCAACCCCATCGCCAGTCTGTTTGCGGAAGAAGGGGCGGGGCGGGAGCGTTTTCGGTCGTGAGGAGATTGATGACGCTCCGGTACCAATTGGGACCAGCCAAGCTCTTGGAAATGCTATCTTCTTCCTCTGGTGACAGAAGGATCAGACGCCACCGTCCCGTGAGCGGCACCCGCTCCAAGGCAGCGATGTATACCGCCGTGAAGAGGAGTATCGGCAAGCCGATGGCGAGGGCGACTATCCAGCGGGACAACGCCAGTCGATCTTTCGACATCCGTAAGGAAATCCAGTGGCGTCGGAGCGCTTCGACTTGCTGTTGCTCCATGGGAGATAGGTGACTAAAGGATGTCATGGAGGCCGACGGAAGTGGAGGTAGGAAGAAGGCTATTCTCTGTATCCAACGCATGGCTTGCTGCCGTTGATCTTTTGACAATTGCTTCAAGTCCCCAGGTACTAGAGGACTATGAATGGTACCAGGTGGGATGGGAATCAGATAGGCGACACGGCCGTCAGGTCCTTGAACAGCTCCGTCCGTCGACATCTCCCCCTCTAAAAGCGCAATGGCCTCCTCACGACGGATCCGTTTCCCTCTCTCCCCTTCGCACCACATTTTCCAAAACTCCTCAGCCTCTGGAGTGGCCTCTGGTCTCTTGTACGAAGACTCCAACCATCTGACTCCTCTGACCATGCGCAGAGCTGCGATGGTGCCTAGCGGAAAGAAAGAGATAAGAATGCGGGATATTGCAGTGATGGCCGTGAGAACGGAGGTGGACTATGGAGCAATCAGCCAGTGAAATACTGAGTCAGATGAGACCTACTTTGAGGATTGCGGCAGTGGCCGCAGGGATGAGAGGTAGAGCATTCCGACGGCTCGAGCTATGAAAGGGACGGAAGGCGGCCAAGCGAACGGCCTGCTTGAGCAGCTGTCGCCGTACTTTCCGAGATGTCAGAATGCTTGAAGGGAGAGAGACATATAGGTCTACGTCGGATATGAATACGCTCGAAATGTCTCTGTGTTTTCCCTTGGCGATAGAGGATGGTGTCGCTAGGGATGATGCGTAGGGGAGGGGTCGGGGGGAGGTAGAAGGACTGGCAGCGGTCCAAAGATGAATTGAAGATCTGTGAGAGTCGAGGTTCCAACGACGGAATGATGGAAGACGTGGACGCAACAGCCGAACAGCAGCCATGACGAGTAACTCTTGAAGGGTTCAAAGATCCCAAGGAGATGCAAAGATGGACCAAATATAGATAGGAGAATGAGTAGTAGAGTAGTAGTATGTATTGTTATACGCTGGCTCTACTGTCAAGCCGAGTTGTCCGGGAAGGCCACGTGATCGCTACTCTGCTCGTAGTCATCTGCCACATCGGAGATTACCGGAATTACAACAGCCCCGGCCTTGTAGAGTAATTTTGCCACTCGGTTGTAGAAACCACCAGAGAATTTCATTTCTCAAAAGATCGACTTTCTGTCACTCGCACCTGGCCTTTACGCCTCTCTCTATCATTATCAACATCACTATCTCTACAACTACCATTCTCATTCTCATTCCCATTCCTCATCTCCGTCTCGTACCATCAACCCTCCATCTTAATCTACTTCCGTCATGTATGGTTTGACCCGAGCGTTTAGGCTCAACAGAAATTCTTCTCATCTTCGCAATCTTCAGGTCAGTGCTTTCCCGGGTTTTGCTTCGTTGTGGTACTAATCATCGCAGCGATCTTCTCCTCTTCTTACCTCCAAGCGTTTCAACAGTGGAAAAGTATCTGGACCAGTCATCGGGTAAGATCACTTCAGCTTAGAGTACGATCAGTCAGCTCAGATCACAGTATCGATCTCGGAACGACCAACTCTTGCGTTTCGTAAGTCCTACACGTATTGTGCAATCAGCTTTCTTCTAATGTCACAGTATATATGAAGCAGGAGCCCCTAAAGTGTTAGAAAACGCCGAAGGTGCTAGGACCACACCTTCCGTAGTCGCCTTCACCAAAGACGGTGAACGATTAGTAGGACAGCCCGCTCGAAGACAGGCGGTCGTGAACGGAGAGAACACTATCTTTGCGTCTAAAAGGTACGTCATTCCGCTCGGTAATGAACAAGGAGTGCTGACTTCAGACTGATCGGGCGAAAATTCACAGATTCCGAGGTGCAGAAGGACATCGGTCATGTTCCCTATAAGATTGTCGCTCACACCAATGGCGATGCCTGGGTGGAAGCTCGTGGTCAGAAGTACTCCCCCTCACAGATCGGCGCCTTCGTTGTGGGTAAGATGAAGGACACCGCATCGTCCTACCTTGGTAAACCCGTCAAACATGCGGTCATCACTGTTCCAGCATACTTCAATGACTCGCAACGTCAAGCGACCAAGGACGCCGGTTCCATTGCCGGCCTTGATGTTTTGCGAGTCATAAACGAACCCACCGCCGCCGCACTCGCCTATGGGCTGGAGAAGGAAAATTCAGCTATCATTGCCGTTTACGATTTGGGTGGTGGTACATTCGATGTCTCGATTTTGGAAATGCAGAAAGGAGTCTTTGAAGTCAAGTCCACCAACGGCGACACTCATCTTGGTGGCGAGGACTTCGACATTGCACTTGTGAATCATATACTGTCCGAGTTCAAAAAGGAAACAGGCGTGGATGTATCCAAGGATCGAATGGCCATCCAACGTATTCGTGAAGCCGCCGAGAAGGCCAAGATCGAGCTTTCTAGCGCCGGCGCCACCGATATATCCCTCCCGTATATCACTGCCACTGCCGACGGTCCTCAGCATATCAATTTGAAGCTCACTCGTGCCAATTTCGAGTCTTTGGTGAAACCGTTGGTTGACCGTACTATTGAACCCTGTCGAAAGGCGCTTACCGATGCGGGTGTCAAAGCATCCGATATCAACGAGGTCCTTCTTGTAGGCGGTATGACTCGGATGCCACGTGTTGTGGAGACGGTGAAAAGTGTCTTCGGCAAAGAACCTAGCAAGGGAGTCAATCCTGACGAAGCCGTTGCCATCGGCGCCTCGATCCAAGCCGGTGTCCTAGCCGGTAACGTTACCGATATCCTACTGCTCGACGTCACACCCCTGTCTCTCGGAATCGAAACTCTCGGCGGTGTGTTCACTCGTCTTATCAACCGGAACACTACCATTCCCACGAAGAAGTCTCAAACTTTCTCTACAGCAGCAGATGGTCAAACGGCTATAGAGGTGAAGGTGTACCAGGGGGAGCGCGAGCTCGTCCGGGATAACAAACTACTGGGGAACTTCCAACTCACTGGGTTACCTCCTGCCCCCAAAGGCGTACCTCAGATAAAGATCACCTTCGATATCGACGCGGACGGAATAGTCAACGTCAGCGCGAATGACACAGCCACCAACAAAGAACAGTCGGTTACCATCGCTTCCTCTAGTGGGCTTTCCGACAAGGAGATCGAGGCTATGGTGGCGAACGCAGAAAAATTCGCTGAATCCGACAAAATCCGTCGGCATGTCATTGAGGAAGCGAATCGGGGAGAAAACTTTTGCACGGATACGGAGAAGTCGATGGTTGAGTTTGAATCTCAGCTTGACAACGAAGAAAGGGAGAAGGTCAAGACATTGCTGGCTGCTTTGCGGGATGTGTGCACCAAGGGTGCTGCTGGGGACGCGAGTGTGAAACCTGAGGACATCAAATCGGCGCTGGACGCCGCGCAACAAGCTTCTCTGGGTCTCTTCCAGAAGGTGAGTGCGAACTCATAGATCATAGACCCGTCGCTGACTAACAGGTGTACGAGAAGCGGGCCGCGGACAGCCGAACAGCTGAGACCTCTTCAGCCGGTCCGGCCGAACCAGAATCATCGAACTCAACCGACGACAAAAAGCAGGCCTAGACGCACATGGCGCCATTTTCATCTCTCCTTGCATAGTTTCACATCACGTACAGTGTTCTAGGATGCACAAACCACTCCAAATCACCACAGGTACCGCACTACTGATCATACACTAATATACCCACAAACACCGTCGTTCTGCAATCGCAAGGATCAGTCAATTCAATACGACAAGGTCTCCAAGAGCTTATCAAAGACTCTGATAACATCTGGTTGATAGAATCTTTCGAATGTCAGGGGAACAGGGGTGCTAAAGTCAGAGCATGTTCACAATCGGCTGTCGACAAATCGATGTACTCACTCCCAGCCACTGACTAATCCTATCGGAGCCTCCAGATACTCGAAAGCGCGACGGCCCAATTCGCCTGCCAGGTTATTCCCTACTCCTCCACTCGGGCCGGCCTCGTGGACAATGACCACCCGACCGGTCTGCTTGATTGCCTCGACCACGCTGTTGATCGGAAGTGGATTGATCATTCGGAGATCGATGAGCTGAATGGATATGGGTCGAGGTGGTCGAAGCTTGTCAGGGAGGAGGGGCATCAGCGTTGCTGGTGGATCATGGAGGAGTGTGATGGCGTTGACTGTCCGGTCATCAAAGTACTGGTGGGCTGAGCACATGACTCACGACAGGTGTATAACGGTAAGCCGTACGAGATCAGAGTCAAGTCCGTCCCGGGTCTCACAATCTCCATCTGACCCAAAGGTAAAGTGTAATCGTCGATGGGAACTTCTTCCACGGCGGCGCGATACAAGATCTTTGGTTCGAGAAATAGGATCGGACTGGGATCCCGAATGGCGGATAAGAGCAGACCCTTGGCTTGGATAGGGGAGCGAGGAATGACGACTTTGAGCCCTGCTGCTCCAAGAAAGAAGCCCTGGGATCAGTGATGATGGAGGACACATGGAGCCCGGATAGATACCTCTGGACTCTGTGAGTGATAAAGTCCTCCATGACCAACACTACCGATAGGAGCGCGGATTGTCAACGAGCCCCCAGGCAGTGGATACGCTCCACCACTGGCATAATGCTGTTTAGCTGCTTCGTTGACGAGCTCGATATTAGATTTCGCGTCTCAAGCGTCAAGTCACTCTCACCTGGTCGAAAGCAGGAAAGATCTGTGATCAGCGGTCCTTCACATGCAGGATGTTACCACTCACGTAGTCTCCAAATTGGATCTCGGCGATGGCTGTGGCTCCCACACTGGCAAACCCAATTCCAAACCCAGCAATGCCTTGCTCAGATAGTGGTGTGTTGAACACCCTCTTCTTTCCAAACTCTTCCATCAACCCCATGCTGCAGCGGAAGACGCCTCCAAACGCAACGTCCTCTCCAAAGATCACCGCCTTGGGATTTGATCCGAGAGCAGTCCTGCATGGCTTCAGTGAGCTCGCCTGCTGAATCTGAAAAGGGAGACAAACCCGAGTGCTTCCCGTATGGCACCATACAAATTCATCCGCCGAGTCTGCCTTCCCCTTCCTGTGGGACCAAGAGGACCGTGACCATCGGTGAAGTGAAGACCAGGAGTTGCCAGAGCCTCTTGGGCGCTCGACAGAAGAAGCTGATTCTCAGAGATGGAAGGCTCACCTTCGACACCCTGGGCTTCAGGAGGGGAGGGAGCCGCCCTAGCCCTGCGAGGTGAGGAGAGTCCGGCATCGACGTGTTGTCCTCTGAGTCGCCCAAGCACACTCGGCCCGGGGCGTTTGCTGAAGTATGCAGAAGCCGACCGACAGGGCAGGGAGAATCTTGGCGGCATGGACACAGAGAGAATAGCCAGAGTAGGGATGAAAGAGGATGTTACAGGTAAAGGAATGTATGTGGTAACTAGGCGGTACGAGAGGAGAGATGAGACCGGTTAAAGGGCGACCAGTTGATTGCCGGCAGGCCATGGTGGCGACGGGGGTGCCTTTGATCGTGATGGGGCGACAGGTGATCACCAAACGTTGACCAGTCATGCCATCACCACAACCTTTATCGTTCTCTCTTCATTCTCTTCTCATCCTTTCTCCATGGACACTTCCAGCGATGTCAGCAATATCACTATCAAGCGGTCCCCCAAACTCTCTTCTCTTCCTCGCGAAGTGCTGCGACTGATCGCCGTACACATCTATGATCCCATGGTTCTCACCCAGCAGGACCGACTCAGTGAGTAGCATGCCCCCATAGCTTCTGTATGCCCTCAGAAGGCCGACGCTCATCTCAGCCTGGGGTATATTCTCCACCGTCGACATGCACGCAGAGAGGCAAGCTGATCTGTTCTCCTTGGTCGCGTTCGGTCACACATGCAAGGTCGTCAGGAGAGAGGTCAGGGTGGTCTTGTTCCGCTGTCTTCGAGTCTCCACTCTTTGTCAACTGGAACAAGCACTCGCTGCTAGTCAAGACTGGACCAAGTATGTAAAGTGGGTTCGAATCAACTGTTCGTGGAAATTGTGGACTGACCATGCACAGGGAGATCATCATCGATTTGACCATGTTCGAGCCATCATCAGAGACGACTGGTCAACTTCGCTCTTGCTGGGTCGAATCAGCCCTTCTAGTCAAGCTCATTTCGACACTCCCTTCGCTCGAGCATCTGTGCCTCTTTGCCGACGCTTCCGACGATTCAACATTATCGCTCCTCTTCTCCTCGTTGATCGCTCACCCGTCTCTTCATCCTATACCTCCCCCTGTCGTCCCTCCTTCCCCCAGCGTGCAGTCTATGCGATCATGCGACGCGAACCCTACTCCTCTCAATCACCGTCTCAGATCGTTCGGATGGCGGCAGCGCGGGGAGCCTCCTCAAGGGTTCCGTGACTTCTCCCACACCTCCGCCTACGTCTCGACCCTACATCTACTCCGACATTGTCATCAAATATCGTTTGTGGTGCTCGACGCCGACCTCACGGAGGCCCATGCCTCTGATATTCTTGTGGCGGTGAAGGAGCTGGCGCTGAGAGAACATCCACCTGGCGAGGAAGGTCCGAAGGTCAGTCTGATGTTGTGCGGCTCGATCAACGGATGGGGCAAAGAATTTCTCACGGAACTCACACAGACTTATCAGGATATCAAAGAACTCTTCATCGACCGACCTTTGGTCAAAAGCAGAAAACCACATTCGACCACTTTCGAACAACTCGTGAGTTTGCATCGGTCGAGAAGTATGCTCATTATAGACCGCCCTGCTTCAGCCTCTCGCTGGCTTGCCGCATCTGCAGCTATTGCAAGTTGGTTCATACGCCTTGGACCCCACCCTACAGACTCGACTCGCCCTCCATCTCTCACTCCAGCTTTGCAACCTGCTGGTTATTGGATTATTGCAAGGCGATCAGGGTCAGACCGTTTGGTGGGGCATTTGGCGACATGCCAGTAAACGGTCGACTCCGGAGGGCTCGTACTTCCCCGACTGTGACATTGTCCTCGCAGTCCTAGGAGATGGTCACTTGAAGCTTTTAGAAGAGGGGTCGCTGGACTGGAAATTCCAAGGCGGGAAAGCGGAAGACGCTGTTATGACAACAGATTTGGAAATCGGAACTTCTTGAGGGCAGCATGGACTTCCTCGTGCCACAATTGAGTGTCTTCGCGGTTGACGCAGGGCCAATCTAGTCAGTAGCGATCAGCAAATCGGCAGCCAGTGTAGCTGATCAGTCGTGCAGTCCTCATGCATGTCGTTACGATTGGGACACATCTTCCTAGCCCTTTAGGCGCTATCCCTTTGTCCACCTTCACAGACCCAGAACCAGAAGGGTTCGTGAAGGGATGTAAACCTGTCACGCATCAGCCGTCTCCATAATGTCAAGGGGCAACAGCGTACCTGGACCCAATTCTTCCGCCCATTCCATTCCATGGGAGTCGTTAAATACTTGCCGCTAAGGTCGATGCGACTGTGACCGCCAAACTTAGGTTCATCGCTTGTCAAGATTACTTTGTACTCGCCTGGGACGTCGATGCCGACTCGATAGTCCACAAACGATTCGGTAGGATGGACTGGACAGTAAGTGAGGCGCTCTATGGTCCGAAACATGACTAACAATTGAATATGAACAAAAGACCTGCCCGCTCAAAGACGATGACTTTGTCGCCCTCATGCTTGAGTGACACGTACGCCTGCGAAAATAGTTAGCAGGAACTTGATCAGTGCGTTAACGACCTACCTGAGGAGAGCTTAGCCATCTGTACTTCGCCTCCAGCCAATTCATGGCGATGTCAAACTCATTGAGATACTTATAGCGGAGCAGAGGGTCATCGACGAGGTTGAACTGCCTTCTGGCGTGGGCAAAGGAGTTGCCATTACCTTCACGAGGGAAATCCATCCATCTTCCATCGTCAGCAAGTTTCTCTGACAATGGATCACTCACTCCGGGTGGCCGAACTCATTGCCCTCAAAATTTAGGTAAGCTTCTCCGCCTAAGCTGTGTACAAGGAATCTGTGACAGTCAGTATACAGTTGTCCAAGATCAGGTAGATGCCAACCTAATCATCTTGTGCAGAGCTAATCCGCGATCAATGACTGGGGTCAAGGGAGAGAGGTCCGACATGAAGTCGTCTGGAAAGGCTGTCAGCAGATGAACGAATAAGGCAATGGGCGTGACTTACACATCTCCTTATCCATCAGCCAGAATGCCAATGTCTTATCTCCAACCAGCGCTTGATCATGACTCTCGGCATATGCAACACTTCTTTCCAGATGACGGCGATTGGTGAGCGTATGGACGATGTCACCCATACTCCATTCATTGTCGGACTTTTCTTTGAGCAGCTTGATCCACATGTCGGGGATGGCCATGGACAGCCGATAGTCGAAGCCTACACCGCCTTCATCCACTGACCGGCATAGCGTAGGCATCCCCGAAACATCTTCTGCAATGGTCACCACGTTAGGATAGGTCTGATGCAACATATGATTGGCCTGATGGCGATCAGCAGACGCAGACGCAGACACTTGCCCCTCATTCACTTACTAGCATGAGATACGTCATGGCCTCGAGGTCCACCGACGGACCAAAGTACTCGTGATAACCACCTGAGGTCAGCAAGGGCATCGAGCGGTTAAGCTTACCTGAGAATCCCGTTCCGATGCCGTGATGGGTGTACATCATGCTTGTCACGCCATCAAATCGGAAACCATCAAACATGTAAATGTCCATGTAGAAGCGAAGATTGGACAAAAGGAAGCGGAGGACCTCATGGTGCCCATAGTTGAACAATCGTGAGTCCCAGAGTTCGTGGCGTCCACGACCACCTTCATGGAAGTAGAGATGATCTGTGCCGTCAAACATATTGATGCTGGGTGGTCAGTAGCGGTACTCAGTAACACCGGAGGGAACTCACCCATCCAGGACATTTTTGCAGGCATGAGAGTGAACAACGTCTAAAAGTACCACCAGGCCCAATTCGTGAGCCTTGTCCACGAGAGATTTGAGCTCCTCGGGAGTGCCTACAGTTATGAGCCAACATTGCTCAGAAAAACAAAAACTCACCGAAGCGCGACGAGATGGCGAAGAAGTTGGTGACTTGGTAGCCGAATGCTGACTCTATCAGCGAGACATTTCCATGCTCCGGCAGTACCGACAGGCATAGTAAGCATGCTCCATGATGGCCATCCTGCGATCGAGATTAGTGCACATGTCGTATCAGAGATCAAGCCACGCACATCTGTATACAGTTATATCCGAGCTTCTTTATGCGAGGCAGTACATCAGTTTCGAATTCCTTATAGGTAGTGACGCGCATGTTGGGGCTTGAGATGCCGACTGACAGTTCAGTACAGATTGACCATTCATGTGCTCACCGTGTGCCTCATATATCTTGAGGCCCTCAATGCCTTGCGTGGCATGTCCATGCTTGAATTGGTGCACTTGCTTTTTGGGCGGATTCCAAAAGCGACCATCGTATATGGGTGATACTTTGATATTCTGAGTTACTCGAGTGATCCACGTCGGAATACGATCTATGGAAACGCCGGAAGGCATAGTCATGGAAATCTTGACCATGGAATCGTGTGGGATCGGACACACACCGGGAGCTGTTGGAGGAACGTAGCATTCCCACACGCCAAAAGGTGATTTTGTCATCGGGTTGGCGGTATGCGACCAGTTGTCTGCGCATGATGTAGACCCGATCAACCGTGTTGGCGATTTACTCACTGAATTCACCTATGAGCCTCGCTTCTGTTGCTCCGGGGGCCCACTCCCGATACCTCACACCGCCAAAGCTATCGACCTGAAAACCCATGACCTTGTAGCCCTCTGCAAACTTGGCGAGACCCCCTTCATACTTGTTGATGGAGTCGAGCTGCTTCTTGAAAAGGCTATAGCGCTCTCGCAACGCTGGGGCGAAGGGTTCCAACCTAGGTACCGACATCAGCTGAACGAGACAGAACATGCAAGACGGGGCTCACCAGGGATCCAGTTGAATGACAGCCGTTCCTGAGGTCCTTCAGCTATGTAACAAAGCGCCGCCCATGACGTTTCACTCACCGTCATCTGCAACTACAGTGCGACCGCTACCATTGGTGCTGTCGACGACCATGATTGTGATTGAATATGTATGGAGAACCAGCGGTCAGAAGGCTGGTCGAACGTCGAAGGAAACTGCAACGTTTGGGGGGAATGACGTATGTACTTGACTGAAAGTGGCGGTTGGCGGCTGCTGACCTTGTTCGATCCCCCCTCGTTACGCGGCCGAAGTTGAAATTCTTCCTCCTGCATCTCTCTGCCATCTACGATCTCTGGGTCATTCATGGTCAACTTCTACGACGAGGTCGAGATCGAAGACTTCGCCTGGGACCCTTCAGCCAAAGTTTTCCACTATCCCTGTCCATGTGGGGATCGTTTTGAGATCACAAAGTCTCAGCTTCGTGATGGTGAGGAGATTGCGACCTGCCCAAGCTGTAGTTTGATTATCCGGGTTGTTTATGACTATGTGAGCAATTGGTTTCGCCACGTGCGGTTATCGTGCAGCTGACGTATGAGCTCGACTGGGAGGATTATACGACCACAGACGAAGAAGACAATGCATTGGACCGGACTGTCGACAAAGAACGACCAGAAATTTCGACGCCTCCTAAACTTCCCATTCATTCCACTTCCGCCGCAGATGATGACGTGGTACAACAGGTCGTCAAGGATACAGCCATGCCTTCGACCATTGTTGTCCCTCGCGAAGGCATAGGCAACGGGGCTTGAGGTAGACGACCGCTCGTCCTGATCTACTTCGACAGGTGGCCATTAAAAAGAAGCCTTGTAGTTATATCCCGGACAGCCATCACAATCCATGCATTTACTCGTCTGATTTGCCTTTACGATCTCTTTTCTTTCCTGGAGCGGAATCCAATGCGGCGTTCGTATTATATTTGATTTTCCGCTCACGCCACTGGCCTTCTTGGCGAGCAAAGCATGAACGAATCACTTCTCCCCAGTCTGTGTCAGCACTGCATTTGGGACAGCGACCTTTCACAGGTAACAGGAATCCCAGATCTCGAGGCTCAGAGCTTTTCTCCAGAAAATGAGACGCAAGACAGTGAAGGTGGGACACGAAGGTACAGGAATCGTCACCCGACGCTGAGCACAACGCGAATGCCAAATGTGACTGATATCAGCGTGTTTAGAGCTCCATAGTCGAATTACTCACAGTGGATTGGAGTAGTATACCACAGAGACCGCAGGACCAACCTGATGAGATACCGATACCTATCTTTTGCCACTTTTGCCATACTCGCGAACCTAAACGAAAATGGTCATCGGTGACATCGATCGGTCCACCTAGGCTCGTCACACCAGGGGTGTCGTGGTGCCGTTTGTTTGTGGATCCCGACACGCCTCCCAAATCAAGAATGACTGAGACGTCACTCGCAGAAGAGGACGGCTCGGCACTACGGAGTGCGAGATAAGTAACCAAACTGTCTTTATTGAAGAAGCGGATATGGAGCGGGAGTCGGCAGAAGGGTGACGCATTCAGCAAGCTGTGCGCGACGCTGTCCATGAGCCTTCGTCTTACGAAAGGGAAATAGCAATATCGTACAGAATTTTCTGTGTGGGATGATTCCTTTTCCCATCCTTCTTGAACAATGGTCCAAGATCAGCATCTGTTACTGCGTCGTGCGCTCGAAGGTGACGAGAAAGCTCGGGTTTCTGCCATGCCCACTCGAACTAAAGTCAGCAACACCGGGAAAAGGATTCGCCTGACTCACCTGCAAGGCCGTGAGCTTACTCGGAAAACTGACAGCCTGAGCTACAGAGCTACACTGACTCCAAAGTCGAGCTTGAAGCACTCACCCATACACGATCATTTGCATCTCCTGCGTAGTGAGTAAACGACCAACGCTGCGCGTTGCGCGTTGCGCGTGAAGCGAGACGAAACTTCCGACGCACCCAGGGTCTGAACCGCGATGTCTTGAACGCCCCTTGAGTAAGCTCCCCGTTATGCTGCCGGAGCCGACGAGGGGGATCCGGGGTTGAACCTATCTGCAGGTCAGCTGATAGTTACTACCAAGAAACAACGGGCCAAACGCACATAGGTCCTATTCGAGCTTGGACTGGCCATGGAGCGCAGTAAATAGCAAGCGTAGAAGGGAGGGAAAGTATGGTTGCCGTCGAGAAGGGTCGATCGGGACTCGACCTGCTGGGAGGGCATCATGTGGAGGTAGTCAACGGGCAACGGGGATGCAGGACGCTTGAGAGATAAGGGGGATGTCTCAGAGGTAGCCTCGGTACTTGGGAGTCACAGTACTACTCCGCCAGCAGCATGGCAGCCCAGCATAAGATAGATCGGTAGATCAAGCAAGTACCAAGTAGGCCTACTCGCGCTCTAAGAGCAGGATGGCAGGACACGCTTGCTTTAAGTGATACCCCCACTTTGATCGTCAGGTGTGGAGACTCTGAGTGAGGGGGAGAGTCACCTCGGTGCTTATATGCTTATACTTATTGTAGGTGGCCTGCCCATTGGTCTTTCTGTATCACCCTTCGCGATATCGTGTTCACTTGGGACACCACTACTCGTCATTAAACTTGCTCTCTGATCATCGCGACCCTCGGCTCTTGTCAGGCTTCTTCCTTGCTCGGTGGCCTGCTTTGTCCCGGCCAGAGGGCTTAGCCTTTCTTCCTTTCATATCCCCATTTCAACGTGCACACATTGACCGCTCTCTCTTCGTCCCTGCTCAGATCGGCGCACCATGTTCTCAAAAGTATCAGACCGACTCCATCACCGGAAACAACATCCCTCTACCTCCTCGACCTCTTCAAACCTGGCCTCGTCGTCTCTCAATCCCGGTCCCGATCATGCTTCTCAATCCGCTCAATCCTTCTTATCAGTGCCGATGGAAGGTGTCGAGTAAGTATCCTTCAATCTTTCGCCACGAGACTAAGCTATGCAGACCTTCTCTTGGTGGGTATCAGTCAGATATGCCGCCTCATTCCGAACCCGCTGCATCCAACCTCAATCTCAGTCAAGCTGGCACCATGGCTTCGTCGCGCCTGCCACAACTCCCAGCCTCTCATACCTCAGCGGTAATTCATCCTACGGCCATGACCGGCTCCGGTACGTCATCAACCCCCCGAATCCAGCACGACGATGCAGATGGTGACCTCGCCCCTGACGCCACTCGACAGGGCAGCAAGGACGAGGATCGCATCAGAGTGAAGGCGAAAGAGGCGCAAGAGCAGGTTGGTGATAGCCATTCAGTGATCAGTGCACCCCTTCTTCTCGCTGATCGCAGGCTACGCAAGCTCAGGCGAATCTCCATCATGCTACGCAACAGGCTAGGGTGGCTGCGATCAATGCGGCAGCCACTCAGGCAGCTCTGGATACGGCCGTCAGTCAGCATTCAGCGGCGTCAGCAACCTCAAAGCCGCACACCGCGTCGGTGACGGGACAGCCTTTGAGAAAAACGGCAGGACGCTATGCTTTGGCTGATTTCCAGATAGAACGGACGTGAGTCGGACTTCATGTCGATAAAGCCATCATTGACTGTCAGACTTGGGACAGGATCATTTGGTCGAGTGCATCTGGTCCGCTCCAAGCACAACGGTCGATTCTATGCCGTCAAAGTTCTCAACAAAGACAAAGTAATTAAAATGAAACAAGTGGAACACACGACTTCGGAAAGGGAGATGCTGGTCCGCGTTCGACACCCTTTCCTTGTCAACTTGTGGGGCACCTTTCAAGATGTCAACAACCTATATATGGTCATGGACTTCGTGGCAGGAGGCGAGCTCTTTAGTCTCCTGCGAAAAAGCCAGGTACGTCAAACTTTGCCGCAAACATCGCCCTCACTGACATTGTGCAGCGTTTTCCCAACTCCGTGGCCAAGTTCTATGCAGCCGAGGTTGCTCTGGCTCTGGACTACCTTCATTCTCTCGATATCATCTATCGCGATCTCAAGCCCGAGAACCTCCTTCTTGGAGCGGACGGCCACGTGAAGGTGACTGATTTCGGTTTCGCGAAACATGTGCCCGATATTACGTGGACCCTTTGTGGAACTCCAGATTATCGTTGGTATTCCGTAGCTCCGTTAACCTGAGCTGACTTATGAAGTCGCTCCTGAGGTCGTCCAATCTAAGGGATACAACAAAAGCGTGGACTGGTATGCTCTGGGCGTATTGATATTTGAGATGTTGGTGCGATTGTTCCCCACGATCTTATTCCTCGCTCACCTGCAGGCCGGATATCCCCCCTTCTTCACCGAGGATGGCAACCCCATGAAATTGTATGAAAAGGTAATGTGTTCCCTTGTAAATGGCCCGACTAATGCGTAGATTATCGCCGGCAAAGTCCGTTACCCCTCGTACTTCGACGCGTTGGCCAAAGAGCTTTTGAAGAACCTTTTGATTGGTGATTTGACCAAACGATTCGGCAACTTGCGGGCTGGTTCTTCCGACATCTTTGCTCACCCTTGGTTTGCAGAAGTTGATTGGGACAAGCTCTATCGCCGGGAGATTCCCGCCCCATACGTCCCGAAGATTGACGGGGATGGTGACGCGAGCCAGTGAGTACATCCCCTTGCTCAGATGATCTGCCTGATTTGCCTCTAGATTTGATCGTTATCAAGAGGCCGACATCAGTGAATACGGCAAGGTTGGGACCGGTCCTTACGATCACTTTTTCACAGACTTTTGAGAGTAATGATGTTGTACAAGGGATAGGCATATGTTTTTTGAGTTTTGATTTGCGCAAATAACCATTGAGTCATGAGCACACCAAGAATCCATGTGACCCAAGCTCTGGCCAACCCGACCAATTGACTGCCCCAACTCAGGATCAGGAGTGAACATATCTGACTGTGGTGAACAATGGTAACACAGAATGAAGTGAGAGGATCGAGGGAATTATTGCTGATGTCAGCCCAGGTGAAGAGGGAACCAATATCTACTGGAGTCTGATCAGAGATTCCCAGCAGCTGATTGACACATCACCATCATACAGCAGGACTGTCCCTGGCTGACCTCACTAGATCAGAGACAGGTTGTCATAAACTGTATCATGGCATCCTGTCACAAACACTGTTCTCACTCTGGCTAGCTGACCGACAATTGACAAACCTTGGCTAATTAAGTCATACAAGGGCGTCAATGTCTCACAGAGACAGGGTGGTTGTCTGTTAAGCCTGGTTGTCTTAAGGGAAAGACAGCAGGTGGACGAGTGATGAGGAGAGAAGAGTTGAGGATGAAGTGATGTAAAAGGATGAAGAGAGAAAGAGAGTGGAACTTTGATACACTGGACGAGATTACTTACTGACAATGAGAGAGTCTAGGATGATGACAAGAGGATGTCCGATGACGATATTGGGCCCAAGGTGTTGAGCAGCTTAAGGCTTGGGGCCAATGTTAGAGGACAAGTTGAAGTCAAAGTCAGTATCAAAGACTTGGTCAGTGAAGGGTGGAAACGTATGATAATTGATCTCTGAAGAAAAGAAACTATGGAAAGAAGATGTAGGGTTTAAATAGTCTACAGAGGGTCCCAGGAGGCCTGCTCCGCAGGCCACCGGATTTCTAGCGCCTTCCTATGCTTATCATTGCTCTGCTACGATACATTCGGCTCTTCCCTATGCACTGCATTGCTATGCTCTGAGATCCATCGAGTCTGGTCGGAGGTCTGCATGCATTGCGGTGCAAGTACATGTGTTGCACCGCAGTGCTTTGCTATGCGTTGAGAGACGGTCGTAGGTTGTCGGTGCTTGTCTAAGGATATCACTGGTGAGCAAAGGTTATCGAATGATATCGGTGGTTGTCGGTTGGTGACGAAGTTACTCATAGTTTGTAGGAGCTATGAGGTGTGATTGGGTTGAAGGGCTTCAGGTGGATTGTTCAGAGATCATGGGACTTGGTGTTACAAGCTGGGTTACCAGGTCGTAACAGTACCCCCCTCTTCAAAAACTCTTCTGTATGCATTATGCATTGAGTCTATGAAGTGGTTTGGAGCATGCTTATTGCATGGGGAGGTGGGTGGGATTTGGTGGTTGTGTGGCAGTGGTGTGGTGGGTGTGTGGCAGAAATTCCCGTGAGGACTGGAAAACGCTGCCACATTGATAGGTGCCATATTCCGTGTGGGATGAGTTCCTCCTTCTAACATTTCATTTCGGCTTTGATTATCCGTGTGCGCTTATGGATTTGTCCGGAAATGAAGTGAGACATGGGTATATACTGAACCGAAATGCAGAGGAGATCGTAGGATGACATTGGGTTGCTTAGGAGGTCACAGGGAAGCACAGGGAAGCGCAGGCATGCATAGCTTGGCGGATAAGGATATTGGGAGAGTGATAATGGGTATCCGACTGTCACAAACTGCGCTGTGACACCCAATTATCCCACCAGCAACGACCCTCCTTTGACCATCAAAACCCCTATCACGTCTTAACCTCTTCACTCTACACATAACTCAGGACATCTGAGACCAACTACGGCAAAGTACAGCGGGAGAATAAGGTATACCGGGGTCTGGAGCATACAGACGGCGAAGTGCGGCGAAATTAGGCGGAGTCAGGGGGACTAGGGACAATGGGAGCAGAAGTACGGCGAAGTTAGAGGGAGTTAGGCTAAGTAGGGACAATGGGGGCAGAAGTACAGCGAAGTTAAACAGAGTTAGGCTAAGTACGGACAATGGGAGCAGAAGTGCGGCGATGTTAGGCGGAGTTAGCCGAAGGAGGAAAAGGATGGCCGAGGACTCGGGGAAGTTGGATGAAGTGCGTTGAAGTACGTCAAAGCGCGAGAGGGTTGGGTGAACGTCTAGGCGGAGTGGATAATATTAGCTGAGAAGATTGCTGAAGTTCTTCAGCGATCCTTGATTGTTGTCAGTAGTGAAAGATTGATAGAGATAGCTACATTCAATTCGAGATACATCGCCATCAGTAAAACCACACCCTAGTTAGAGTAACTACGTCGAAGTACGCCGTAGTTACACTCCTTTCGACGTCTGCGCCCTCCTGATTGGGTGAGACATCGCCTTTGGAGTGTCAAGTTAGCCCAGGTTTGTCAACCGTCGGTCTGTTAGAGAGTAGTTGTTCAACGATCGTGACACCGACACCATTCTCTCTATCTCAATCAATTCTTCTTCAAATTTCGCAAACTCTTCAGTAGCTTGCTGCTATTGATCAGCTCTTTTACCTCAAAGCATTTAATTCACAAAACATTGGCTGAGTTTTGACAGGAAGAGCGTGATGTGTTGCTTTGCCATTTCGGTGATTGGGCGGATAATGTACGGGTATGTTGCTGCATTTGATCCTACCTTTGGTAAGATGGGTTGCTGATTTCTTCAGCCAAACAATAACAACAACCAAGATGTTGTTCAAGAACTACATGTTCAAGAACCTGCTGTAATTGCTGCCGGAGCTGTAGTACAAGATCTCCATGCAATTGTAAGTAATTTTGATAAAAGTCCTTCCTTCTTGCTTGAGTCTGTCGCTAATTTATAGGATCCTGCACTTCTTTTGGCGGGTGATCAAGTTTATGCCGCTTGTTCCAACTGTGTTCTTGCCAGGAAAGGTGATACTTGTACCTCGGACAGTCCTGGTATGCGATGCAACATGTGCAAGGCTCGACACCAGGTATGTGATAGGCAAAGGAGGATGCAACTTCAGGAGGCGGTTGTTAAGGCAAGGGATGTGATTCATCGATTTGGTGAGCTCTCAGCTCGCTTGTGTCAGAATGAAGAAAATAGGGTAAGGCTTGAGGGAGTGTGCTTTTTGCTTTGGCAGAGGTTCACGGAAGTAGTCATCTATTTGTCTCTTCTGGAAATGTGAGGGAGTTGAGGATTATCGATATGGAAGTTGTTTATTGCTGCTGATGCAGGGGAATCTTGCCTTGTGATACCTTGGACGCTGCCCTATGGTAGATGATGTTTCCGCGACTTTCAATCACACAAAGTGGAGTAGATGGGAGAAAGAGAGGAAGTGAAGATTAGATGATGCTTGCAGTTTTACATTTGCAAGTGATGCTTTTATCCGTAGTCCGTTTAACCAACTAATACATGTAATACCACTGATGTGCTGACCTTTTATAGTCCTGTTCACACATCACAAAGTAGTGGGTGGTTGATAATCCGGGGGAGGGGGAGGAAGGGAAGGAGGGTGAGGTCTGTTGGGGTGTTGATGGTGAAAGTCATACACACTATCAAGTGCATTACGAATGTTGGCCAGGGGTTCCCATGTGTTATTTCGGCACTGTAACCAACCCATTTTACCAGGTATTTGTCACGCCTGCGGGTAGACTGCGGTAGCAAAGTACTGCCTTGGATACTGAGGGGTTTTAGTCTCGGGCTCGTAGAGCTTGATGACTGCCTTAGGTACTGAGGAGACTGAGATGTTGGGTTAGAACCAACTGAGTGACTTATCAAATGAGGTTAAGAGAATTGAAAAGATACATTGCTGAAGAAAAGAAACTATGTAAGAAGTATATGGGGTTTATATCTAATTCTGAGTCCATTCTGGGATGTGCGTCGTCCTGCGTAGGAAAGAGTCGTGATTCTCCATCTCATGTGTATATTCAACCATGAATCAGAAAGCTGCGTGGTCTTTGCGACGTGATGCGTACAATACGCTGTTGAACACATGTAGAAGCACGCATGACGACGTAAACCATACGTTCGCCTTGAATCTAACTAAACTGAAGTCTTGGGTCTAATGCCATACCAGGCAGACTAACTGAGGATAACTTAACTAACTAAAGGTTCAGGTCTCTTGCCTTGGAGGCATAAGAGCAGAACTAAACATGAAGATACTGATACTTAGACTTTCTGCCTTGTGTGCACAAGAGCAGAGCTGGTGATTCATGACAGGAGCTCCCCCTCTAAGGGCGAAGTCCTCTGAGCCTTGATGATCTATGCTGAGATCTTTTATGGTTGTTTTGTGTTGTGTTTTGTTGATGAGCCTTTGCAGGAGGGAAGTGATGATTTGAATCCTTGAGATGTTGTCGACGGAAGGTCTTGTAGGCTGTGGTGTGGTCGACATTTTCCCAGGGTTCCCATGAGTCATGAACGCTGGAGTAGTCTTTCCAATTGACAAGGTAGTCATAACCATTGTCTGCCCCAATACGAGAGTCAAGGATGTGATTGACAATATATTCTTCTTGACCATTGACTTCAATGCGTGGTGGAGGGTCTTGAGGTTGTTGAGGATGACCTTTACGCATGGGTTCAAGAAGGTTGACGTGGAATACGGGGTGAATGTTCATTGATGGTGGTAGTTCAAGTTTGAACGCAAGTGGAGAGGATGTGGCTTCAATGATCTTGAAGGGACCTAGCATCCTTTGATCGAGTTTGAGCGAGGGTCGTAATGTTTGAATGTTACGTCTGTTTAGGAAGACTTGATCACCAATTTTGAAAAGTGGTTGATCCTTGATGTTGATATCCTTGACCTTCTTGTTGAAGTGTCTGGTATAATTTTCTTGAGCTGACTTGATATTGTTGGCAAGAGTTTGATGAAGTTGACGTAGTGTCTGAAGATGTTCTCCTGCCGCTGGAACAGAGAGAGTTGAAGGTGATGGTGAAGTGGGATCATTTGGATGATACCCATAGTTTGCTTGGAAAGGAGTGAATTTTGTTGATGAGTGGACCGAGTTGTTGTAACTGTACTCTGCCAGATCCAGAAGAGATGACCAATTGGCTTGATCATAGTCACAAAATGATCTGAGGTAATGTTCTAAGACTTGATTGACGCGTTCTGTCTGACCATCTGATTGAGGATGAAAGGCAGTAGAGAAGTTTGGGGTGATACCTAAGCCTTTGACAAAAGAGCGCCAAAACTGAGAGTTGAAGATTGATCCGCGATCTGAAACAATATCCTTGGGTAGTCCATGAAGTCTCCAAATGTTTTGTCTGAACATAGTAGCTAGGTTGGGCGCATCAAAGCCATCTTCCTTGAATGGGATGAAGTGGGCTTGTTTGGTGAGGCGATCAACAAAGACCATGATGGAGTCGAAGTTATTTGATAGTGGGAGTTTGACAATAGCATCCATAGAAATAGATTGCCAAGGTTGCGAGGGGATGGGTAATGGTTGAAGTGGTCCATAGGGTTTATGTCGAGGGATTTTGTTGCGTGCACATGTGTGACAACCATCCACATAGGTGTTGGTGAATTGCCTTATGGCAGGAAAGTAGTAATGACGAGAGAGAAGTTGATATGTTTTGTATTGACCATAGTGTCCAGAGGTAGGTGAATTATGTGTTTGTTGGAGTAAATCGATTTTGAGTTCATTGTTGTTTGGGACATAGATTTTGTTGTTGAAATGAATGATGCTGTCCTTTATGCTAAAATCCTTGAGTTTTCCTTGAAGTCCTTGGGGTACGGGAGTAGCGGGAGATTGCAGGTAAGGCAAAAGCTCTTGGAGGATGGGATCCTCAGGCTGAAGTTGCTTTATCCTAGCAATAATATCCGAGTGTGGGTGTGTGTTGGGAGTGTCTGGAGGAATGAGGGCACCAATGACAAATTGTCCTGGTTTAAGGAGTGTGTGTGGAGGTGCATCTGCAGCTCTACTCCCCCCTTGAAGGTCTGACCTCCTGGTCAGGGCATCTGGTTTACCCATCTTTGTTCCAGGTCGGTAGTGAATTTTGAAGTCAAAGTTTGCAAGGAGTTCTGCCCAACGAGCTTGTCGTCTGTTGAGAACCTTGGATGTGGTGAAGTATTCGAGGTTTTTGTGATCTGTGTACACCGTGATTTCCTTTGTTCCTTCGAGGTATGGTCGCCAATGTTTGAATGCTTCCACTATAGCAAGCATTTCTTTGTCATAGACTTCATAGTTGAGTTCTGCAGGTTGAAGTTTTCGAGAGTAGAAAGCAATGGGATTGAGTTGATTGTTGTCTGAATGGGAGAGCACACCTGCAATAGCAAAGTCAGATGCGTCTGTCTCCACAACAATAGATTTATTTGGTTGGAAGTGTTGAAGTATAGGGGCAGTAGTGAATGATTTTTTCAGAGTGTCAAATGCGTTTTGTTGAGTTTCACCCCAATCAAACTTGACTTCTTTGCGAAGGAGTTGCGTGAGGGGTGCTGTGACCTTGGAGTATGCCTTGATGAAGCGACGGTAGAAGTTGGCAAAGCCAAGGAAGACTTGAACATCATGAACAGATTTTGGTGGTGGCCAGTTTGTAACAGCTTCTACTTTATGAGGGTCCATTCTGACACCTTTGTCTGAGACAAGGTAGCCTAGGAAATCAACCTCATGTTTGAAGAAGGTACACTTTTCTGCTTTTGCCCATAGTTGATGTTGTTGGAGTCGTTCCAAGACTTTCTTGACATGGGTAATATGTTCTTCCCTTGTTTTACTAAATACAAGAATGTCATCCAAATATACAATGACAAAGATATCCAAAAAGTCTCTAAGAACATCATTGATGAGGTTCTGGAAAGAGGCTGGGGCATTTGTGAGACCGAAAGGCATCACAAGATATTCATAGTGTCCATAACGGGTGCGGAATGCTGTCTTCCATTCATCGCCTTTGGCAATGCGGACTTGATTGTAGGCAGCACGCAAGTCAATCTTGCTGAACCATGAAGCACCTTTGAGTCGATCGAGGGATTCTTGAATTAACGGGAGTGGGTAGCAATTTTTGCGAGTGATACTGTTGAGTTGTCGATAGTCCACACATAGGCGGAGAGTTCCATCAGGTTTTTTGACAAAGAGGATTGGTGATCCAGCGGGGCTTGAGCTTGGTCTTATAAATCCTTTCTTGAGGTTTTCCTTGAGATATTCATCCAAAGCCTTTAACTCTACTTCAGATAGACTGTAGATTGGGCCAAACTTAGGCTGCGCATTGCCTTCAAGTGTTATGGCGTGATCATAAGGTCCATGTTCTGGGAGTTTGTCAGACTTGGATTTACTAAATACTTCCAAATGAGAATGGAAGTCTGCGGGGATGATTTCCTTGAGTTTCTGAAGATCGGTGATATGGTCATCATCTTCATTGTCCTCAGCTGGAGTGGGATCAATGAGACTTGAGACTTGACTTGGGGTAGTGATTCCATATATTTCTGCACTTTTCATGGCAGAGCGGAAGGATGCTGCACTGACGAGAGATATCTTGACAGGAGCCTGTAGTGTCGAGAGCGATGTGGTGATATTTTTGTTTGTTCTTGAGTTACGAGAGTTGTTTATAATTCCTTTGTTGATGTTTCCTTTGTTGATTGATGGCGTACTTGCAGCATTCTTGCTGGGCAAGTTACCTAAGCTCGGAATGTTCCTTGAGTTACGAGGGTACTGAAGAGCAGAATCTCCTCCCACAGGTTTGTCATACCTGCTGCATTGCTCCAGGCAATACTGGGAATTGAACTTGATGGTCTGACGGGACCAATCAATGCTTGGGTTGTGTTGAGAGAGCCATGGGAGGCCTAAGATAACAGGATAGGTGCCAAGTGATGTGATGTCAAGGGAGAGTATTTCCTCATGACCGGGAAGGCACAAGTGAATGGGAGTGGTGTGATGTGTGATGGCGCCAGATGCTATGGGTCGTCCATCAATGACTGAAACTTCGAGAGGTGTGTCCTTGGGTAGCCTTGGGATATTTGTTGTGTTGAGAAATGTTGAGTTGATGAAACTGGCTGTAGCTCCAGAATCTATCATAGCCATAGTGTTGTAATGAGAGTTCCCATACATGAGAGTAATGGGAAGACAGA